CCAAGTGCTGCCCGGGGTATTAGTGCTTCAAGATGATGGTTGGCGCCAAACGGTCCGTCGCCCGTCGCCCGCCGCCGGCAGCTCCTGTCGTCCCCCGCTGGCCCCTGGCAATCACTCCCCGGAACGGTCCAGTCAGGGCTCCAGCGGCGCCAGGCCTCGCCTCAGCCAGGGATCAGGCTGCCGCGAGAGTCCGGGGCTGCCATTGGGGGAGATGCCGATTCCGCCCCCCCCTCCGGGCCTCAGCGGTTGCCTCCAATGGCTACCGTCACGGGAGCCACTGGGCGCACGGTGCACAACGCCTTGCCAAGGTGTGTGCTGGGGGGAGGCACAGCGAATGCTTGCTGTGCACCAACTCTGGGCCGTATCATGAGGCATGGTGGCACCCACCCAACTCGCGGTCGCCGTTTTGTGTGTGCAGGCCAACTGAGTGCTGTACAGAACACAATTACTGCGGGAGGCGGCCGAGTGGCTGCTCCACACAGCTGACTGACTGTGTTGCCAGCCAGCTTTGTCGGTCCAGTGGAGTCGAGGCCGGCATCTCGCCCTGGCCAAGTACCTGAGGCGGATGTAGACAGTGGAAGGGGGCCCTGGTGGGCGGGATGACGGACGGGCCCAGTGGAGGCCAGCTTCGGGCCTCGACCGACCAGCACCACCACCTTCCTCCTCTTCCTCGCTCCTCTTCCTCGACCCAACCTGGGCCGTCGACAACTTGACTTCGTTCCTGTCATTTCCATATCGCTTCTACTGTATCGGGAGCACATATTCATCCTCGCCTCGCGCCCTCTACCATCTTCCTCGTTCCTCACCTGTCCTGGTCATCGGCACCCCTTCGTGCCGGCATTCAGCGAGACTCCGCACTAGCTCTCCTCGTCAACCTCCCGTCCCCACCATCGGGCAGTTCCCTCACCGCGTCACCTCGCCTCGCGACCCTCGCTGCCACCGCCGTTTCGGCACCGGATGGACGTTTGCGTCATCTTCTCTCGCTCCTGACCTCGTCTTGATCTATCGAGTGACGACTGACGGACTTGTTTGAAACGACACTGATCACACGACGGCCCCAAGCGCCAGCCAGTTTCGGATCCCGTCCACCGAGTGCTGTTGCTGCTGCCGCTGCCGCCGCTGTCGTGACGCCTTGCCGCTTCAGTCTACCGCGGTGCGGTGCCGCGACATCTCACGGTCTCTTCTACGATCCTCTTGCTCTGGCTGCCCGTCGTCACACTAGCAGCTGCCGACTGTCCGACCCTCCGCAGCTCCGTGCAAGCTGCCTTGGCCGGACGGTTCGACGCCATAATGAGCGACCCGACCTCCCACTCCCAGACCACCGAGCCGCTCTCACAACACGTGCGTCACCTACCCCTATGTCTAGAGCTGTCTGGCCAAGTTTTCGCTGACCGTTCCGTTAGCCGCTCTCCTCCTCGTCCACTCCAGCGTCGCTCGCAACCCCGAACCCCATCCCTCAAATGTCCTCCCCGGCACCAATACTCCGTCCCGCCATTCCCGGCACCAGGAGCGGTGGAGGACGGCCGCCCAGGCTGGGTCTCGCTATCCCCCCCTCGCCAAACGTCAAGCCCGTTGGCAACCAGCCTGGGCAGCAAGCTGCTCCACGGCCGCCACTCCCGACACTACATCTAGCTACCCCTATGGGCAGCCAAATAACACCCTATGAACAACCTCCCAGATCCCAAGGCACGCAGCCAGGCCACTCGGCAGATGGTGGAAGCGAGAGCAGCGCAGCCCACTCGAGGTCGGGGAGCTTCGGGCCTCTTGATGGCAGGGCCAGCAATCCGACATCGGCTGGCTCCCAGTACTCGGCGCTGTCGTTCGCGTCGCAGTACGGCATCCCGGTGACGAGGGCACAAGGGACTCCTGATCCTGTATCCGCGGTGGGGTCAATGTACTCGGAGAGAAGTGAAGGCGGCGTGGCCATGGAGCGGGACGGCAGTCTTCAGGGGTTGGAGGCTTTCGACCAGCTGAGCCTCGACAGGGCCAGAAACGCAGACGTTGAGGAGCTTGACGATGAAGGGTGGAGGATTGCGAGCATGGAGAAGCGCATCGTCGAGTTGGGCAACTTGGGCGAGGGTGCTGGCGGCGCCGTCACCAAGTGCATGCTCAACGGCGGCAAGACTGTCTTCGCCTTAAAGGTACGTGGGATGGAGGGCGCTTGGGCCGACTGGAACTGGTTGCCGCTGACACAGTACTTTCCTGCAGGTCATTACTACGAACCCCGACCCAGACGTCAAAAAGCAAATTGTTCGAGAGCTCGGCTTCAACAAGGAGTGTGCCTCGGAACACATCTGTCGCTACTACGGAGCCTTTGTCGATCCATCAACAGCCACCATATCTATCGCCATGGAGTTTTGTGAGGGCGGCTCCTTGGACAGCATCTACAAGGAAGTCAAGCGACTGGGCGGTCGCACGGGCGAAAAGGTCTTGGGCAAGATTGCCGAGGGCGTGCTGAGCGGGCTGACCTACCTCCACACGCGCCGGATCATCCACAGAGACATCAAGCCTTCCAACATCTTGCTCTGCCGGGACGGAGCCGTCAAGCTGTGCGATTTTGGCGTATCGGGCGACTTTGGTACGAAGGGCGAGGCGAACACGTTTATCGGCACGAGCTATTACATGGCTCCCGAGCGCATCACCGGCCAGTCGTACACCATCACATCCGATGTCTGGTCTACAGGCGTCACGCTGCTCGAGGTCGCGCAGCATCGTTTCCCCTTCCCGGCTGATGGAACGGAAATGCAGCCTCGTGCCGGACTCATCGACTTGCTGACGTATATTGTGCGTCAGCCGGTACCGAAGCTGAAGGATGAGCCCGACATGGATGTGTACTGGAGCGACAACTTCAAATACTTTATCGAGTGCTGGTATGTCACCTATCTGCAAATCCGTGGACTCATTTACTAACCAGCCTGCCTCAGCTTGGAGAAGCAGCCTAACCGCAGGGCAAGCCCGTGGAAAATGATGGAGCATCCCTGGATGGTGGACATGCGGGCCAAGCGGGTCAACATGGTCAAATACCTGTCATTCGTATGGGGTTGGGACGAGACGCCTGCCGGCATGTGACGTGCCTGCGTTGCGTTTTCACCTGCAGGCCAAAGCGACTTAGTGTAGCCCTCTTCCCGTAGGGTACACGGTCGAGCAGCAGCACACCACTGCAACGCCTCACGCGATGGCCAGACGAGTGCAGTAGCACGTCCAGAATGAGAAGGGGTGGAGTTGTTGGCCCAGACAGGTGCTGGACGGCCAATGACTCGGTACAATGTACGGCCTGAACAAGACGTGGATCAGGGTCATGTGTATCGTTTGGATCGGCAGTTAGCATGCGCGGATAAATCGTCGCATAAGATGAGTGCAACAGCATCTGGGAGAGCGCTGGGCCGAATCGAAATTTTGGAAAGAGTCATCTGTGCAAGGAATCTGTGGTGCCTGCGCTTTCTTCCCTCGAGCTTCCATCTTTCTCACGTCACGAGGCTTATAGCATAGGGTTGGGCATCAAATGATCGAGGCGGGCGAGTTCTAATTGAGTTATATACGCGCGATTCAGGTCGCCGCTTCGTCGGTGGTACCCTTTGCGGGCTTGTCGCTGGGTGCCTGCTCAGGCGGATCGCCCATGAGCTCTCTCAGCGTGACGGTCGCGTAGGCACTGCTCCCGAGCTGGAACTTGACAACCGCCGCAATCTTGTCGGGCTCGGCAGCGGAGTCTTGAGCGGCTGGCGGCTCGGCATCGGCATTCCCGTTTGCTTCCGCATGCGAAATGTCTTCCCCGCCCCCCTCCGTCTTTGTGCGCTTGTTGGCGCCTTCATCGTCAGGCCCATTGCGGCGACGCTTGCCGCCGCGAGCGGCATCGCTACCGGCCGACTTAATGATGTCGAGATCCGTTGGGTGCATCTGCTCCGTGTCGTCCGAGTACAGCCGCATCTCGAGGCTGGGCGTGGCGAGAAACCGGTGCATGAGCTTGCGGTATCGGCCGGGGAGGCTGAACTCGCGGCGGAGGCGGCGCATTGTGTGCGGGTCGAGCGCGCCGTTCTCCTCGCGGCCCATGAACTCCTCGTAGAATCGGCCAATGTCATTGTCCGGATAGCGCACGTCGTAACCCGGCGATGGCAGCACCACATCGTGGATGGTGAAGCGCCCGCTCGCGGCCTCCTCGTCTGTGAGAGGCCGGGCGCGGATGGCGTCATCGTCGGCTTCGTCACCGGGATTGACGATCTCGTCGCCGTCCTGGTCCTTCTCGGCGGTGGGCGGCGCGGCGTCGTCGGTGTCAGAGATGACGAGGTCGCCAGCAATGACCTTGTCGCCGTGGAGCTCCCATCGTCGGCTAGCGACGTGATTCCAGACGTGCGACTGGTAGGCGTGAAGGTACATGGATCGTAGGCCTCTTGTGATGTGCGTCAGAGCGCCGGCGTAGTCCTTGAGCGAGCCAGTGCCCATGCGCGTTAGGTGACGTAGGATGCACGACTCGGCGGTGTACCTGCCGGGCATGATACGGGCGGCCTTGCCGACGTCCTTGCCCGTGAGGAAGAGCATACAGGCATGGTGCCGGGCGTACTCGTCACGCTTCATGGCCTCGGAGGGGATCTCGCCGGCAGCGGCTTTCGCGGCAATCTCGGGGTCGTAGCTGAGGAGCGCCTTGACGGCCTCTTCCCATTTGTTGCCCAGGATGAGCTTGCCGATCTGGTGAGTGCCGATGTCGTACGTGCCGAAACGCTGATGCCCAAAGTAGTTGATCCAGCCGTGCTGTGCCATGTGATCCAACGCTGCCTGCACTTGTGTCCGCATCGTTTCAAGACGTGTCGAAATAGGGGTATCGGTGGATTCGCCGACAACTTTGCAGTTCTTGAGGGTAATGACAAACTCGTTTCCAAGGAGCTGGCCTAGATGAATCGGGTCATCGCGGTACTCATAGTCACCAGTCGCGATGCCCCATAGCTTGCTGTTTGTGCCGGCGAGGGCGCGTTGCCTCATATACCTGACAGAACAGCGCTGCGCGGTCGACGCTCGTCGGTCCTTCGTTCCCGCGTAGCCAATGGATTGAGGCTTGATGCGCAGCATGCGTGCGATCTGGTTGACTGCGTCCATTGTGTCACGGTTATCTTTGTAGAGAGTAAAGTGAAGGTATTCGCCCGCAGGCTTGTCGTCGGGCTGGCCGCGGCCTCCGCGGTTGCGCTTCTTTCCCTTGCGCAGGGGGACCTTGGTAGCCGTGATGGCACCCGTATCATCGGTGGAAGTCTCGAGCCGGGACTTGAAAATGCGGCGCACCTCGCCGTGTATTTGGCCGCGCTTCGACTTGTCTTCCAAGGGACCAGAGCTGACAGACGTGACTTTTTGTCCGCCCGCATCCTCATCGCCGTTGAAGAGCTTGACGAGATCTTGGGCGAACTTCTCGTTGACGAGGCTAGCCAGGGCGGCAAATTCCTCTGGCGAAATCTCCATCTTCTGCTCTGCCGGGATGGCCTCAGGAGTCTGGATCTCATTTGAAGCTTCGACCTTGGGTGCTTTATCCTCCGAAATTTGCTCCGTCTTTTCTTGAAGGGGCTGCTAGGCTGTTTAGCAGTTGAAATTTGAATGCCCAGAGGAATAGAATCGTACCTGAGAAGTCGGCTCATCGTTCATGCCAATGCTGCGCAAGCGTACCACATTGCCATCCTTAGCAATTTCGTTGACTTGGAAGTCGGAGAATCTACACATGGTCAGGAGCCTGCCCGCCCGTCCTCACAGTTCAATTTGGGCTCACCGAACACGCTGTTCACCAGTCCAGACCACGGTCAGAGGTGTGGCGCGTTGCGTGATGCCAATCAATTGAGAGTGCGATGCGCTTCCACGCGTGACATAGTGAGGTTGGTCCGCCATCATTAGATATCACAGCCTTAATCGGCTATGTGTTTGGCGTTCGCGAGGTTGTGAAGTTGACACGACCCGATGAGGCTCTGAGAACTGAGATGTCGTCGTGCCATGGAGGAGCGAGATTTGCGACGCTTCATTCTGCCGGCAGAATCGAGAAGTCCGCCGGTGACAGCAGGCGGTCTGACACCAATAGGCGGGACAGTTCTGCCCCACGATGGGATAGGCAGGCGGTGGCTGACCGATACGCCTGTGCTCCAGGGTAGCGTGATCGTCTTGCCCAGTCCAACACTATCCACGGGTCATGGTGAATGAAAGTTTCGAGGTTGCCATAGTCGGAGGGCCTCAAGGTGGATGTCTTGCGGGAAGTTGGATTGAAAATAATAATCTAAGCGGTAACCTGTTGCTCTTTCCAGCGAGCCTTTCCGATTCTCCGCCTGCCTTGTTATTGGGTGATCTTTCCGTGTCTGCTTGGCCCATCCTGCCACACGGGACGCTTTCACTACAAGTCCACAAGCCGCCAGACCAGAAACCTATGTCAATCTGCGTCCTCTTGGGAATAACGTCTTGACCTTTCCAAGAACAAATGCTGCATCCCGTATATCTAGGCCTTGTGTCGCACTACATTGCTACTTCAACATGGCGCCGCCTGTCCACCCGCACGTCGCTGGGCGTCGCCTCAGCATGGACCCTGGCAGCTTTCATATCCCGAGCCATCGCCGTCGTAACCATCGACATGGGACTTCACGAGATACTGACACGTCCGGAGATGCATCTCAGGGCAGGCCTGAGCCCTCTAGACGTGGCAGGATTGTTGCTGACGTGAACAGGCATGGCATCTGGTACTGTGTCCCCAAAGTCGCCCTGCGTCACCCGATTGCTTGGCTTGACCGAAGCTGCGCTGTTCGAACTCTGCGACATCGTTCGAGCAGGGCTCATCAGCGGAGACACACCGGAAACCGCAACCGAGAGCATCACAGACTTCTTGGAAGCAGCTACCATCGACGAGCTGCGAGGCATCCCGACCATCGGGCTGAGCACCATCAGGAAGACGCGCCTCGACAAGCTACTCATCGACATGCTCAACCCAGAGAACCACATCGATGCCGGGCCGTCGTATCCATGGACACACTTAGAGATAGCGCAGGGGCTTCAGCGACAATGGCGAGCGCGGTTTCGTGAACGCTTCTTTGACCTCGACCAAAGCCGATATCGAGCTCTTCGCGAGACGGGGCCTTTGCGAGGGGTTACGTTTCGCGATGTAGTGGAAGTTGATGGCGACCTCTGGCACGTGCCGGTGTGCAACCCGCATTCTGAAGGGGAGGAAGCCCTCCAGCACGAGCCCGGCTAGTAAGTGCCAGGCATCAAGGCGGCACAAAGTAGACATCCCACTGACGTTACTTGCAGCTAGTGGTTGAACATGGCCTGTGCCCACAGAGACGGCATTGTCGACAGCACGCTTGAGCGCGCGACCAAAGGACCTCAGGGCGTCACGGCGCTCCCGCTCTTGAATGGCAATGAAAGAGTGTGTTCGCCTTCAGGGGCCGTAAAATATTCACGCGAAGGCAAGCTGTCCGAAATGCACCTGTGCCTCATCTCCCAAGTCGGGAAGCAGATTCGCATCCTGCGTGGATATCGCCTTCACAGCCCGCTCGCACCCAGAGCTGGCGTCAGATATGACGGATGGTGCGTGCGTAGCCGATTTAGGGCAGAAGACGGAGACACTGATGACGAGCCTTCCGCAGGTACATCATCCGGCAATACGGTCAGAGGTTCCAGGAAAGAACGGGTCTGGACCGTGTTGAGATCACGCTGGAGCGCGTTCCCGGTCAGCAGTCGTTTGAAGACGTCGCGAAGGTGCCGAAGCCGTCGCAACTCGACGACTGGCATCTTTACCAGACGCTCGAAGGCGAAGTGATCCGCCAGCGACGTGGAGAGCAGGCATTCTTGGAATGGAAGAGAACAAAGGTGGAGGAGACGATTGATCTCGAGCAATGGCGTCAGGCGCTGGAGGTGGGCAAGGAATTGGAATTGGCGAAGCCGAACGGGAATGCACACTCGATGGTGGGAAATTAGAAACGCAAATGCACCATGAGCGAATGATTAGGCGTCATGGCATCCAAGGCGGCTGTCGAGGAGGCGAGTCCGGAGGCCACTGGCCCTACAACCTTGAGCGCATTGTAAGGTAAGCTCAAGAGCCCACTGGGAGTTGAGCGTAGAGCCGATTTCACCTTGAGGAAGGATATTAAGTAGATGCAATGCAATGAGCTGCATGGTGACTATTGGGAAAGCGATGTTGGCGGCATCTGCCCCTCCAGCCTCAATCGTCATGGTGTGTTTTCAGGGTTCAAGCGGGGCACCAGTGCATTTACCTCGTCGACTTTCCCCTCTCATCACCCAGCCGTCTTCAGAGCAACCAAGGCACCATGGGGAAAAACGACAAAAAGGGCGGCGAAAAGGCCGCGGCCAAGGGCAAAAGCGGCGGTGACAAGGAGGCGGGCGGCAGCAAAGCCAAGGGCGCGCAGTCCATCAACGTCCGCCACATCCTGGTACGGCTCTCGCATCCCCATGCTCCCAAGGCGCATCGAGTGAGACTGACGGGCGGCTTAGTGCGAGAAGCATGCAAAGAAGGAGGAGGCGCTGGCGAAGCTGCACGAGGGCGTCAAATTCGACGAGGTGGCACGCAACTACTCCGAGGACAAGGCGAGGCAAGGTACGCATATTTGGACCCAGTCCTCCCAGGGAGCCAAGCTCACGTCGTACACTACACGCCGCAGGAGGATCGCTCGGGTGGAAGAGCAAGGGCAGCCTGGATCCCAAGTTTGAAGAGATTGCGTTTGCGCTGGAGCCGAGCACCACGAGCAGCCCCAAGATAGGCGAGGCGAAGACGGGCTTTGGCTATCACATCATCATGGTTCGTGTCCCCGAGGATGACAATGCAAGCCAAGCGAGCTTACATTCTCCAACAGGTAGAGGGACGGAAATAGTGACATCACCAGACACAGAATGTAGCGCTTTATACACCAATCTACATGTCACATCACCAGGAGCAGGCAGCCAAAGATTTTGGTTGTTTGTTTCCCTTTTTTTGTCATTCCTCTGCTCATGCAAGATGGGCCAACCATGAGGCCTGATACCAAATCCAGATGCCAGCCGAAGTGGCTAGAGTACAACCGCAGAGTGTCGTTTCCGGCGGACCCAAAGCAAGCCCGCGCCTCTATACCCTTCATTTCAACGCCGTCCGTGCAGCACGTTTACTGCGAGGTCTGGAAGTAGTTCAGGAGGATGGAGCGCTCCTGCGACTCCTCACCCCAGTCCTTGACAACGACGCAAGAGCAGTTGACAACCTTGCGGGCGTTGCCCTCGCGGTCGAGGACGCCTGTGAGTGGTGTGTTAGCAAATCATGCACGGCTTGGACAACCCCGGCGCCTCCCAGGGATAACACGTACAGAGACCGGCCCACTCGCCGAGCTGCTTGCCGTCCTGAACCTTGATCAGGGGGATCTTGTGCTCGTCGCAAAGAGCGACGACCAGCTTCTTGTAGGCCTCCTCCTCGCAGTTCTCGTTCAGGACACACATGTGTGCCTGACGGCGGTCGAGGGCCTTGGAAGCCTCACGGAGACCGCGGGCAAGACCGTCGTGCATCAGAGCCAGCTTCAGGACACCCTTGAGGGCATCGAGAACGGACATCTGGCCCTTGGGGGCGTCGGCGGAAACCTCGACCTCATCGGCGACCTCGGGGGCGTTGTTCTCTTCTACGTCCGACTGTTGGGCGGCACGTTAACGTCTGTCATCGGCGTCGTGCCCGGAGGCAGTCTGCGGCGTCGGATGCGACCGAGCAGCCCGCAGCGAGCCTCAAGAGGGGGCCACGCATCGGTTTCGGAGGCTTACCATCTTGAATGTTTATCTTGTCGGGCGATCCTCGAAGATTGTAATGTTTGGAGTGTAAGGGGGGGGGAAAAGAGAGGGGACAAGTTTGACGTCTTTAGCAGGGTGGTGGTCTGGATTTGAGCGTCACGGGGATTTGCCGACGTGGACGGCGGCTCCAAAGTGCGCACGCATTAGGGCAATTTTTCGTGCACGGACCCACAAGGGCACACACATGCGCGCGCACACACACAGCACCAATACACGCTGATCCCCACTCTTTCTCTCCACCAGGTGTCCTGCACCCGACGATACTTTTTTTCTTCCTCCGCTTCACGACCACACTCTCTACCAAGGACCAGTCCGATAACACACCTGTGAGGTATGTATGATTCTAATGGCTGACGGCGATCGGGACGCAGCAGGATGATGCCTCTATCAGTGGCGGGAGGGAGCAATCGTGAGCGCCGCTCGCAGTGAGACGGCCGCCAACCGTCACGTTCGAACCGGTGCGACGCGGTGCGGTGCGCAACAAGTCTCGGCGGGCGGACGCTCTCGATACGCTTCTCTCCTTCAGCAATGGGCGGCAGAACCCTCCTCGACCGATCGCTGAGGGCACTCTCCCTGCTCATGGCCGCGCGAGGCTAACGTCGAGTCTTTGCTCCTGGCAGATACCTCATTTCCAATCCGACTTGAGAATCTCCGTCCCGACAATACCGCCAAAATGGTCCGCACTTCGGTTCTCCACGATGCCCTCAACTCCATCAACAACGCCGAGAAGGCCGGCAAGCGCCAGGTCCTGATCCGACCCAGCTCCAAGGTCATTGTCAAGTTCCTGCAGGTCATGCAGCGCCATGGTACGTGAGAAATTGCGGGCGTCGTCCGTCGAAAGCGGAGGATGCGTTGGATACATCGGGTTCGAGGCTGCAAAATCCTTCGGTATGATAACTAGGGCGACCGTCGACTCTGCTCCCACGACCCAGCCCCTATAAGTTGCCGATATATCAAGCTCCTGCGACGGCCTCGAACCTGTTGTTTCCGAATCTTTCGACTCTTTTCGATGCTCGGGATTGTCGCAACATTGACTGACCTTGTGATCCACGCAGGCTACATTGGCGAGTTCGAGGAGGTCGATGACCACCGCTCCGGCAAGATCGTCGTTCAGCTGAACGGCCGTCTCAACAAGACCGGTGTTATCTCTCCCCGCTACAACGTCCGCCTGGCCGACCTCGAGAAGTGGGTTGTCAAGCTGCTGCCTGCCCGTCAGTTCGGCTACGTCATTCTGACCACCTCGGCTGGTATCATGGACCACGAGGAGGCTCGCCGCAAGCACGTTGCTGGCAAGATTATTGGCTTCTTCTACTAGAGAACGGATGCCAATGGGGTTAAAAAAGTATATGGGCATGGTTGGCGTTCTGGGTGGCCATGATGAACAGTGGCCTATGTTGTCAGCTGCCGTTGAAATGTAGCGCAATATAGCTCTCTCTGAATGGGACCTTGAGGATGTGACGCCCAGCGTGGGGTCGTGTTATGTGAGGCTGTGAGTGTGTATGGCCGCCGCATGCGCATTGGCAGTCGGAATCCTTTAATGCTTTCCATGGCCTCCATAGGGGCTGCGTGGCGATGCCGGGTGCATCTGAGACAGTGCCCGGTCCCAGCGTTGCTTGACGCACTGTTGCAGCACATCCGAGGCTGGTCAGCGTTCCGGCATTCGCTGCGCTTCATTTGGGCCCATGACTGCGTTGACACCCCTCGCCATCAAGTGACAATGAGTGAGAATATTTAGAACAGAGGGGGGAAATGAAAGTCGCTACATGCATGAGCCGTATGAATGGCCCGCTTGCTCGGAAATGCCCGTCTGCTAATTTGTGCTTTGGGTATAATGTGTAGAGTACGAGGTACACTGGTAGCATGCGGGCGGGGGCGTGTGTGCCATCGGGAAGCGAGCCCGCTGAAGACGGGAGGCTGCCTGGGAGACGCACTGTTGTGCTGGCGGGCGGGACTATTGACGGCCTGAGCGGTTTCGCTGGCGAAAAGTTCCGGCTGCCCGTCACCGGCCGTCAAACCCCCTGTCTTTGGGCCACCTGCCAGGTGCTGCCCACCCCAAACTCGAACAGGAACAGTCCGGCGGCGCCTGGGTTTTGGTTCCTTTCGCTCCTTTCGGCTCCCTGACTTGACCTGGCCTGGCCTGGCCTGGCCTTGCCGTTGGCTTAGCACCAGACGGATTGCCTGCCCAGCGCGCGCGTCTTACCTTCCACAATCCTTCCTCCAAACCCGACCAGGAGGCGCGCTTCGAATCTGCAATCCCCCATTCGGTTGAGGCGCAGAAACGTCATGAGCTCCTTTTCGCAGCCCTAGACGCCGACTTCCCCCCCAACCCTCTCCGATGCGACGACAGCCGACGAGCGCAGCTACTTTGACGCATAAACCCCGTCCGCCTTGGCGCCGATGCTGAAGCCTGCAGCCCTGCAAACAATGCGACGCCGACAGACCCTGGTGCTGATCGGCCTCGTCTTCGTCGCCTTCTGCTTCTACTCGGTCCTCCGCCTCGACGACTCGCGGCTGGTGAGGGAACCTGTGCCGGGTCAGAACCCACAGCCGCCAGAGACGAAGAACACAGGCGAGAACAATGCTGGCGACAAGCCCGAGTCCGTACAGTGGGAGGAGGCGCCTCGCATCCCCGGTGGCCCCCGACCAAAGCCTGTCAGCGGAACCGGCTCGCACCCCATCTGGTTTCTCATGAGCGATGCCCAGCGCGAGCACGACCGAGTCACCAAGAAGCAGTCCCAGACGCTGGCCGATGCCGTCAAGGAATACCGCAGGCGGTACCAATTGCCCCCGCCACCCAACTTCGACAAATGGTTCGAGTTTGCCACGGCCAACAAGGTCCAGCTGATCGACGAGTTCGACACCATTCACGACCTCATCACCCCCTTCTGGGGCCTGAAGCCGAAGACGATTCGCGCGAGAGCAAAGGAGGCATTGGGCTTCGACAATGCGCTCATCGGTGTCGCCATTCGGAACCATGAGATTTCTCACATCAACGGCGGCCAGGAATGGCAGCGCAATGCCACCGAGGGCATGATGGTCAAGTTTCTGCAGTACCTGCCGGACATGGACCTGGCCTTCAACATCCACGACGAGCCACGGGTCGTCGTTCCCCACGACGATCTGACGCGGCTCGTGAGCAAGGCACGCGACGTGAACATGCCCGCTTCCAACGCCAACTCGGCCCCAACCAATGACTTCTCCAAGACGGCTCCCGAGCTGAGCGACAAGAAGATGTTCGAAGAAACAAAGCTGACCCGGTTCAACGTCTTCGCCCACCAGCCCACCTGGACGCATTCGCGCATGTCGTGCCCGCCCGACAGCCCAGCCAGGATACTCGAGGAGGACGAGCGCGCCGACGACATGAGCAAGTACGGGGTTAGCGACCTCGGCTTCGTCTACAACGCTACAGCCATGTCGGATGTTTGTCTCACCCCGTCGCTGAGCTCGTCTTTCGGCTTCTTCGACCGGCCCAACGCCTTCAACATCGTCCACGACCTGTTCCCCATCTTCTCGCAGTCAAAGATTTCGTCCTACAACGACATCGTCTACCCCTCGCCGTGGTACTGGTACCAAAAGGTGTCCTACGATGAGGATAAGGACAAGCCTTGGACGCAGAAACTGGATAAGCTCTACTGGCGCGGCTCCACGACGGGTGGCTTCAGCCGGAATGGAGGTTGGAGGAGGCAGCACCGCCAGCACTTCGTCCAGAAGATCAACGCCCATGACCAGGTGCAAATCATGGTCAACAACGGGGGAGCAGAGAATCCGAAATGGGAGGCGAAGCAGGTTCCTCGCGGGGACTACCGCGACTTCATCGACGTGTCTTTCTCCCACGTCGGCCAGTGCGACCCCGGTGACTGCGACGCGCAGATCCAATTCTTCGACGTCAAGGACCGCGTGGAGCAGCAGGACGCGTGGGGGTACAAGTACCTCCTGGACATCGATGGCAACGCCTTTTCGGGTCGGTTCTACGCGTTCTTGCAGAGCAAGAGCCTAACGTTCAAACTTGCCGTATTCCGCGAGTGGCACAACGAGTGGCTCCGGCCCTGGGCTCACTACGTACCCCTGAGCCTCCAGGGCGACGAGTGGCTCGAAGCGGTGCGCTTCTTTGGCGACAGCAGCCTCGGCAACAATGAGGCGGAGCGCATCGCTATGGCGAGCAGGGAATGGGCCAACAAGGTAGTCCGCAAAGAGGACATGGAAGCGTGGTTTTTCAGACTGCTTCTCGAGTACGTCAACCCCTCCTGAGGCGTGCAGCCATCAGCCGTCGTGACTACGGATTGTTGGAGTTTCTCCTTACTAACGTCGGCTCGACAGGTATGGACGTGTAATTGACGATCAGAGAGCTATCATCGGCTTCGACCCGTCCAGCGCGGGCAAGAAGCTGTCGTAGCCAGCCCAAGAAACGGGCAAGGGCCGCAACGGTCTCTGTGTGAATGATGAAACGGCTGTATATGCATATACACAAACTGGGCGAGCCGGGACCTTGGTTTCGATACTAACATCTCCGGGTCGCTCGAAGGCGTACGGGCGCAGAGGGTCTTTTCCCCGGGTTTTCGCTTCTCTCTTTTTTTTCCCGGGGCGGCTTGTTGAAAGATAGTTGGCTTGATTGCGATTTGTGACGTCGGATCTATAAAGCATACAATAGAATACCCCTTTCGCCCCGTGACGACGATTTGCCCAGGCTCTCTGCTTGGAAGGTTTTGCGCCAGAGCTGTGCTGTCTGTGGCACCTCGACAAGCGCATGACGCATATTGCTGTCTCCATTACGCCTTAATTCAGTCCTCATCCTCATCCTCATCCTCCTCGCCCTCGCCGTCTCGATCCTGCGGCGACCGATCATCTGCTCTGTCGACCTCGCTGCTCTCACGGTGGCGGCGACGGCGTTGCTCAGCGTCACTGTCCTGGTTCTCGTCGGCATCTGCGTCTGCATCGGCATCGGCATCCTGCGTCTGCGTCTGCGTCTGCTCTTCCTCCTCGTCCTCAGCGCCTTGGTCCCAGCCGAGAGGCCGCTCCTTGTACTTGCGCATAGCCTCGAGCATGCGCTCGCTGGGATCCTGGACGGTGACCTCGATCTGGTCAATAACCTGCTCCTCATCGTCGTCCTGGGACATGCCGGCGGTGCGGGCGAGGCGCTTGGTGCGCTGGGGCCGGATGAAGGAGCGCTGCATGATGGGGTAGTAGTAGACGGCCTTTTGCTTGGGATACGTGTCGTCGTCGTTAGACGCGAGGATGATCTCATCTTCATACTTTGTCGGGTGGTCGAGCTCCGTCTCCTGGGCGGTCTCGTACGCCCTGACGCGGTTGAAGGCAAAGTGGCCGCGACCGCTGCCGGTGCCGTGCGTGTACAGGTCGTCGCTGTCGTGCTCCGGGTCGTCAAGGTCGAACTTGCGGCGGAAATTCTTGGCGACGTCCTTGGTCGGCGCGAGGTAGAAGTCGTAGTTCATGAGGTTCTGCGGCTTGGGGTTGTTGACAGGGTCCTGCTCGTAGGCAGCGAGGGCGGCCTCGAACATGGCCTCCTCGGCGGGCGTGCGGTCTATCGGGCGGAAGAGGCCGCTCAGCAGGCGCGTGTCGTACTGGGTCGCGTTGGTGATGGGGTTGGTGAGGAACTTGATGGTGACGTAGGCGCCGGAGTCGGGGAAGGCGTCCAAGTCGGGCAGCAAGGGAACCGCGTCAACGAGCTTGAGGTTCTTCTTGGTCGGATGCTTGACTCGCTTGGTGTCCTTGAGGTCGGCCTCGGCGACTTCGAAGCTGCGGTCGATCTTGCGCTTGATGGCCGCAGGGGAGTCGGCGGCGGCGTCGGGGGCCGGCCGCGCGGGTTTTCGGGCACGTGCGAGGAGGGCGCGGGCATTGTTGCCTTCGGGCCGCTTGGGCGTGCTCGACGAGATGTATTCTGTGCGGCGAAGGAAGGATACGTTGGCCTCGGCGACCTTGGGCTTGCCGAGGGCGGCGATGGGTCTCAGGAGCGCCCGGTCGTGAGGGTGAACCGGCGGTGCGACTGCCGGTGCTTGGATGGCTGCGTTTCAATGGGTCAGTATGGCCGGCCTCCGGTGAGTGTGTGTGTTATGGGGGTCGACTGACATCGCTCGTCGCCGTCGAAAACGCCAGGCATGCCCACGAGGTTGAGCGGCATGCCTAGCTCGGCGTCGGCCTCGATGTTGAGCGGCTGCTCTCTGGCCAGGCGGGACGCGAAGCCGGGCGTCGTGTACTGGCCGCTGGCGAGGCCCGTATTAGGGATGTCGAGCAGCTTTGGGGGCGTCGGCGGCGGCGGCAGGGCGTTGGAGAATCGGATGCGCGCGATGTAGTCCTGGTGAACCACGCGCTCGCCCGTGCGCGCCCCGGTGGACGCCATCGTAGCTGGGTGGCCGACGGACGATTGGTGCGCGCAGATACCCGGTGACGGCTGCTTGTTGCGATACGATGAAAATTCTCGTCGCAGGTGACGTGAGCTGGATAGCGGCGGCGGTCGCGATGCCGGCTGTCGTTTGCGTGTGTGGTGGTGTTGGAGGTTGAAAGAAGGCCAGAAAAAAGACGGGGCCCGCGACAAGGCTGGCTTTGCTGGCTGGGTGCCACTCGCAGCCAGCCAGTGCCAGTTTCCAGCTCTCCGCCACAACGCGATGCCACACAATAGCGTGAACCCCAATTGTTCGCGGACCAGCAATAGAGCCGCCGAAACTTGCCAGTCAAGACCTTGTCATATATAATTCATAAACAGTGAACGGCTGTACTATGGTCCCAAGGCTCGCTCGATGCGCGCCGACCGCCGCAATGCCTGGCTTCCCCTTCCACCACGATCTCTGCCCATGATGCGACTCGACGGATGCGCCGTCGCCGGTCATTCAACATTGATTGTTCATTAAGTGATCGTCTCAAAGACCAGGTTCCAGCAGCAATCTCGCCACCCAGCCCAAGTCGTCTATATGATCCTAATCCCTGAACCCCGACGGCGCGCGGGCTGCGGCGCCGACTCGCGGGTGCACCGTCCCGGCGTTACTCTTCATCACCCGCTACCGCTCAGGCGGACGGGAAACAATGTTGTACACGCAAGCGTCGGAAGTGTCGCGCGCTGATTTCTGCCCGCGGAAGCCCTTACGAGTTGTCCTTGCGGTAGCTCTTCTTGCCAACGGTAAAGGGGACGTAGCGGTACTTGATCATGTGCTGAATCTGCTTTCGCACTACCCGCAAGTTAGCCAATGCTCTGTGACGAGCGATTTTCGGGTGGAAGCCATACTCGTCAGAACAAAGAGGATCAACCAGTACATGACCAGAACGGGCCAGAAGACGGGCACGTTGAAGATCTCGAAGAAGGTGCAGAAGAAGGAGATGGTGACTGCGCGCGTGGCCCAGTACCAGAATTTGAACTCGGGGAGGCGGCGGATGAAGGGCTTGAACTCCTCGTCCTGCTTGGTCGGGAGAGTGCCGACGGAGCCGTCCTCCATCTCATTGTCGAGGGCGTCGTTGGACGGATCGAACTTGGGTTGAAGGAAGGCGAGGAAGAGGTTGAGCAGGTAGATGCCCAGAGCGTACGCGACTTTCAGGAGTCAGTCAACTCATGGCCGCACCGGGAGAGGGGATAGGCAGACGAACCGATATACCATCCCTGAGCAAAAAAGATGCGCAGGAAGAAGAGGAGCAGGGCGACGCCGGTGCCGACCCATCGGTACAGCACAAAGGGCGTCGACTGGTCCAGGAGGGCTTGGTAATGCTAGTTGCGGCCTTGATGTCAGCGCGAGGTCGCTGAGCGAGAGACGGCGTGTCTTCTCTCGACAGGAGCCGGTCCGGGCCAGGCCAGGCCAGGCCAGGCCAGCAGACTTGGGGCAGGCGTACTCTTTGGATCTTGGACGTGTGCGCCGTGACGCTCGCGAAGGGGGTCTGATCGGGCTCCGGCGCGTCCATCTTGTCGAGGTGCCTGCGGGTCGCGGGCGAGAAGTGCTCGGATAAATATGAAGAGCAGGAGGAGCAGCTGGGATCGTCGCGATGAAGCTGCGGCGACGGGGACTGTGCAGGTCGTACGAAGCAAGGTCGAGGAGTTGGCCGCTTCCAGAAAAAAGGGTCTTCTGGCCTGTCTGTCCTTTGAGGCGACGCGAATCTCGACTTTGCGCCGCATGCGTGGTGGGGCTCGACATTAAAAGGGACCTGCAGTGGCCGAAGCCACAGCCACAGTGGCCAATTGCGCGGCCTCCGGCCTGGAGTGCAGAGGCGGGCCTGTCCGCACTGTGTTTGATGGCTATCAGTACAAAGGGGCTGCAAGCCCAGGGCAGGCCATCGATCGCTTCACAAAGGGGAGCGTGGTCGATGCGCGACCGTCAGGGCTCGACTGTCAATAGCTTGCAGCAAGAGCTCCCGCCCGGTTCTGGATCGCTAGTGAGACTCGATCATTGTCGGCCGCTTTCGGAATTTAAGCCTTCGCGGGACCTGTCTGCGACGCGCGCGACATCTGAGACAGGATATGTCTGTACAGAGCCGCAAGTACCACACACAGTGCCGGCTTGCTACGCGTGTGGCGAGTGCGTCCTCGGCTGTCTCGCTGTGGTGCGTTTGTGCTGGGCGCACCTGTTGCAGGGAACCTGGAAGTAGGTTGGCGGTGCCTGCCCGATCTTCAGGGGAACGAAAGCCAAATATAGGGGCCCGGGGTTGGCGCAGCTCCACTGCGGTGGCCCTACGCGGTGCTGTAATACCTGGCCGGCCAGGTGAGCCTTTCGGTTGCTGGACCCCGGGCCTGTCCTGGGATGGCCAGGCTCGCCGTCCTTCCCTTTCCCAGCCGCTCCCGCCAAAACCGTTCGGGCAGCCAGCAAACCCACTCAACGGGCAGTCAGTCAGATCATGCCAACCAATCTGCAGGCCCTGGAGGACTGGCGAGCCAGGGTGTCCCGTCCCCGTTCAACGTCCGGTGTCGCCCAGTTCGACCGACACCACCAGCCCGTCCGTGGAAGCTCCGTACGTCTGGTCATTCCTGTTCGTCATGGCTTCCATTGCGCCTGCGCCAATGTGGCTGCCGTTGGCAGCGCAATTCAATGGCGTCCGCAACGGAGTACCTCGGGCGTCAATGCTATTGAATTATAGGTAACGTGCTTGCGCTGTCATCGTCGCCGGGCTCGCTTCGCTGGTTGCTCTGAATCACATCCCTGTGTCCTGGTTGTGGCCTCAACGTCGCAAATTTAGTGAGAGCTGGATGGTCACTTCGACATCCCCCATCCATAAAGCTGCTCGCCCAGGTCTAAGCGACCGATGGTACGGCGCAGCCACTTGCGTAGTGGCATGTACCCCGTACCTCTCGTATCACCGAAGCTCAAGCGCTCAGCTCCCTGAGACTATTGACAATTTGACACCAGGCAGGCCGTTGCTCGCTACAGCGGGGACGGCAGGCTCGCCCGGGCTGATTACCCTCCGTCTTTCCCTTCTGCCTCTCTTCGTCTCTACTGACCTTTCCACTCTCCTGGCGCCCACTGCTCTACTTGGGCGCCTCTGATCACCTACAACATAGCCAGCAGCCCGTCCCTCCGCTCCTCTGGCACTCCCCCTTTGCCTGCCCGGTTCGATCATGGCACTTCTTGCGAGAGCTCGAGCCTTTCATCGCCATAATCCCCTTCCAACTATCGGGCCTTGAGCAGCCATGTCGGAGATCGGACCACCCTTCCCGCCGGTGAGTACCAATCCATGCCGAGTCCGCCATGTCCTCCTCGGCGCGAAACCCCCTGACCTCTTTACCGGCCGCTGAGCCAGGCTGCTGGGCACCAGGTCCAGATCTGAACTAACACGACCTAACAGCAACTTGTTTGCTCCAACTGCCGCTCCACTGCGACTCCTCTCTGGAGAAAAGATGACGAGGACAACCTCCTGTGCAATGCCTGTGGCCTGTACGCCAAGCTCCACGGCTGTCCCCGGCCGTTGACGTCGAAGAGAGGGAGCACCGCATCAGCAGCCGACGCAGCATCTGCCGATGCCTCCATCTTGCCGTCCGCCAGGAGAGAGGCAAGCCCGCAAAAGGCACCTTCTCAACCCCAAGCCATCGCAGTCACCCCCGAAGCCCACCTCCTCGATGGCCTAGAGTCTATTGACTGGGCATCGTTGCAGACCGCCTACGGTGCGGCAACTTCAGTGCCGACTTGGCTCCAGCAACTCCAGTATTCAGGGCCCGCTGGGGGCAAACGTGCCGCCGACGCTCTGTTTCAACTCTCCGAACATCTTGTCCACCAGGGATCGCGCTGGTCAGCGACTCCACATGCAGTCCCTTTTCTATTAAGACTCCTGACCGACACTCGCACCCCGGATCGCCACAAGATAATCAGTCTTCTCGTCCGCCTCGCTGTTGGTGACCCGGATGACTGGCAGCCCGAGAACATCGACATCAAGGCCTGGCGGAAAGCCTGTGGTGACGAGCCGGATTTCGAATTGCAATCGTACGACGCCGTGCGAAGAGGCGTCCCAGTTCTAAAAGCCTTGACGCTGAACGACCCCGTCCCGACAGTGCAGGCGGTCTCCGCTCACGCCCTGGCGTGGTTCCCAGAAGTCGCCGACGAAGCGTCTGAAAACACCCTGACCCTGCTGTGGTCCATTATCGATGGACGAGCCGGATATGCGTGGGTTCAAGCCTCCGCCGTGTTGGCTATAGGTCTGCTCACGGCCGGCATGACTGCACTCCACTCCTCCGAAGGGGAAGCAAGAAAACACGACGAGCAGACAATCACCCGCTTGCGCAGCCTGTTTCGCAAACAGCCAGCTTCGCAGATGGTGAAATGGGCGGCCGCTAAAGTGATGCTCAACCTCGGCGCGGAAGACCCCGAAGCCATCCTGACTGTTGCCAGTGTGGCTACCAATCAGCAGATGCACGACGGTTGGCGCCTAATCGTGCCCGTCGGTGATGATATTGCAGGTGTCTCTGAAGAAGCGATCTCGGACTTTAGGGTTCGCAAGACAACTGACCTTGCATCCTCTACAGCCGTCAATGCCCTGCTTGATGCACTCGCCCAGACGTCGGGCGATGTGGCATCCTCTCTTTCTTATGAGATCATATGTATGACATTTCCTGCAAAGCTGGAGACGCGGCCGGTCTGTGGCCAACTACAAGAAAAGCAGCAGCAGGTTGTCCGGTCGCTGGCAAGCCTTAGTGAGTCCGTCTGGGCCAATGCCCAGCTTGGCACCCTCTGTACGAGGTACGGATTGCCTGGAGATCGTGACTCTATGAGGAAATACGCAGCCGCCACTTCCACTTAGGTCTCAACCTTTCGATTGGCCTCCGTTTGTGCAGTTGCGGCACTGACTTCTAATCCGACGAATATGTGCCATTTACGACCCGTTACATTGGCGTTTACATTTCAGCGTCTTGGGTGTAGTGAGGGAGAGGCGGGTGCATTGTTCAACGATACCCGGACGGACCATGCGTGGCGACGCGAGTTCGAATCTTCGACCACAACGCGTCGGAAAACCGTATCGCAGAGGACGTCAACCTTATCAATTGAGACCTGAAGCTCCTGTGAGCTCTAATATCTACTCGAAGAGAAGAGAAACTCAGTCATCAACATCAAGCACAGACCTTGCATCCCGGGATGGTTAAGCGTCTGCATCTACCGGAAACCGATCCGTGAACTTGAACACGGCAAGACCCTCCTTGAAGTCTTTGACGATGGCGTCGACGTCGTTTGAGACAAACACTCCTGGGCCATCATGAACGCCAGCCGCGGTGTTCGCGTCGCCCGTGGACCCAAGAAAGCCGACGGGCTTGCCCCAGTTGTAACCGTCTCTCAGGATCTGAGCTGGCCGACCGGGCGGGAACAGGGTTGTCTTGTTGGCTGCCTTGAACAGGGCCTGAGCGCCCGACGCCACTATGATGCCGTCGAAGCCAATGGCATCGGCGGCTGAGTAGGTTATGTCGACGCCGTCGGCGAGGGACTCGCCCACAGTGATGACCTTGACCTTGTCAGCCTTGAAAGCACTCTTGAGCGAGCTGGCCTGGTCCATCGACTCTTTGGCGGCGGTCGAGGCGAGCACACCGACTCGCAGCGTCGCGATAGTAGGCAGCTTTTGGCCAAAGATGGAGATGCCTTTGGTCGTGTTGCTGTGATAGAAGCGGTCATCCTCGGCGGGCGGTTCCAGACCAAGAGCCTTGCCCACGCGCACGGCGATGTCGTGGCTGATTCTGTTGAGCTGGAACAAGACGTTCTTCTGCACCGCCGGCTGCACCTGGCTGGTCTCAAAGCGGATGGCATCAATGAGGAACTGCTGCTCGATCTTGGTAAGGGAGTTGTAGAAGAGTCGCGGCTGGCTCCAGTGGTCGGCAAAGGTCGAGCTGCGGCTGCGGACCAGCGGGCCGTCGGCCTTGCGCTCGGGAGCGGTGAAGAATCCCTTGCCCTCGGTCTGGTTGGCCTGCATGGGAAAGCCCTTGTTGAGGGTGTTTGGATTGTCTGCAGCAAGGCATTAGCCGCCGCGTATTCCGTGGGACAAGACAGCTTTAGACTCACAAGGTGCCGTGTTCTTGGGAATCGTATTTTGCCCGGCGCCATCGCGGTTGTTGTTGTGGACCTTGCCGATGGGTCGGTTGATGGGCAGCTGCTCAAAGTTGGGACCGCCGTGGCGGTTGATCTGGGTATCGAGGTATGAGAAGATCCGTCCCTGCAGCAGAGGGTCTTCGGTGAAGTCGACGCCACGAACGATGTGCCCGGGTTGGAACTATGCTCGGTCAATACAAGGGCTTGGGCCTCGGACTGTCCGACTACTGACCATGGCCTGTTCCGTTTCAGCAAAGTAATTGACGGGATTTGCGTCGAGACGCATCACGCCCACAGGGTGAAGAGGCGCGAGCTCCTCGGGAATGATCTTGGTCGGGTCCATGACATCGAATCCGAAGCTGAGGGCCTGGCTCTCCTCGATGATCTGGATGTTGAGCTCCCATTCAGGGTATTCACCCGACTCGATGGCGTCAAAGAGATCCTGGCGGTGAAAGTCCGCATTCTTGCCTGCGACATGCTGGGCTTCGTCCCAAACCAAGCTGGCCTTGCCTTGCTTGGACTTCCAGTGCCACTTGATGAGTTTGGTATCGCCGTCGTTGGTGACAAAGCGGAATGTGTGGACTCCGAACCCGTCCTGATTACAGAATCAATATACCATTCACATATGACAGCAGGTATATAAGGAAGGGAAGGGGCCAGGATCGCACCATGTGTCGAAAGCTCCTCGGAATTCCATAGCCCGCCATGGCCCAGAAGAGGGTATGCAGCGTCGACGTCTCCTGGCTAAAGAAGTCCCAGGCGCTGTCGTGCGCCGTCGCCGCCTGGGGGATCTCATTGTCGGACCGGGGCTTGACGGCGTGGATCAGATCGGGGAACTGGATGGCGTCCTGGATGAAGAAGACGGGGATGTTGTTGCCGACAATGTCAAAGTTGCCCTCATCCGTGAAGCTGCCTCGGTCAGTACGGCATGTTCCCCAATGTGCGATGCGATACAGGCACACTTACAGTCTGACGGCAAAGCCATGGACATCGCGTGCCGTGTCTGCGCTGCCGCGCGAGCCAGCCACGGTGGAGAAGCGCACGAATGTAGGCGTCTTCTTGTCCTTGGCCCCCAAAAAGGACGCCGCCGTGATGTTGCTGAAGTCGCCATAGCTGGTAAAGGTGCCGTACGCACCGGCCCCGCGAGCATGGACAGCCCGTTCGGGCACCTACGGGGTCTGTTAGCATCAAGCCCCTAGCTTCCATCCGAACTGCTTCCATCCGGACTTACTCGTTCGTGGTCGAAGCGCGTAATCTTTTGTCGGAAGATAAAGTCCTCCAACAGAGTAGGCCCCCGCTGACCGGCTTTCAGGCTGTTCTGGTCCGCGATAGGTCCGCCGACGTCCGATGTCAAGAAGCCTTGACTGTCGTCTACGTCGTATTGGGCGACGTGGTCGCGGGACGTGACGCCGTCAGCCCTGGGAGCAAGTCGTGCAGGGTCCGCGAAGGGACACTGGGCACGAGCGAGACCAGCACCAACCAGAGAGGCGGCGAGAAGAGTCGGACACTTCATTTTGGCACCTAGGGTATGTCGATGATGCTATCGTCGAGTGTGGCACCTTGCCTAGCGCGTCCGGGTCGATAGGAATCTCCACGTCGATTAGGGGCGCGCCTTCACTTTATATGCGAGTGTTGTCACTCGCTCACCGACCCTAGCCCCGACGGCAAGTCTGTCTCTCGCAAGTGGAACAGGCCACGGCCTGGCATAAGAAAGTCCCGTACATGGGTGACACTCGCCGTCAGGGCGACACCGTTAAGGCGACAGCTGCGTCACCCACATGGCAAGCATTGGGGGGACGGGGAACCTGATTCATCGGCATCAGAGCACTGCAATTACAAACTAAAAGAGGCTGATGGGGCCATCTGTATCTTGGCCGACTACTTGATGTCGCAACGCTGCTCGGGGAGAGACAGTCTTTCCGGCCTGAGCCAATGCCTGCGTCTCGGGATCCCGCAAGGCGACTTATGCTTGACGTCGCCGTGGGTCCACTGGCTTCGAGCCCAGAGCTGGGTGCATGGGACCGATGCGATGCATGCATGGGGCCTTGCTGGGGTACACCTGGCATGCACTGCGGTTGAATCCCCAGGCTGTTGAGCCCGTCCGTGTGCTGCAGCAGGGTTTTCTCTGTGCGACCGAGGGGTATCTGCAGTCCCTTGAACCCATGTTGATGGGTGTTTTCGGTCTGCAGAACTCAGCAGTCTCCATGTATGAAGAGAGGCGCTTTCAACGAGAAAGTTACGCGTGCAAGGCAGGTTTCTTCGCCGACGCGATGAGCCCATCGGCGAGAGTCCACCAGACGGTCGATCTGCGGGTCGGCCCACGGACGACCGGACAATCTAAAACACCCTCATGCCCATTGGCTAGGATTCAGCCCGCAAGAGCGATGACTGGTTGAGACTTGAGAGGCAGGGGACAAGCCTTTCAAAGGACGGGGTGCGCCAATATCAAGCCGGTCCTAAGTAGGTTCTTGAGTATATCCTAGCGACCGCACCGAGACAGGCCTCCCCGGCGCCCTGGACTTCTTGGGAATAGATATTTTGGCAAGCTTATCACGCTTGCTGAAGCTACAAGCTGCCGGAACCAAGTTCTATCACCAAAGGCCCGCAATATCTGCGAAACAGCCGCCAATGAGGTTCGTCACGGACATATTAGCCAAGTCAGAGGAGGGGGAGAGCGCTGATCCCGTAGCAGGCGTGTTGGTGACAGACCAGACGACAGCGCGGTCGTGGAGAGGACTGCCAAGGCTTTGGGCGCTTAAAAGCTCCTGTACGAGCACCTTTGCACCAACTGACCGATGTGCCGGGCAGGCGACATACCGGGTACACCCTGTCGGATAGGTATCACAAATAGCCGTTGTGCGACGCGACGATGAGACGAGATTGAGTTGTTTTGTGTCGGAGGGCCAGGGCCCCGAAAGGCGCTGCGCAGCAGCGTTGCATCGAACATGGGGTCGCCAGATGCTGGCGGGACGCACGGCTTCACGGTCGTGAGCTCGTGCGAGCGAAGTACCCGTACGAAGTACTGCGTATTGCCAAAGAGACGACGGGCCCCGTTGTACAGGAGCAACCGTGGGCGAGGCAGGGACATTTGTTTGCGCAGAAGACGGGACGAAGCCGAGCCTGGATCCATGCACGCCTCGTCCGTTCCTGCCAGCGGCTGATGGAATCATTGCAGCCGTGCCGCGTCCACCGAGCCAACGGGACGTTTCTTTTTACTCATCTCGTCGCACCAGGAGCGCACAACGGGTGAACGCGAACCGTTGAGCTCCAGACATGTACCAACGAGCATCGCACGGCATCTATCAGGATGTTCAGCCGACCGTCCGTAAAGCAACTGAACGGTGAAGCAGCCGACACGCCGGCGTACGTGTGGCCCAACACGTTCGATTTCGCGAGCGACCGCTTCACGGCGACAGGTTCGCGGCCGATGCGGGATGCGGGATGCGGGATCACCCATTCAGTCTCATGCATCGGTGCAGCATGGTGTTTTGTCGGGCACGCTTGATACGAAGTGCTTCTTGGCGCGTCGGTTCGACTCAAGGGGCGCCGTCGTGTGCCGCTGCAAAAGTAACGGCAGGGAGTGCATGGTTCGTTTGGCTTCCAGTTGGAATGCCAAAAGGAACGGCCGAGAGTCGCTGGCTGCAGGTAGCCTGATGATGCCATACTGGAGTCGGGAGTCTCCGAGGGGAAGCCCATGGTCCGATGTACAGACTTGGTCGACGCGGTGCAATTACCATAAACATGCAAGAGCGAGCGAGGCTAAAGACAAGCTTAGCAACACCAACGGCAGGCCGAGCCAAGGCTTTTAGCGCAAGTGCAGGCAGGAGGAACGCCGTGTAAACGGCCAAGAGCCGGGACTTGGGGCGGTTGTTCGTGCCTCCTTCCCATCATATCGTTAGGCACGAAGTACTTCGTAGTTCGCGCCCCATCGGTCCCGTATGCACGGACGGGAGCCCCAGCACTGCCGAGGGCAGGAGCGACCCGCACGAGGCAGCTTGCGATTTGCGATCGCAAGATGCAGGTAGATTCGTCGTACGAGCACTGGTTCCGTAATGAAGATCTGACCTGGCGAGAAATGTGCCGAGCCAAAGCGTGCTCAAAAAGGGCGTCTGATGCAGCAGGATGTATGAAGCAGATTGATCGTCGTTTGATCTCATCCTATGTCGTGACTCGTCAGCGGCCACAACACCAGCCCCGACGGCGCACTTACACGAGTTTTCCGCTGTGATCTCGACCACAGGCGCTGTCGGAACTGGAAGAGACGGGCAGCGCTGTCGCAAAAGAACCGTTTGAGACCTCGTTGCTCTCGTTGCTCATCAGCGGACGTAACGGCCGCTCCGACTCCGCACTGACACGAGTCCTCCGCCGGGAACGTTGAGAAGAAGGAGCAGCGCAATCGCGAAGGAGATGTTTGAGACCACAGTGAGATCAACAGTCAATCAAAGCAAATAGAGTCAGGGGCCACGCCCTGCTGCTGTCAGCGTTCCTGCAGCATTGCATGGCATCGATGTATTCGGAGGCGGGTTCGGTACTCTAGCCAAATCACCAAGTAATTCAGCTCAACCACCTGCACGGCGCGCGCAACCACGCAATCGCCATCGCCAGATGACCCGGCTCGTTTCCCGGATAGGTGAACACCAAGCCCCCAGAGCCGCTCTTTTTAACTCCAATCCAGGGTCTGAGCCGCCACCTGCGGACCATAGGGCCGTAGCTTACGCCTCACCCGAAGCCACTCGTATACCCGTTTAGGCAAACGAGAGCTGTCTATGTCCCACATCGCCGTCTTTTGCAACGTCCAGCGTCGTCATGCGCCGCCTTACACGGTGTTCGACTTGCGATGGGAGCCGAGATGAGAAATTCACGAGGAAGTCTGCGCCTCTGTTTGCGTGCGCGTCTTTGGTCCTCAGTAGAGATAAATAGAAGGCCGTTGACACCACATGTCCGACCTTCGACAACGAAGCAGTGACACCAAGAACAACTCATCATGAAGCTTCAGAACATCTTTTCGCTCGCCGCTCTATGCGGCATCGGCAAAGCGGATGCCTCCTCCGAATCCCGCGAGGACATCATCGCACACACCAAGCAGGGCCCCGTTCGCGGCATCCAAGTCCATGACCGCGTCGATGCGTTCCTGGGCGTCCCCTACGCGCAGCCGCCCGTGGGCAAGTTGCGTTTCCAACCGCCGCAGCCCCTCAAGGTCACCCGCATTTCCCAGAGGCGCGGCGAGGCATTCAATGCCACCAAGTTCGGCCCTGCGTGCTACCAGTTCATGTACAACACCATCTTGGGAGACTCGGGCAAGCCCAGCACGCCCGAGTCCGAGGACTGCCTCACCCTCAACGTCTACGTCCCGAAAAGATCTGGGAAGACGGAGAAGAAGAAGAAGTTGCCGGTATATGTATGGTCCTATGGCGGCGGCTTTGGCGAAGGGTCCAACAGCGTGCCGCTGTATGATCCCACCGACTTTGTCGCCGAGAGCAAGGATATAATCGTTGTCACTTGGAAGTACGTTGCGGTGCCCCCTTCATACATCTTTGCATATGATACATCAAAGGGCAAAGCCGGTGCTAAGTAGCTTCTTCTGTCTGAACAGCTACCGCCTCAACATTTTCGGCTTCCCCAACTCGCCCGCCCTGCGACACCAGAACCTCGGCATCCGCGACCAGCGCCTCGCGCTCGAGTGGCTGCGCGACAACCTCGCCTCCTTCGGCGGCGACCCGCGGCGCATCGTCTTCGGCGGGCAGTCGGCCGGCGCCGACTCGGGCCACTCGATGGTGTACTCGCACCCGCGAGACCCCATCATATCTGCCTTGCTGCTCCAGAGCGGCACCATCGAGATTCTCAACGCGCGCAGTGCCGACGCGGATTTTGAGTACGTGCGAGTCGCGGGGGTGGTGGGATGTGCGAACAGCGACCGCGAGAAGGAGCTCGAGTGTATGAGGACCGTTGATGCGGACAGGCTGAAGCACGCCATCACGAATAGCACGCTCAACAGGTTTGGCTCGCCGTACGGGGGTATGCCCATGGCGGACAACGTCACCATCTTCACCAACGACGAGTATGCGAAGCGCGGCAAGGCAGGCAACTTTGCTCGTCTGGTGAGTACAGTCACTTGACTCCTGTTGTCGTCGACCTACCAGGGGACACTGGCTGACTTTTGTTACGCAGCCGACACTGATGGGCATGACGCTCAATGAGGGAGACGCGGTCACCAACTGGGATCCGGTAAAGGGCATCAACAAGACCGTCTCGAGGATCATTACGGAAACATCTTTTGAGTGCAATACCGCTGCCGAGTCTGGGTGCGCATCTCGCCCCAACCTCTTTCCGCCAGCACGTCGCGACTGACCATGTCAATGTAGATACCGAGCTCTGCATCATGTCCCAGTGTGGCGATATCTGTTCAAGGGAGTTTTCCCAGAAGTCACGACCTACCCTTGGGCGAGATCGTATCACGGAGGTACTGTACCTTTGGTTCTCCCTGGTCGTTCCGTCTAAGGCACCGCTGACCGTAGTAGCGGACATTCCCCTTCTCATGGGCACGTATAACCTCATGGCTAGCAACAAGACGGTGGGCGACAAGAGCTCGACTACGAAAGAAGCCTCCCGCCTCCTGCAACACTTCTTCGCCGCCTTCATCAAGGACCCGACCCATGGCCTTGAGAAGAGCTACGGGCTGCCAACTTACCGACCCAATAGTACCACGCTTGTCGAGCTCTTCAACGAAAACAAGCCGAGCTTGACTCGAGCGAGGGCGACAGACAATCCCGCCTGCGCTAACCCGACCCCGATCCCGTGGGACGAGACCAGCTAGGCGGCGTTTAGGCGAGGTCCCAGGCGCTCTGGCTGTCGCAACTCAGTCGGCAAGCAAGGGCATGGCGTGAGTGCGGAGTGTGAGTAAATTGCCAGTCGCTATCATGATACAAATCAGGGCCAAGCCGGCGCCTCAACATGCCGAGCAAGTATCCTATCCAAGCAAAATATCAACCTCATCCTTGGCCTGGGCATCCCACGCCTTCTGCAAAATGTGACCGATGCCTCTCCTGTACGCCACGCCAGCTATCCGCTCAATCCATAATACGTTCACAATGTCAATGATTTCATCCGAATCCATGTTCTCCTCGAACCTCTCCATACTAAACACGTATGAGCCCTTGCGCTCCATAGCTGTCGAGATGGCAATAAACTCGAGCTTTTCGTCGCCGTCGTAATTGGACGACTGCACCCCCAGCCAGCCGTCGTGCGCCCGAAATTCGCCCACCCACCTGTCGGACCTGCTCCAAATGTTGCCGGCGGCGATGGGCGGGTTCGGCTTCTCCTTTGGAGTCATGGATATCGCATAATCGACGTCAAAGAAGGCAGCTGTGGTCTTGAAGGCGAGGAGGGGCCCGGGAAGTGGTCTCTCGCGATGTCGAGGGTCGTAGTCGCCTTCCTCTGGCGGCTCCTCGACCGGCACCGGGTATTTGAAGACGGTCAGCTCGTCGCTGTCATGCTTGAAGTGTGACCCTCCTGATCTAACCCATCCAGGCGGCAGTTGCGCATTGGCGCTCTTGCGTGACCGCAGTTCTCGATACTGCAGACCGTTGTTCGTTATGGGAACAGAGTTGGCTCGGTCTGTAAGAGTCCACGTCACAGTCGGCTTGATTCTGAAAGAGTGGGTGGGCTGGAATCGTTTTGAGCCCTGCCCACGCTTGGTTGCCCTCGTTTCCTCGACGTAATCGGCGCCTGCTCTCCACAGTGTTAAATCGACCGGTATCCCGTCGAACCACCAGCCCATCCAAGACCATGACGGCAGAAATGGCGGCCTGGTAAGCGCTCGTCGCCGTATGGTCGCCTGCGGCCTCCACAGCAGCGCGACGTCGAGGAACATCAGAGGCATGCCATAGACGAACCCGCCAGCAAAGACACGTGAAAGGACATGCGTGATGCCCGAAAAGGCCGCCAGCGTATCGTCCACGAGCGTCACCCTGCGTGAGCTATAATCCATGGCGACGCGGGCATATTCGTCGAGGTCGGGCCAGGGTGCATGCTGGTAGCCAAAGGCGGCGGACGAGAGGCGGTTGTTGCACTCGTTGCGCTTCCCGCGCATGGCCTTGAGGACGCCTGTCGGGCTGCCCTGCCAGAGGTCGCAGTGGCACTCCCACGTTACGGAGTCTTCGAAGAAGAATACGGCGCGCCGCGAGTACAGGAGCTCCTGCAGCGTCCAGCCGCGCGTGTTCCATCTCGACGACAGCAGCAGGTCGTTGTGCTCCCGGGGTCCGCCTTTGGCAGTGCGGGTCGGCCGCCGCGGATCCAGAGGCAGCAGACCCGTGTCGACGTCGCCGTAGGCAGCGACGATGGTGAGGTAGGCGTTGGCGAAGACGTACGCCATGTGCTCGATATGATCAGCCTTGTCTGCCTCGTCATCCTGAGTGATGCAAAGCCTATCAACCCAGAGATGCCGGATGCCGAGCTTCTTGGAGAGCCAGATGGCGTCGAGTATAGTCTTGGGGATGTCTGCGTCTGCGAGCCCCAGCTGTAAGGCGTCGGCATTGCTGCTCAGGAGTTGCGCAACGCCGCCGGGGCCATCTCGACGGGTCGCGACACCCCAAACGTAGCTGAGCGCGGTGTAGCGGTCTGTAGGCTTCGCGCGGACTAGGCAGCGCTCAACCGTGTCAATGAGATAGACGGGGCGCCAGGTCGGAACATCCGAGGGCCTGTCCCCGCTGCAGTGATTATGATGCTGGCCATTGCAGGTGTCGAGCCATTCCCTGATGCGCGGAATGGGCGACTGTCTGGTCGCCGACGATGCGCGACGCTGAATCGTCGCGGCGGTGTCCTTGCGAGCCTGGCTGAAGGTTCCACGTAGTCGCTCCGTGATGCTCTGTCGCCGGCTTGGCGGGGGATCGCGGTCGCGGTCGCGATCGCGCTCACGGGACCAACCGCTCTCGGGCATGGCAGCGGTGCTGGATCAGGTGCGCGGAAGACGGTGGAGAGTGCCTCACCAGCAGTGACCGGCGCAACTCAGTAGCGCTGGCGCGAGGGCCATGATCTTCGGGCCAGCGGCGGTTTGTTGTTGTTGTTGTCTTGACGATACGGTGCGCTAGATCGCTGAGCGGGTTATAATCGCAGTCTGGGGCTGCCTGGCCAGCGCAGGGCACGGGGCTAAATGGGCAACTTACGCACGCTCATGCGGGACAAGAGACGGGGCTGATGACGGAGTGGCGGGGATGTCTGGTCACTGTGGTGGTGCCCCATGGCGGTAGCTTCCGTTCGTGGTGCCGTGGCGGCGTGTTCCAGCAGGTCATTGGGCGCCCGGGAGGCACTGGACCCCTGGGGGGAACGCCAGCACGCTGACGGCCCCAACAATGGGGGCCGTCTTGAAGCTGTCACGAACTGCAAGGAGCCGACAATACTTGAGCGGGCCAGCGGTGACGAACGGAAAACGAAACCGTTCCCCAGAGACAAAGCTGGTGCAGCTGGTATGAAACAGCCGGCGTGTAGGCCCACCTCGCTATTGCACCTTCCATTCCATTTACGCTCGATTTTCTGAAGCCTAAACAGTGAGGCAGGAAGGAACCGGCACCACGTGGGACAACATGCCTGAGGTACTCCCTTTACTTACGAAGTACTTCGTACGTACATACGTACTGTTGTTCACCCACGGGGAAGGTGCGTTCTGTTCTCGGCTATCAGCTTTCTGACCACGTCACGCTGCGGCCGCCGCGTTGAGTCCTTGGTACGGAGTACAGGTATCTTGGTTTTCCGGATGGTTTGGACTCTGGACTGACAGGCGAAGCATGGCGCCAAAGGTCCTCCAATGCTGCCCAGTGCAAACGCCCCATTTCAAAGCATCTCCTTAAGTCTTCTTGATGACTGCAAGCCGCCAAAATTTCCACCAGCATCCCTCTCCCATTCTTCATGGGTTGTAATAGTGAGCTGGCAGCAGATGCGAAGCAAGGAGCGACGACGATGCAATTAGACCCTAGAACCTCAACCAGGACTCGTTTCGAATGAGCCCGACAACCAGCCCACCATTGCAAGAGCTCCGGTGGACGCACCGGATTATCGGCTGTCATTTCGGAAGCAAGTACCGACCTCTGGATCATGGAGATTTTGACGAGTTGAATTCTTTAGCCCCCAGGCTTTCTAGCCAGGCCGCCACATCAGCTGCGCCGGTCCGCCGAGCCGCGTCAAGGGGCGTGAGTTTCTCCCAAGGCGGGACAAAGTTGATCGCTTCCGCTCCTCCGTGCGAATGGAGATATTGTGCCGTCCTGAGCTGGCCCCCGTGGCACGCGTTCCATAACGCGCAGTTGATGTCCTCCTGTGGCGGCCGGATTACCGGTGATCCAAAGAATGATTCCACGCGTTCCTGCAAGCCCAGCGTTGCAGCGTCCTGGAGCGTGACTCTCGCGCCGCGCTCGACCAGCCTGTGCGCCGTCTTGAGCTGCAGGAACGCCCGCGCATCCGCCAGAGGCGTCTCGGCAATGACACCGCCTGAGGCATCGATGTCTGCCCCGGCGTCCAGGAGGGCATCAAGAAGAGCCACGTCGTCGTTGCTGGCGGCCCAGTGAAGGGGGGTCTCGGAGTGGGCATCGCCGACAAAGGGCGCGTTCACGTCTGCTCCGGCGGCGATGAGCGCTTGAGCCGTGTCAGGGCCTCTAGGTAAATTGCCTGGCCAGTCGGCGAGGACGTGAAGAAGTGTGCGGGCCTCAGAGGGGGTGCCGACGTGAGCGGTTGCAAGTGCTGGATCGGCCGAGAGGCAGGCTGTGAGCGCATCGGTATCGCCAGAGCGGATGGCAGCGATGGCAGGCGCCACTCTCTTGTCCTCCTTGTCGACGAACATGACGGCGTCCTTCGAAGTTCCGATTCTTGACGAGAGATGGTAGATGGTAGGAGAAGGTCTTATATTGGCTTTGGCCGCACGGTGATAGGAGAAGAGTGCAGAGATGCACCGTGAATCAAGCCAGGCAGTCACGGCTCAAGACCCCGCTACTGCGCCTTCCACTGTCTCGCACTCCCCGTATCCGAGAACCCGGCCCCACTTCGGCCCCGACCAAGCCGGTCCACGGATGGTCCGCGCCGATTCGAGACACCGGTCGGTCCGCGCCTCATACGTTCAATCCCTCAAGCTAGAAGCGTGCGATCCGGAGCTTAGTGGTTCTCAACATATGCTATAGCCGCCATCTACATAATACCCAGTCTCGACCGCGTCCAGGTCCACCCACAGCCAGTAGACATCCCAACGCCACTGCGCGCCCAGCCGCCGAAACGTCGCATTGCTCGGCGCGTTACCACGCTCAATTCCAGCCATTGCGATTGGCTCCGGCTCTAAGGCCTCCAAGTCAGACTGATCTCGGAGCACCGGGGGTTCCAGCGCGCCTTTATCACGCAATCGTCGAACAACAGCTCCGGCAAGACCCATGCCTCGATACGTCGGGGCAACGTACAGCGTACTGACGGCCCCATCTCGCCCCGTAAAGGCGTAGGCAATGGCCTTGCCGCCTCCTGTCCCATCTGCTTCACGGATCGCCGCGCTAGGGAGTTCGTTGAGTTGCGCCACGCTCATGCGCTCATGCTCGGCTAGAATGTCTGCGTGGTCGCTCATCCCTACAGAGCTCCACACCAGCCCTTGAGGTAACCCATTCGATGAACCGTCCGGAGCTGCTGCAACGGAATCCAGGTTACCTTTGGCGGAGAATATGTACTTGCCGTAGGGCCCGTTCATTCTGACCACCAGCCCCGCTCGCGCCAGTAGCGCCGCCAGGGTTGCCTGAACGTTGCCGATAAGGATACTGTTTTTGCCAGGCTGTGTCGGACTCCTTTCGTGCCTCGCTTCTGGGACTTTCGAAAGGATGGCAAGCAGCTGGCGGGTCGCTGTGTCTAGGACGTTCGAGTTGAACGGCAGATTGATCTCGTCCAACTTCGGGGTGCTTCTCGGCGGCGTGGGGTCCATGCTCGATCCAACGCCGTCATGGAGCTCGAGAGATGAAAAGGGCCATATTTCGGTGCCAGGGTAGTTGTCTCTGTCTATGAGTGCAATTGCCCAAACGTCTTCGACCCCGAAGCTCACTGCGTTCTTCACCATGTTGGGGCTGTCACTACGCGGCAGCGAGACGGTGCATAAGAGGGTGTTGTTTCGAACTCCCTCGCCAAATTGTATCGTGCGCAATATTGGCAGGGACTGTGGAAGACGCTTGATAAGGAAGCTGACAATGTCAATTTCCGCATTGGTTGCGATCGAAGAATAGCCTGATTGCAGCACAAATCGACCGTCTGCTTGGCGGGCGTATATGTTGACTGGCGGAAGCATGGCGAAGATGCCCAAATGCTCCGAATTTGCGACTGGGTGAATTTGAAAGGCGATGCGCTGCGATAGCAGCTCAAAAATAAATACAATGCGAGCCCTCTGACTCACCTGGCATAGCTGTCAGCACCTTATTCCGAACTGGCCGAGGGCCGATTGCGTGCGAGCGGCACTAACTCGGGACTGGGCTCGATCATCGGTCATTTATTTACACTACAAATTACAACTATATAAACAGGCGCTGAGGCTTGCAGCACCCTTTCGGTCAGGGCAATAATGATACCCCAAAGCTGACACCACGTCGCATCACTCTGGCCTATTTGCCTTTTGCATGCCCGAATGCCATCTTGCCCTGCCATCGACGCAGCCTTTGCCCGTACATCTGCAAAACAACAATGAAAAAGACGGACGCAAAAGTAATGCCAGCCTGAGCCCCCAGCGCCTTGGCCGGCCCTCCCCGCTCGACCCATTCGATCTGTATGTACGTCGCCATGAAGCCTGCCCAGTTGCGGCTGGCCGTGACCCAAGCGCTAACTTCTCCCGACCCCTCGGGATAGCAGTCGAGGAGGTACGCGTTGATAGCCGTCGTCACAATCATAACGCCGAAGCACTGCAGCGCGGCAACTACGGCCAGCACCATGTAGTGCCAGTGGTGCTCGAACCCCTGGCCGAGAAGGATAAGGCTCACGCAGAGAATCAGCGTCGCCGGGTACGTGATGATGAGACGGGCCTCCGGGTCGAGGCGGCCGGCGTGGCGGCGCGTGTAGAAGCGCCCGATGGCATCATGCAGGAAGTGGCCCGCGAACCAGCCGGCAAGGACGCCTACGATACCGAAGAAGTAGAAGTAGCCGAGACCGCGCGTGTCGAAGCCGTAGATGTTGGTCAGCCAGATGGCGATGGTAGTGTTGACGCCAATGACCCAAGCGAAGTTGAGGAAGTAGTAGACGAGGATCAACAGCACGGGGAGCTTCGTGATGGCAATGACGGGACGCGTGAGGCACTGCGTCAGGCTGCGGTGCTTCCACGACTGCGCCTGCTGCGCTCCGAGAAGTCGGCCCAGATAAGGGCCCCTGGGCACGGGCGGCGCCTTGCGGTCGAAGAGGGTCTCATCAAGGAACAAGACAGCAATCCATCCAATGCCGGAGAGTATGGTGCAAACCCAAAACGCCCAGCGCCAGTCCACGTCTGACACGATAAAGCAGGCAATAAGGGGCCCAATATAGGGGCTCAGGATAATGGAGAATTCAATGTAGTTGATGACGCGCGGGTGCTCATGGAAAAAGAATAGGTCCTTGATCCACATGAGCGCGCCACCCTGGCCGACGCTGCAGAAGAAGCCGTTGATGATGCGTGCGGCGAGGTAGGACTGGAAGCTGGTCGCCGCGCCGGACCATGCGCAGGTGGCCACCATGACGGTCTGGAAGATGAAGGTGACGGGCCAGCGACCAAAATAAGCCGCCAGGGGCACGACGAAGAGGCCGCAGGCGCCGATGGTAAAGAGGTTTCCGACGACGGCACGCTGGACCTCTGCCTGTGAAAGATGCCACTCACTGCAACGAATATGTTAACCATTTTGTTTGCCATAACAGCGCCGCCGAACTTGGCCAGACGCAAGTCGTATGTTGTGGATGTTGGTTTAATCTACTTACAACGACTGTGGGATGACCGTAATGATGGCCGTGCCACCTGTATAATCGGCCAAAAAGGCAATGTACGCCATGATGGCGACGAGGGCCCATTTTCTGCGCGAGCTCCAGTTCAACGGATCGTCGGGCGTGTCGAGCGGCTGCGGGATGAGCACATAGCGCCCATCGGCGCTGGTCTTGAGCCGCGCCGCGTTATCGGGATACCGACTCGGGTCGACGACATATCCACTGAGGGCCTCACTCTCCTCGTCAATGTCTGACTCTGCGACCGTGCGCACGACGTTAGAGATTGGTTTCTCCACCGGCGGCGTTGGTGATGGCTGAGACATGGCGTTGGATGCCTCGATCGAATGCCTGGTGTTGCGGCTGGTGTCACGCTGCAAACGGAGGAGGGGAAAGGGACGGCCTCCTGCGATGGACGTCGGGGCGAGGAGACGTCACAGGCAAAGTAGAGGGAGCACCAATGCGACAGAGAAGTTGGTTGCCGGGATGATTCCATACCGCTGCAGGAGAGTTACATGCGCCTGGCCCTGTCTCTGCGCTGCTACGACTTGACCAACCTCTCAAGTTTCGCCTACGCCTTCGTATTACTTACAAGTATGGGAGCGAAAGGGGATGGAGGATGGGCACTACGTTGCAAGTCGCTCATCTCCAGCCGCTTCAGGCAGGCCCCCCTCGACACGGTCGACGCGAAAAGGCCGTTTCCCTTCCCTTCTGCAGCGACCAGCATGCATTGGCGTGGCGCTCTTTACAGGGGCGGGTAAGGGCGGATCGCGGGCCGGAGGTGCAGGGCCGGCCAGTGCCCCACTTTGTGCCGCGCCGGGCGACCCGCAATCCATCATCCGAAGGCAGGGGTTCAATGTTCCCGAGCCGGGGGTCCCGAAATCTGCGCCGATGAAAAAACTTGGCGATCCAATCCGCGTTCCTGTCCCCCGGGGTGGTCGAGCTAACTACGTAACGACCCTTGGAATTGGGAAGTTCGGTAACCTCGACCAACAGCACATCTTCACCGCGCTGTGCCGCCTCCGTCCTAGCCTGAAACTGCTCCCGACACCTTTCCCTTCGACGGATCTTTGACCAGTAAGGAAGCTGTTACGGCTCAGGTACGGAGCTGGGCCGCTGAAGGAGCCAAGGCCTTGTATGTTTTACGGAAGGCTCTGTGCATCCATGCCTTCTTTTGGACAGCCAACATGAGATTGCCACCATTGAGGGTGCCAGGCCTGGCAGCCGGTGTACGCTCAAGACGGGACGTGAGAGGGATCGAGGATGTAAAATCAAAGAAGCAGGTATCACAGTTGTCGTGATGAATTCTTCGCTGTGTCAAATCAAAACTGAATTCGCCAGTGTTGTTTTCTTTACCAACTTGCGCATGTGTTCCGTCATGTTTTGAGCGCTTTTGAAGCGCTGCACCCAGCTATCCAAGCTACAGAGCTACCCCTCGCCTCTGCCACGGGCACTATGTCTACACAGGCTGCCTCTCCAGCATATGGCGGCAGAGGCCCTCTGCTTCTGGGCGTGTCGTGGGCCGAGGCCGCCGTTGCGCTCATCTTGATCGCGTTGCGAGCCAAGACAGCATCTCTCTGCCCGCCGGGCCATTTGCTTTCGACTGGTATCTTCGGTCTGCGGTGGGACTTCTGCTGGGTCATTTTTGCGCTGGTGAGTCTATCCTCAACTAACATCAGAGCCTAAAATCTTTGGTGGAAGCAAATGCTCATGCTCCTTCAGGCCTTGGCACTCTCCGCCCAAGTCCTCATGACCGTCAGTGCTCGCTTCGGCCTTGGCAATCACGAAGGTCTCCTTTCCGATGCCGACATCGTTCAGACAAACTTTTGGAGCTGGATGGCCCAAGTGCTCGCCATTCTTGCCATGGCAGTGGGCAGGATCGCCGTCATAGCCTTCCTCATCACGCTCCAAGCCCGGACAAACGTCACGGGCCGCTGGGTACTGTATCTCGTCGGCGCCGCGCAAGGTCTGATAAATCTGGGAGAAGTCGTCTTGATTTTGCGGCAGTGCGATCCTATACAGAAGCTCTGGGATCACAACGTGCCGGGTACTTGCGACCTGGTGCTTGTCTGCTCGCAAGTCGGATTTGCCCAAGGGAGTAAGTCAACACGCACAGCACAGTTCAAAACGGTACAGTCGGAGCTGATAATGCTCAGGTATCGGTGCGGCAGCCGACGTCTTTCTTGCCTTTTATCCCATATACATAATCGGATCACTCCAGCACATGAAGCTCAGTTTAAAGATTGGCCTTTGCCTCATCATGGGCGGCGGCGTGATGTAGGCATCTACGATCCCAACTTCTCGTTGCGCGAGCTGACTCTTGGCTGCAGAGCGGGAGTTGCAGGCATCAACAAAACCGTCGCCATCGCTACCATCACGCAGACCCAGGACATCACCTACGCCATCGCCAAACTCAACACCTGGGTCCTGACCGAGATGTGGTTCATCATCATCTTTGGGTCCATTCCCGTGCTGCGGCCATTTTTCGTCCGCTTCTCGCAGAGCATAAAAGGCACCACAGGGAGCGCTTGCTCCAGGGACAGGACCGGCCGCTCCACAAAGACGAGCCGGAGCCGCGAGCAGGATGACTCGTGGATGCAGCTCTACGACAGGCCCGCCGCCTTCCGCGTTTGCCGCGACCCCTCTGTAACAAGTCGAGAGACTGACGACCACGCCGGGACAGGGGACGAGCAGTGTCTGACGAACAGAGGGTCAGGGGGCGTCATTGTCGTGACCAAGGACGTTTCCGTCGTGAGCGAGCGCTGCCCCTGACAGATGTCAGATGTAAATCTATTGAGCTTCTGCATAAAATGTCAAGTTGTTACATAGAGTCTTCCTTTTCACAACGGTGCAAGTGGTTAGTTCTACAGACGGGCGATTCTCGATCAATCGGGTCGCGATCTCTGCCTGCTTGTAATCCCATGCTCAGTAACGACAGCAACGGCAGCAACGGCAGATGAGACAGCGTTACTAAATGTCTGCTGGCGTTAAGGCAGGTCGCCATCTTTCTACAGCAAAAATAGGTCGCCCTGCCAGTGGCCCCAACCTGTAAGCAACTTGTACAACTAACCATTTGCATCCTTGTGAATGAGAAAACACATTGCATGTACATGAGACATGAATGCCTTGCATTAGGCAAATCGGGTGGTGCGTCCAGACAATTCAACGTCATACCGCATGGAGCAGTGGCCGTAATATACCCAATACGGGTAGCAGGGACGGAGCAACCCAGGAAACTCCCGAATCTAAACCTCGCCCTTGCGGAAATAACGATTTCCAAACTCTTTGGTGAAATTGCACCCGACTCATGCATGTAAGCTGCAGTGTAACCACGGTGTTGGTGGCGCACTTTCTCGATGCGGGATAGCAGCTTCGTGTGACGGATGACATCCTGGCACAACACTAACGAGGCTACGTGTAGTAGATGCAAGTGCTCCAAGATGGACGTGAGACTACGCGGCACGGTCGCACTTGGGCTCCAAAGCGAGTTGGAATCCGAATTGGCACCTCTCTCCCGTGAAGGACGTCGAGCAGAGATTTATTTCCGCACCGGCAAACGCTCTTCACATGCATCCTTGAGCCAAGCTGCATCAAAGCAAGTCCACCATGAGTGTCCAGGAACAGCTCGAGAGATTGCAACAGCTCGCCGCCCAGGATGCTGGGGGCGATGCCACGGCGCACAATGCTCTGCTCAAGGGCATCCGAGAGCTGCAGCTAACCGTCGAAACCCCAATCGAGACGACTTCACGGCTCAACTTTCAGGTACAAGATCCATCTAACGAGGCATATGGAAGAATTACGGCTAATCGTTGAGCAGATTATGCAAAGCATTTGCAGCCGTGTTGCGCTCGAGTACCGCCTGCTGCATATACTTGTTGCCGGGGATGGAAAACCCGTCACTGCTTCCGAGCTGGCAAGCGAATCTGGCGCAGATGAGCTCCTAATCAGTGCGTAGTGCCGTAGCAAGCTCACTCAGCATCCTACTGATGTCGTGGTTCACGGCGCAGTTCGAGTGATGCGCGTCCTCGCCCCCATCGGGCTCTGTGACGAAGTCGGCCCTCAGACGTACGCCGCCAACGCAAATACGCGGTTCAGGGTCTTGCCTGGCTCGATTGGGGCAGAAAAACACCAGTACGTCGTGACTTACACCACACTTGAATATTGAGTAGGGCTGACCGGCATTTCTGCAGCTTTGATCTTGACTTTGGGATGGTATGAGCCTCCGAAACGAGCCCAGCATTTGCATTTTCTGATATATCGAACTTAGGGTGGCCGACTCGTAGACTACATGCGTGGTCCTGGCATCCATCAGTTTGCCGACGAACCTAACGAGGTGACACTTTTCGAGTACGCCTTAGGCACGAAGACAATATTCGGCCATCTCGAGAGGAACGAGGAGCAGAAGAGGTCGTTCGACGACTACATGGCGTCTCGACGAATGGTAAACGCGCCTCAGTGGTTTGACATCTTCCCGGCGGTGCGACGGTTTGGTGACCTGCGAGGAGACACAGCCGTTCTCCTCGTCGACGTCGGCGGCGGGCCGGGCCAGGAATTGGCACGCTTCAAGGAACGGCACCCAGAAATGCCTGGGAGACTGATCCTGCAAGACCTCCCTCTGACTCTGCGGCGAATCGAGAGGCTTCCTGACGGCATCGAGGCGATGGAATATGACTTCTTCACTCCTCAGCCGGTCAAGGGTAGGACAGCCACCTCGAGATTTGTACACAGGTGCGTGTGCGGCAGACTGACCTGGCCATAGGTGCTCGCGCATATTTTCTCCGCAACGTCTTGCATAACTGGTCCAATTCCAAGAGCGAGAAAATCCTCTCGCGTATAGTCGAGGCTATGGACCCAGAGTACTCGACGCTGCTCATTGACGACTATGTTTTGCCCGACACCAATGCCGAATTACGCGCCGCTGAGATGGACATACTGATGTGGTTACATACGTCAGGCTTAGAGAGGACTGTGTCGCAATGGGATGCGCTCTTCTCCAAGGTCGGCCTGGAGCGGGTTCAGATTTGGAGAGCCGAACGAGGGAACGAGTCCGTCATTGAAGCACGGGTGCGCAAGTGATGTTTGCCTGACCACATGGCAGGCTGCGGCCGCAGTGTTGGGTATAGACGGACCAGTTCCGGTCCGTCTTACAAGAAGATAGTCACCAAAATGGACAACGCTATGACTTGGTTTCCAGCTCAATGTCCAGCTGGCGAGGAGTCAGCCATGATCTGCAGCACATCACAACTAATCGCCTCAGCTAGCATAGCGGCGTTCGGGATGGATCGTCGCAGCGCCTGTCGTAGCGCCCGTCGTGTTCTTCGTTTCCAGACTTGTTCGGCAGTGCTCCCTGGCGATCACACGTCGCCACTGCCGGACTGTAGCCGTGAACCCAGAGCCACCTATGTCAGCTGCTATTATTGCAACACCTTGAAGGATAGGTAATAAGTATAAAAGGCGACTTCAATTGTCCATTGTGCAGTTCAGTCGGGTCTCACGCATAGACAGCCAACAAGCTCAATACCGCAAACATGGTCCAGTTCTCGATCCAGTCCGCCGTCGTTGTGCTCCTCGGCGTCGCCTCAGGCGCTCGTGCCTGCAAGGGCCCGCCCGTCAACTCGGCCACCCTTGACCTTGTGGCCAACTTTGAAGGCTTCCGCGCCAACCCTTGTGCGTACCTCTTCTCGGCAGAGAGGCATCCTTTTCTGACCCAGGGGATATAGACACCGACGCCACTGGCCATCCGACTGTCGGCTACGGCCATCTCTGCAAGCAGTCCGGGTGCAAGGACGTCAAGTTCCCCATCCCGCTGTCCAAGGCCGACGGCAAGAAGCTGCTGGCGCAAGACATTGCGGTAAGTCGGCGCCTTTCCTCTCGGTAAACGAAACACCGGTAGACTGATGGTTCCTGTAGATCGCGCAAAACTGCATCACCTCAGACACGGCCAACCCCGTGACGCTCAACGCCAACCAGTACGGCGCGCTGGTGAGCTGGGCCTTCAACGTCGGCTGCGGCGCGGCTGGGTCATCGACGCTCGTCTCGCGTCTCAACAAGGGCGAGAACCCCAAGACGGTCATCGCCACGGAGCTGCCCAAGTGGAACAAGGGCAACGGCAAGCCGATCCCCGGCCTCACCCGTCGCCGCAAGGCCGAGGTCGACCTGGCCAACACGGCCACCAACGACCCTGCCCTGCCGGCCAAGTGCTGAGTGGGGCTGGGCTGACCTGCGAGCTGTACGATGGGAATTCACTTCGGGAGAGAAACTGATAGATAAGGTAGAGAGATAGTTTGGAATGGTTTGCTGTTTTCGTCGAGATTGTGTTTGCTTGCTGTGTACCGTGATCGGAGTCTGTGGCACGGTGGCACCTGCCACTACTCAGTTCATTGCCCAATCTGGCAATGCACTCTGCCGACCCGCTGGACGGGGAAGCAGCGACCTGCAGCGTCTGCGGCTGCGTCGCACCCACCGTAGGCACCTACCTAGATCTGGCAATGTGAGATTCGCTGTGCGCTGTAACCACGGCTCGCCCCACTGTGAGCTCGGGCTGACGTTGACGACGGGACCTTGGGGACGTAAGGCACGGTAATTGATGGCCCCGTGCACCTCCGAGTACGCCTGGACTACCAACCAGGCCGCCGGCAATTCGATCACCACGATCGCAATCCACCTTCTACATCACGCGCACCTCCGTTGCGACGCCCGCCGCTGCATTTCGCTCCACGCATATGGCATAGATTCGGACGATCGCGTTTCTTCGCACCTCGACCTTCTAGGGTCCTGGACTTTGCACCGGCGGCTTCCTACGTCTGCACTGTGCCCGTCCGCCGCGCCAGAGAGAATCGTCTGCGACTCGCCACGACTTCGTCGCGGTCATACACAACAGACACACCAGGCAGATGGCATACGGCGCGATGGACCGCCCCGCGAGAGCAGAGTACGAGCCCCTGGCTGCGGCCGAGGACGATGGCGAGCACGACCGCGGGCCGGAGCCCCTCGAGACGTCGACGGTCCTCGACAGCCACGGTCTCGACCACGGCGCCCTCGTGCCCTTCTCCTGGATCGAGTACGCCATCTTTGCCTTCCTCGGCGTCGCCATGCTCTGGGCGTGGAACATGTTCCTCGCCGCCGCGCCCTACTTCGCCTTCCGCCTCGCCGGCCACGACTGGGCCGAGGCCAACTTCCAGTCCGCCATCCTCACCGTCTCGACCCTCACCAACCTCTCCGTCCTCCTCGTCCTCACAAACGTCCAGCAGTCGGCCTCATACCCCTTTCGCATCAACCTCGCCCTCGTCATCAACTCTGTCGTCTTCTCCCTCCTGACGTGCTCCACCGCCTTCTTCCTCGATGTGAGCCCCGGTGGCTACCTCGCCTTCCTGCTCTTCATGGTGGCCTGCTCCGCCTTGGCCATGGCCCTGATACAGAACGGCGCGTTCGCTTTCGCGGCCAGCTTCGGCAGGCCCGAGTACATGCAGGGCCTCATGGCTGGACAGGGCGTCGCCGGTGTGCTGCCCGCGGTGGCGCAGGTCGTCACAGTCCTGCTCTTCCCACCTCCGACCGACGATCAGTCCGCGCCGTCGTCGCACGGCGGCCAGACATCCGCCTTCCTCTACTTTCTCGCCGCTGTAGTCATCTCAGTCACCGCCCTCGTCGCTCTCATCCCTCTGGTGCGACGCCACCACCGCATCGTGGAGAGTCGGATGGCCGACCACATGGCTGAGTCGATGAACAGCATCGAGGACGCCGAGCGCGCCGCTCGCAAGGCCACGTCGCTGTGGGCATTGTTCCTCAAGCTCCGCTGGCTCGCCCTCGGTGTCGCGCTCACGTTCACCGTCACCATGTTCTTTCCCGTCTTCACTACGAAGATACGCTCTGTGCAGGAGGACAAGGGTCTCCTCTTCAAGCCACCCGTCTTCATACCACTCGGGTTCTTCTTCTGGAACCTGGGCGACCTGGGCGGCAGGATGGCCACCATGTTCCCCTTCTCCCTCCGGCACCAGCCCGTCATGCTCTTTGTGTTGGCGGCGCTACGCATCGGCCAACTACCACTGTACTTTCTCTGCAACATTGGCGGCAGGGGCGCCGTTGTTTCCAGCGACTTCTTCTATCTCTTTGTCGTCCAGTTGTCTTTTGGTCTGACAAACGGCTGGCTCGGGTCGAGCTTCATGATGGCTTCGGGAGAATGGGTGGACGAGGGCGAGCGTGAGGCCACGGGCGGCTTCATGGGCCTCTTCCTCGTCGTGGGCCTTACTGCCGGGAGCCTCTTGAGTTTCACCCTCTCAAGCATATAGATGGGGTCATGGCGCATGCATTTTAGGCGTTCCGGCTGTGGTAATCTGCTTCTGTTTTATTGTAGATGACGCGGTGGGCGACGTATATGTCTGTCTTGTATCTAGCTGAGCACGCTATATCTTGCAAGATGCAGTGCACCAGCAGTTTCAAGCATCGTCCTGTGTTTCCGATGCCTCTCTGTAAAATCTTCTTGACCCGTGCTGTCTCGCCGGTCAATCCGCCAACGCCAGGGCCATGGTTGCCTCGATGCCGGGATTTCCCGCTCCCGGCCAAGCGAGCAGCCGTTGCCCGACTTATATAGCCAACACACTCAAACGCCAAAGTGCAATCGACGCGCTGAAAACCCTTGAAGATCAAAATCCAAAACCCGCAACATGCCGTCACGCTTGGCCACCAGCGGCTGCCTTGTCGTTTGCCGTGTCTATCCGAAACGGCTCGAGGAGTCGCTGCAACGACGCGACCTCGGCCGTGTGATTGAACAGCTTGGTCCCCGCCTTTTCCTCGACCATGGCATTGTCCCCGTTCGCATGGCCTGCCTCAACCTTGCCCCTGATGTTGATTATCTCTGCGTGCTTGCTCGGCGATATCGCAGCGCACTCGAGAGCGCATAGCGTGGGTGGGCGGTAGAACACGCCGCTGCAGAGTATCCACCGCGCCGTGTAGAAGCCCCTCTCGATGAGCTCTTGTTCGGCCTTTCGCCAACGCTCAAATTTGACTAGGGGGTCTTTCCAGTCAAAGTCGCCCATCCGCAGCTTGACAGAGCGGTCGCGGCGGTGTAATTGAACAAAACAAGTACAGTCGCGGAGCGTCATGGCGACAACAAAGCGAGGATCCGAGGGCTCCGCGAATAGTGGCCCGAGCTTGTCATGGCGAATTTGCTGAAGCTTCAGGTCATGAATCGCAGGGTGTCTTGCAACGTTGGATAGAACTGCCCGGTAATGCTCTCGCTCGTCGGCAAAGGCGAGCTTCGGGGCGATGCGGAAGGGTGAACTAGCTTGCGGAGGAGCATCGTCGGTGTCCAGTGTCAGCGGGCAAGGCTTCTTGTCCGGCATGGTCCTGCTGCATGACGGGTCGTGGATGAGGTTCCGCAGCTCCATGGCGCATTGCCTGCATCTGACGGCATCCTTTGGGGCGCTGGGAGACTGGGAGAGCCACTTTGGCTTGAACTCGATCAAGATGGAGTCTTCGGGCTCTGCTAAGGGTATGAGCACGGTGGCACGGCTGGTGGCGGTGCAATACAGGGACTCACTGTCTGGTCGCATGTCCTCGACGAGGAATCCCCAGTCCGTCTGTCCGATAAAGGTGCCCTTGAACTTGTCCTTGCGCGTTTCATCGATGTCACGGAGGTGCTTGTTAAGCTCCTCCACGATACCAGATTTGCGAAGGATGACGAGTTCTTGACGAATGGCGTAGGTGCCCAGGAGAGGCTTGATGGCGCTCTGGTAGAACTTTTGCTGTACGAGATAATTGTACGTCGGCGGATGGTCAAGAGTCGGGACTTTAGCCACCCTCAAGAGCAGACCTGCGGCATGAGTCGCCGTCAGCGAGAGGGTCGAAACCATCGAAAGGCGAGCAAGAGGTCAGGCACTCACCACTAAAGTCGTAACCGCCGCCATTGCGCCGCGGCACCCTGAACTCGAAAACGGCGTTGGCCGAGCCTTCGCCAATGAGCCTCACGGGTCTGGTTCCCCGGGGTAGTCTCCTGATGCGCTGCTGCCTCAGGGTGTCGGCGCGAGGCCTGGTGGCCGAGTCGGTGCCGCCCAGAGCATAGATCATGGCCATGTCCTTTGGCGTTATCCATGAGCAGTCGTCCTGATCAAGGGCTCGGTCGGCGGCGCCAGGGGCGCATCTTGGGGGAGTTGGCTTAGAGCTGGTCAGCGACTGCGCGGCGCGTCGGTCGTCATCAGCGGCGACAGCGGCAGCAGTGGCAATAACGGTGGCATCACGAGTATCGACATCAGCCGTTGCATCGGCCGCGCCATCGGCCGAACCGTCGCGGGCCTGCGGCCGGGGAGCTGCCGAAGAGTCTTGGGCACGCTGGGGTGGCACTGCCTGCAGGGCCATGATTGGGGCGCGGGTCTGCAGGTCGATGCAAGGAACTACCTCTGGCGCGGCGGATGAGGCAGCGCGGCTGCAAGTCTCGGGGCCTGGCGAGGGAGCACAACAGCGGCTACGGGAAGGGCTGAGGTCGCCCAGGCCGCTCTCAAAGACCCCTTGCGGGGGGTTCTGGGCGATTCGACTCGAGGCGGCCTCGCATCGATGGCTTCATCAGCAGGCAGGCAGCCCAGGCGGCTCAAAGCGGCGCACAAGGAAGGTAGTGTTGGGGCGCGCGCAGATGCGATTGCAGAGATGCAGAAGATGGCCCGATCGCCGAGGGGTCGTGCGCTCCTGAGGTACAACAAAGCAGGTTGGGGACAGAAAAGGGTTCCAAGGTTGGCCGCTCGCTGCGTTTCTGGAGTCTTGAGCAGGGCTGTAGTGTGGCGGCAGGAGCTGGCGGTGGTGCTTGCTTTTTTTGGTGCGGCGGATTTTAGCTGCTCTGCTTTGTAGGTATGTACCTTCATTCGAACCAGCAACATGGAAGCAATACCTCTGCGTGAAAGGTACCTAAGGTATTCATTCGTCTGCACCTACCTACACTGCGCAATGCCTACACCAAGCCTGCAACTCACCACTGGAGCCCTACCTACACGGTAACAACCTGCGAGGGCTCTCCTTGGCCTGTTCAGCTCGGCGTGTCGGAGACCCCAGGACGACCCTGCTTTCTTTGGACAGCGCAGTGGAGGCATCGTCAATGCAGCGCGCGCAACCCACGAGGGGCGCGCAGCCAGGCCATGTAACGTGAAATGGGCAGGCTGCTGCATACACGCGAGCCACACAAGGACGCCATGGTACGAGAAGGGATGCGCTGACTGGGTTGGGCAGCATGGCAGCCACAATGGCACCGCCAGCGAGCAGCCCAGGCCAGGCTTTCTTCTATCAATTGGGACCGTAAATTGCCTCGCACACGGCATGCTGATGCTGTCTGGATGCGGTGGCGGCTCTCAAAAGGGCGAGACGGGAATACTCGTGCCACCCGGGGCGGGAACCCGTGGGACAAACGGGTTCTGCTCGTACGAGACGCAGCCGCATTCGCGGCCGGTGAGGCCTCTCCAGGCCAACAGGTGTGTGATGTCACTCACGAACCGAGGGCCGTTTTGCCTAGCGTTGTTGATGTTGATGCGGGCGGCGCGCGTCACGCGGCCAGGTCGCTGGACACACCCTCTGCTGCTCGTTGCTGCGAGCGGTTGCCAGCATGGAGACGTCATCTGATGGATGCCACCGCTGAGCGACGACAGTTGAGGCGCGCATGCATGCACAAAACAACTGATCCTACCTTGGCTTGTTCAGGTCTCTACGCTGACCCCGCGCGGTTGCCATTTGCCCGTGGTGATGCCATGGCTGGATCACACGCGACGGGCGGCCTCGGGTGACTGTGTCCCTCCGCAAGTCCGCCTGGCCTGATCTGATTGCGGGCAGCCTCCATACGATCCAGGTTCTGCGCAGTGGCAATCAACTGGGCAATGCGGGCGCTCCCCGCATCAATCGCGTCAACGATCCGCCTCGCCAGACGCAGCCCAGCCCATAGGCTCATGACGGACACTGGAGCAGCCCAGGCACGGAGGACCCCAGTGAGCCCCGAGCTGTGGAACGCAGCGGGGTCGCCCCAGCATCCGTGCACCCACAGCTCCCCTCGCATCACTGTAGAGAGCCTGGAGACCCTCCCGGGAGCTTCCAGCATTCCCGCTGGCCGAAAAATTGTCAGCGACCTCTCCACTGTGGTCCCGCCCTTGCACGCCTAGGTGCCCCATGCGCCAGAGCCGGGGCCACCCAGTGAGCAGCCCGGAAAAAATTCACAGCTGCCGCGTTCTGCCTGTGCTCCCGAGGTCGAGGAAAGCGACACTGCGCGACGAGATTTTTCCACAGCGTCATCCCCCCTTCATAGCTTCCTTCTCCCTTTGCTCCTCGCCCGCCACCCACGCCAACTCTCGCGTGCCACAACGACGCCGAGTCTCGACACTTCTTCGAGGCATATCTCGCTCGCCTCGCTCGCCTGCTCTTCGACCCTCCAACGATCCGCGCGCATCGTGCTTCGACCGACCGGCCCGAGGACGGCCGCAGTGCTCCTCCGCCACCACCTGCGTCCGATGATCGCGCGACGATAGCTGCCATTTCAACATGGCCTTCAACTTCAACTGGTCGCCGCTCACGGCCGACGCCGACTTCTACCGGCGCGCCCGCGACCTCCTCACTAAAGCGCTCAACAAGTCGCCCAAGCCGCCCATCATCGTCGATGATATCCTCGTCAGCGAGTTCAACCTGGGCACCGTACCCCCGGACCTGGAGATTCTCGAGATCGGCGACCTCGCCGAGGATAGGTTCCGCGGCATCTTCAAGATGTGCTACTCGGGCGACGCTTTCCTGACGCTCAAGACGCGGGTTCAAGTACGTTTTGCCATCTCTTTGTCGCAGGTCGTTTTGCCGTCGTGACGTGATGGAGCTCGAGCTCCGTCGTGTTGCGCCCCGTCTCCGATAATGCCCGACAGCATCTGCTGCCCAGCCTCACGAACACAACACACTCCAAAACAACCCGATTTGTCTGCGAGAGGGTTTCTGGTGTCTGGCGCAATTGCGTTATTACTTTTAGCAGACGAGTGTCTGTCCTTTGCATTATCTCAGGCCGCCGTTCCTGGGCGGCGCTCCTACCCTTGCGCACAGAGCGCCATGCCTGGCTTACATGCGTCGCCGTCGCGATGCTCGCTTTCCCCCCCGCCGCGCAACCTCATCACGGCTCGTGGCAAAACAAACCCGCTTCATTTGCCGTTGTTCATGCGCCGCGGGTGCTTCGCGTTTTCTCCTTACAAGGGTGGCGCGCGGCCGTTCCTCTCTGCTTTAAATGAACGGGCAGGGGTATATCAGATTGGCGATGTCATAGCACACGATACTGACAAGGGTGTCGCAACCGCAGGCCAATCCGTTGAACACCTATCTCTACTCCAAGCCGAGCTTTACATCGCCGCAACCGCTCGCCGCGGCATCGGGCCTGACGATACCCCTCTCCATCACACTGTCAGAAATCAAGCTCTCCGCCTTCATCATCCTCGTGTTTTCCAAGCAAAAGGGTCTGACCCTTGTCTTCCGCAATGACCCCCTCGAGTCCCTCAAGGTGTCGTCGACCTTTGACTCCATTCAGTTCGTGCGTGACTACCTGCAACGCACCATCGAGCAACAACTACGAAACCTGATGATGGACGAGCTGCCCGCCATCATTCATCGCCTGTCGCTCGAACTTTGGTGCCCCGACCAGGCGAACAAGGGTACACAAACTCCTCAAGAAGATGTCGACGAGAAGGGTGTCGATCCCTTTGCAAGTCCGCCTTTGGACCCTGTCGACGCCAACGGCAACCTGTTAGACCCAAACGCCATCTCGGAGCTCTCCTTGAACGGCGGCGGCGAGATGCAGTACCTCTTCTCGCAAAAGAACCTGCTTCGACTGGCTGCTCTGACCGACTCTCACCGAACACTGTCGTTGTTCACGCCGGGTATCCGAGACGTCGTTTTTCGCGCCTGGTCCGGCTACGGAGACCGCTCCGAGTCTGCGACTCCTGCCCTGGCCACGCCCAGCTTGACCAAGACGTACTCGTTCCCCGCCGGCGGCAGCACTACATATACCTTTTCAGACTCGGGCAGCACCGCGCACGGCTACTTCCCGTCGAGACCGTCGCTAGTCAGCGTCAACTCCACGTCGGCCTTGCCACACGGCTCTGGTCATCGATCGAGGCCAGGTCGAAAGAAGAAGACCAGAGTGGTCAACCTCCGGCGATCGAGGTCCGAAGCGGGCTCAACCGATGGTTTGTCAGAAGCAGACAGCTCCGAGACGGCGTCGGTGAACGTTCCATCGTCCGAACCTGTCTTTTCAACTTCAATTCCCGAGGAGCCAGAGACACAAAGTGCAGAGGCTGCCGCCACTGCATCTGGCAAAGTGCGCTTTACACACATGCACAAGGATACCACGGATATGCGCCAGGCCGTCATGTCAGAAATGCTGAAGAGGAACATGGAGCAAGCCGCGTCCGTGCCCAAGCAACAGCCCGGATCCGCGCCATCGGCTCCTCTCGAGATTCCACCCCTGTCGGAGAAGGCACCCGCTAGCCATCGCAAGGAAGCTGTCGCGGTCAAGGAGCACGGTAGCAGCAGCTCCGATACTTCTTCTGTCATCCTCGAGCAGGCGTGGATCATGAAGATGGCTGGTGAGATAGCCCGCCGCGTTTATGACGAAAAGAACCGTCAACGCCAAGGCATGTGGGACGACACAGAGAACCCACCGCCCCCCGCCTATGAAGCCGCCACACCCTGATGCTGCGCACACCACAGTCACTCGTTTTAGCCCATTTTGTTTTCCTTTACTATTGTCTGTCAGGCTCTATGCAGAGGCGTTTTTTGGTTCGGTAAAGCGCGCGTCTGGCTTCGTGTACATCTACATACCCCATGATGTCAGCCTTATCTACATTGCGGAGCGTGTGGTCGACTCGGCTGGGGTCTCGAATCTCCACTGGACCTCGCGTCTGTGGATCACGACGGCGAAGGCGTCTGGCATGCCCCCGTCACAATTATTAACTTTTAACTCTGCTTGCTTTACTGCTTGGGCAGCCGTCGGTCCCGGGTTGAAAGAAAGACGCGGGTGTATCAACATTGGTGGCTACCGTGGGAATTCCACTAGGTTTTGGATATGCACAGGAGTCTGGACGGAACAAAAGGTACTGTCCGAGACGGACGAGGGACGAGGTATTCCGGGATGCTTGGGACGCAATGGCTGCTTGATGCATTCGGCGAGCTGAGCGCGCGTGCTGTGCTTCAGCGATATACTCTCCAATCCAACACATTCGATATCGATTCCAACCTGGCTCTGGCGATGCTCGCAGTCTATCATTGCTCAGTGACCACTCTTGACAGCGAATAATGTGACAGGACATGGGATAGCTGCGCTGCATCCCGACGGACCCTGAAGTCTGGTTAGCCTCGGAAACCTGCGAGGCCCGGTATAGCGACATCAAATGCTCCTCCTGCACACTGCCATATCGCAGTCCACTTTGCTACAAGGCAAGCGACTTCTTTGGCCCTCACCCCGCGCTGCTGTACTGCCAGTCCTCCTTGCAATAGGCTCCGTGGGTGCCCGGCCAGCAGATCTTGGGGCACTCGATGATGAACCTGAACGAGTAATCCTCCTCGCACACCCAGAGCGAGTTGCAAGTGGGCTCGGCTCGGTGGCCTGCATGTTGCGCATAGCGCGTCAGGGTGTCCGCGTCGGTGTAACCTGGCGACATCATTTAGTAAATCCGCTCCAGGCACGAAAGTCGAAGACGTTGATGATGAGTGGTAGGGGGTTGGAGGATCAAGGACCGGGTCGTGGAATACTCGCTTTACCTTGTCCGAGCAGCTCCAAGGCGCAGTAGGTTCGTCCGGGGTGGCACGCGACTGCTGCCACGAGGGGCGCGGCGGGGAGGATGATGGCGAGTAAGTAAGCAGCGGATGTTCTCATGGTGAACGATGCCGAGTAGCTTCTTCGTGGAGTTGTCTAGACTGGTGTTACTGGTGTTTTTGCTTCCGAGAGTCGGTTGAGTGATGGGTAGGCCGCTTCATGATACTGAGCCAGTTTTACAGTCTTAAAAGGTTTATATACTCTCTGGCAAGCTTTATGGGTGAGTGACGCTGTTGAATACTTTAGCAATCCCTGACATCGACATACGGACGCTTGCGGTTTCAGTAGCTGTCATGACCGCATGGTTTATTCAAGAACTCAATCCACGGGACCAAAGGCAGGCAGACATATGAGTTTTGCGAGGCAAGACACACAACGCTGTACGCTGTGTCGACTAAATTAATGTGTAATGGGTTGAAAGGTGTCCTGTGCTAAGGAATGTATCATGGAACCAACGGAAAGGATCCCACCGGGAGGGCCAACACACCTATGTGCCCTACGCTTGGGCTGTGCCTATGCACACACGGAGATTGACGTTCATGGAGAGATTCAGTCAACAAGACTGACGCCTAGAGACACTCTGCCAGCGCTCTGACAGGACTGGAGCCTACAATACGTTCACGCTGGAGGAGACTGGGTCGAGACAAGAAAAACGGCGAAGCTTATGCCGGTCTCCCCAACCGTCTATTCCTACTCGTCACGGGCTCTGGGCGGACAATTTGCGCGCCGGTGCTGTGGCGCCGTCGCCAGGAGGCGCGTGAAGCACCCAAGGCCCGCTGCGAAGGAAGCAATCCCCCGAATCTAGCCTCTCAGTTGGCATGTAGTAGTGTCCACGCCGGCAGGCACGATTCATTTTATATGAGGCTGACGGGTTCTAGACGTTATATGGCAATGATGTGAGGTTCAATTATCATAGCCTTGCTCTCCAAGGCTGCGTCCGGCTGGGATCAGGGTCTGGTCCGCCAGAGGCTCTATTTTGAAGCAGATTGACTGCAGATAAGGTGGTACGACGAAAACAGAGCACATCAATCTTGGCCCGAAATTGGCACCATGGCTTACTGCTGGCCGCCTAGCCGGCCGAGAGTTCCTCGACTAGACTTCGAGTTCAAAGACAGCGGTGTCGTCCGCCAAGGTGCTTTTGGTGCTCGATTGAGTCCTTGGTGAACGGCGGGGTCTTAGGGTACGATGTTCTCGGGATGCCTGCCCATGCAATATGGTCGGGTGGCGCCCACGGAGGCTTCATCAGTAGCCTGCTAGAGACGCCGAGGTACTCATCTGTGGTGCTTCGGTGACATTCGTGGTATCTTGATCCCTAAGAGCATGATCTGCCGCAACGATCGGGCCCCGAGATAGATAAGATCGCGGAAAGAGAATAGTACACCTCGGACCTAGATCTCAGATATAGTATGGGCCTGGGATGGACGGCCATCGTGGGCAGATAAGGTCGCCGATTCCGCCAAGCTCGCGCGATCGTGATGGGGCAAGGTCGAGGATATCCGAGGCCCCAACCAGCGGTGCCGCAATTAGCGATGTAGCGAATTTATATGTCAAGATGTCTTGTGGTTGACAGAATTTGTTGGGTAACATTGAGTAACATCAGTCACGCCCACTGGCCGGGGATGGATGCTCATCTCGAGCGCCATGGTGGCACTGCACGGGGATCCTTGCAAGGACGGGTGACATCAGCTAATAAAGCCACGCAAGACGCACAGCTGGCCGTGTTTGGAGTCGATTCACTCTCTCCTTCATGCACACGATTCGGGTTCCCGCCAAGTCCCGCGGTCGTGACTGTTAAACCAGCACACGGCTCGCATGGCCGCAGAGAGGCACCTACTCGCAATCGACGGGTGAGTTTCCGTGGCAAAAAGTGGCCTGGACCCAAACACAGTAGCGCGTTCTGAACCATTTGACTCTTCACTTTTACTTGTAAGTGTTTTCAGGACGGATTGCTACGCGGCCTTCAAGCGGCCCGTGCCTCTTCCTCTGGCAAACGCTATAGCTATCTCCATCGCTCCCCCGCATTTTGGGTATCGTAACTCCGTCATGTTCTTTTTCTGGTGACCACTCTTACAATGAGAGCATATCAGTTCACCTTGTCCGGTTGAAGGCACTCTGCGGCCTGTGATATAAGGTCACGCAAATGTGCGTCTCCTCGTGTTCACCCATGACAGCATAAGACTGGGCTTAGCGTGAGGCGAGATGCCCTTGGCGACCAAGTTCCCTGCCCGCCTGTCGCGCCCCGCGCCATGGCTGTGGGTTGCGAGAGCGGCACTCTTGGACTGCGCGACGGTCGGAACCCAGATCCCATGGCCCAGGTTCCTCCACTAGTAGAGTTCTCTGGCGCGCCGCGTCGACTTGCGTTTCCTCCCCCTCTAGGCGGTAGGTTTCGCAGCCGCCGCGGCCGCCTGGTTCTCGGCTTTGAGCGTCGCGAGCTGCTGCTCCCGTTCCTTGATATCGGCGAGCAGCTGTTTGGTCATCTCCTCCGTCTTCGACTGCGCATCGGACAGCTTCTTGATTTCGGCTGCCTCCGTCTCCATGCTGAACGGTTGACCCGGTCGGATCTGGCGGGGGATCATTGCGGTGCGCTCCCAGACGTCCCCGCTGTCCGGGGCGGGGAGCGGTGGCGGGGCCTTGTTCTTGCCCTTGCCCTTACCGCCTGCGCCGCCTGAGGGCTTCCATCCCCGGGGCACGGCGCCGGCGGTAAGAAGCTGGAAGAAAGCCTCGTAGGGCTCATTGAAGAGTTGCTCCTCGTAACTCCAGGCACGGACCTCGCCGTTGGCGGCTACCATCGAGGCCTTTTCCTCATCCGTGCGTCCGTAGGGGTGCAGGCGGAGGTAGTGGTATAGCGTCTGGGGTTTCTCGCCGGATTCGTTGACGTAATAGAGCTTGATGGTGATGTCGAATTCGCCCCATCCCGTCTCGTTGACGAGGAATGGCTTGCCGGGTTCTCCCTCGACCACTGCATCAATCGGTCAACATCGCATAAACCACGCTGAGCGGTGCTTGCGTAACTGGGGTAGGGTGTCGGGGACGTACTGCGGACATAGTTTGGGATCGATTCGTGCAGCTTGAACTGAACGCGGCGCACCCAGTACGTAATGTCTGTGTCCTCGAGGCCCTTCACAAAGACCTGCCATGAGTGCGTATGGTTGTCGGGTGTCCCCGGTGGCTTGGGGTTCGCGTCGGAAAAGGGAACGGCGGTGGTGCCGACGACGAAAGGCCGACGGACCTGCGTCAACTTGACACGCTTGCCCAGCTGGTTTGACGGCGCCATGGTCGCTGTGGCGGGCTATTGGCGGGAGCCGCGTAAGCGCGCATGCGCTGGTGAGGGAGAGCGCTCGTGCGCTTTGTGTGGGTAGTGTCCGTTATACTGCGCTGAATCAATGACGAGGGGGGCGCCGGAACAGCGGCGTAGGAGTCGTCGTGGTCTGTAATCGTCGGCGCGGCGGAAGTTGGTGACGGAGGCAACTTCAAGGAAGTTCGGCGACGTTGGCTCGTCCAGTGTCAGCCTTGCAGGCGTCGATGCCGCTAGCCAATCCAGTTCACGGACGGGCCCCTGCCGCCGGGTGGGTCGTCCAATGGCGCTGGAGAAGAGCTTCGATACAGCGTCACAAGCGCTGGGCATTCAAATCGACTCCCCTAACTGTGAAGGCAGTAGCAATCGCGCCATATTCACATGAGAAGTCCAAAACCTACTTTCAAACATCTTGTCGGCTATGGCAATGTATTTTCAGCATTAAAGTGACTTCCAGAAGTCGATAATAATTATTTAGACGCATATGAGCCCAGGTGAGCATATTCGACCTGTTAGTGCATCGTCATGCCCGAAGCTCATTGTAGCTCCCACAGCACGACTGCTTCAGCCTCATCCCAAAACGTATGATCTCATGACTTTACTCCGAGCTCCCGTCCTTTAACAACCCCGAAGCGTCCCCTAGGCCAACTCAATTGAACCGCAAACACATTCGTCGGCTCACACACACACATTAAACTGTTGCAGCTTTGCAGTAGCTGCGTTCCGTGCTTGACGGCCAGCCACACCGATCGCGGGCCACTCGATAGTGAGCTGAAAAGCTTCACCTGGCCGAGCTCCGATCTCATTTCAGAAGACACCCGTTCCCAAGATACACATCATGGCGTCGGCATCAAAAGCAGCAGCAAAGAAGCTCGTCGTCTGCGGCGGCAGCGGCTTCCTCGGCTCCCGAATCTGCAAATATGCCGTCGCGCGCGGTTGGGACGTGACGTCCATTAGGTTCGTCTGCATTCACCCCGATCCGTCCCAACGACACCACCCATCGGTTCAGCATAGCGATACTCACCCGCAGTCTACAGCCGCTCGGGAGAGCCCAAGTGGGAAAATGTCACCGCCTCCGCCGAAACGCCCTCGTGGTCTCACAAGGTCTCGTGGGAGCGCGCCGACATCCTCCGCCCCGTCACCTATGCGCCGCTGCTCAAGGGCGCCGACTACGTTGTCCACAGCATGGGTATCCTCCTCGAGGCCGACTACAAGGGCATCGTCTCCGGCAAGGACTCGCCCATCGCCGGCCTGCAGAAGATCTTCGCCTCACCCGCTGCACGGCCGCGCGGCGTCAACCCCCTCGATAAGAAGCTTGGCGAGGACATTAAGCCCGAGGACCCCAACCTGCAGTTCTCCTACGAAGTCATGAACCGTGATAGCGCCGTCGCCCTCGCCAGGCACGCCTCTGACGAGGGCACCGGTGCCTTCTGCTACATCTCGGCCTGCGGCGGCGCGCCCATCATGCCCCCGCGGTACATTTCCACAAAGCGCGAGGCCGAGAGCGCAATTGCCACCAACTTCCCGCGGATGCGCAACGTCTTCTTCCGGCCTCCGTTCATGTACGACGGCTCGCGCAAGTTCACTGTTGGCATGGCCGCCATGGCTGGCGCAGGCACCATCTTCAACAACTTGACGGGCAAGTACCTCAACAACTTTATGGGCGCAGCCGGCACGAAGCCACTCAAGGTCGAGGTAGTAGCCGAGGCCGTCGTGGAGGCGCTCAGCGACGAGAAGGTGCAGGGTCCCGTGGAGGTGGAGGAAATTGAGGAGCTCGCCAACAAGGCGTGGAGGAAAAGCATGCTATGAATGATCTGTGTACCGACCAGGAAACGCTAGAATGTACAATACCCGCCAACAACGGCTCACCTCTATCACCCATACCTGAACCTCTCATATCATCGTGCCTCTCTCGAAGCTGTCCCTGATGTCCGCCGTGTACTTGTCGTAGAAGCGCGACAGCTTCTGGTTGAACTGCTTGTTCTTCTCGTTGATGTACGTCACGTCGCCTTCGTCGCCGTTCTTGGCCATGCGCTCCTTCCTCTTCTTTAGTCTCTGCTCGTCGGCCCGTCGGAGATCCTCCACCAGCCGGTCCACGGCAGCCTTGTCCGGTTTGTTTTGCGCAAAGGATGTTGAGTCGGCCGTCGAGTAGAACGAGCCGTCCTTGTCCACAGCGATCAGCTCGCCATCTTCCATCTCGACAATGTCGAGTCCACCAGAAGCTGCCGCCTTCTCTATCGCCGCCATCTTCTGCTTGTCGTAGTTCTCGAGGTCGAGATTGATGTTCTTGAGCTGGCGCTTGTACACCTTGTTGCTCTCCTGGTGGTTGTCGCGGAACGCGTTGTTGTCGCGGTGCGCCGCCTTCTTCTTCAGGCGCTTGTCCCACTTCTCGCTTTCGTCAATCGTCCAATCCCACGCCCGCTTTCGCTCAAAGTCCTCGCCGGCGTCCTCGACGTCCGCCTTGAGCAGCTTGTGCGACGCAATGGCATGCTTGCGGTGGAGGGCCGTGAGCTGACTCGGGTCGCTGGCGAGACGCTGTGACTCCTTTGTTGCCTCCTTCAGGTTCGTTTCGGATGATGTTTTGGCTCGCGCCTGCAGCGCCTTGAACCGTGCCATGCGCTCCTTGGCTTTGGCGGCAGCATCGGCGGCGCTGGGCTTCTCGGGTTCGGCCTCGGGATCTGGGGCCGCAGGTTTGGGTGCCACCTTAGTTGTGGGCTTGACTGACGGCTCCGCGGGAAGGGGCGCGGCCTCGGGCTCTGTTTGCGTTTGTTCCTTCTCCTCGGTGTTTTGCTGCGGCTCAGCCTGTTGGGCCGCCTGGACCTCCTCCTGCTCGGCCTCGGCCTTGGCTGCGGCTCTCGTGGTCCGTCTCTTCTTAGCAGGAGGCGCCATGTTGCTGAAAGTTGTGGTGTTTGTCGCGTTCGCTTGTCGAGATCGTCGGGCGCGGGGCGACGTGCAGTGGACTGGGCTGGGTGAAACCAGGTGGTTGCGTCAAAGGCGGACCAAGAAAGTTGGCTGCCCACACGGAAATACGTAAGCGCGCCTCCGAAGGTCGACACCTGGCTGGTGACAGGATTAGCGCGACTGGACCTCCGCAGGCGGCGAGCGGGTAGCACAGCGGGAAGGCCCACTAGATCTTTGGGGCTGTTGGGGTACGCTTGTCCCCTGAAGCTGGCCCCTGGTAAGGGCATTCACCCCGCGTTAAGCTGGGCTGCACCTCCTGGAGAAGCTCACGTCCTCTGCACGCGACATTGCATCCCAGCTTCAAAATTTGATCACGGCAATGGCGCTCACTCACCGCCGATAGGCCTCGCTCTCACCGCAACTCACAGGCTATATCAGAGAAGCATCTATTGCTAAGATGATACGACCAGCCACGCGCCGGGCGCCTCAGCTCCCTGCCACAGAGCTTTGCCCCGGTGCTCACCAGCGACGCTTCAAGACTTTTGTCCGCCACGTCGACAAGAATAACCAAGTGTACTATACGCTCGCGAACCGACGGCCGCGCCCGGACCCCGCCTCTCCCGCACAGCATGAGTTCTTCTCCATGCCAGACCTGCTGCTCGACTTGGACGCCGAGGGCACCGTCGGCGTGCGCCCCTTCGATGAGGAAGCCGACGAGCGCCGGCTCAAGGAGAAGTGGCCCGCCGAGCCGCTCAAGCGTGCCGCCGTGAAGGCGAGGGTTGAGCAGTTTGAGGAGCAGGTCTACGAGTCACGTCGCAGGGCGAGGCAGCTCTGGTCGCAGCCAACGAACATCTGGCGCATCACTCCCCACGATGTTCTGTCTGCTGCGCTGCGAGGCGCACCGTCGTCAGACGAGTCAGTACAGTTGGGCGCTTCCGAGGCGGTATCAGGGCCAGTAGCCGGCACAAGTGTCCTCGCTCAGCTACGCATCGAGAACGGCATCCCTCCTCATGCATTAGATGAGGACCAGCAGCTGCTACGGTGGATGCTTCTCCGACAGCACAGCCTCCAACACTCCAGAGAGAGCAGGGACGAGGCTGCCCCGACTCCCACGCAGCTGACGGAAGCGCTCAGGAAGCAGAGCTCCATCACGGAGATCAGGAGGCTCATCTTCCAGTGCCTCGCCGCAGGCACCAGTGTCGACGGCTTCAGCTCGCTGGGACGACCGAAGCCGAATCTATCACTCGAGGTTCGGCAGGCGTATGAGCGGGCGCTCGATGAGGATCCAACTCCCGGACGCCAGAATCTCGAGGCTTTAACAGCTATAGGCAACCTTGCAGCAAGACTGGCAACCCTCGGTACTGACATAGGGGCCCCGTTGTATGGCCTCGGCCTCAGACTGGCTGCGGAGGCTGGTCTCCCAGAGACACTCTCGGAGTGGTTTCACCGCGGCTACGAAGCGCAAATATGGATCGTCGACGCGGGATCATCAAAAGACGTGATATCGTCTCTCTCAGCCATCAATTCCATCCTTGCCGACCAGCAGCACGCTGCCATGAAGAGCATACCACAGCGGCAGCTCATCTTTCAACTCCTCACGGGAATTGACGAGAACGACGCCCTCTCACCAGAATCATTCCGAGGCCTGGTCATGCTCTATCTCCAGCAAGGCACACCGGCCCACGCGCCATCATCGCTGGCAGCCTACCAGTCGTACATATCCCTTCTTGGTCACCTCGGCGCCGCCAGGACCCTGTGGAAGGAATGGCGCCTTAGCGCGCCGCAAGCCCGTGCTCTGGCCGGAATGCAAAAGGCAAAAGGCGATGCAGTCGATGTCGCATTTGCAGAAGCCGTGCGGTGCGCGTCCCGCGTCATCGCTGCGGGGGATGGCGAGATGGCCCCTGATCTCAGCCTCGACGAGTGCGCCCGCCTCGACTATCACGCCATCGAGATGCACGACACAGGGGCCTGGTATGACGCCCCCGGCCATACCCCGGAATCTGCCCTTGCCGCGGCTGCACTCGACATGCCACTCGACATATGTATCGAGCGAGTACGGCAAATGCGGCCTCTATGAGTGAAGTTGGATGAACTGGCCGGGCGCTTGGACGGGCCGTGAGCAGAATATCTCGCTGAACATGATGTATACTATAGTAAGACAAAGGGTCACCCAGACTCTAGCATGTGATCGAGGAAAGCGTCTGGCCAAGCGTGGGGTTTTGGTTACGGGAATGTTGTCTCAGGAAGATCACTCAAGGGCATCGTGCGGCTTCTGCAACTGCCATGCAAATAGCCACGTCCGCTACCACCAACACGATGAGTCGTTCACACGGCCGGCTTATGGCCCTATCGGATCCAAAGTCCACACGCCGAGAAGACCCTGAATGTATGCAAACTCGCAGCGCCACTGGGCGTCGGCGTCGGTTTCCATCCGAGTCGCGCGTCTGTGCGAAAACCACTCACATGGAATCCAGCCAGCGCCGGGATACCGCATTCGTACTTTGATCACCGCCTCGCTGGCACCCCACAGGCACAACTCGTGACGGCCCCGTGCCCCGTCCATGTTCGAGGTGGCGGGACAGTTGCATCTGCCCCTGCTGGCTGGCATCGGCGAATCGTGGGTGTAACGGCTCGCTACGAGCGGCAGGGGATCGTGGGCTGGATCGGCGCAGACTGCGACTTACACGGTCCACCAAGGCAGCTTCCTGAACGAGAAGGTCGCGGACCGCACTCCGGGGTTCTCATATTTGAGTCGTCCTCGTCGGAGCACTGTCACTGCCCGAGAGCCGGGAACGTGTCGAGACGCCTTGAATGTGGCGTCCAGCGGATGTCATCAAGCTGAATCTCTTTGCTGCACTGCTCAGCAACCATCCAGGGTATGAAGCATGGCGTCACCGACGACCTGCCCAAATGCGCCCAACATGAGGTTCCAGCTATGATATTGGCCCCTCCTGATCACCCTAGGTTCCCGACAGGTCACTATTCGGGGGGACACTACGTGGCCGTGAAGTCCGGGGTCATAATTCGCATGGCTGCTCCGCTCGACTGATGCGCAGCGGATAAACATCGTGCTCCGCGACGAGCGGCACCAGCAAAGCATCAACAGCACTCGATGCGGCCACTTTCCTGCCGCCAAGCATCAGGGCCAATAATGGCCTGCCGTGCAATCAAGCGGTGATGCCCGTGTGGGTCGCTGGCTTCGCATTGCTCACCGTGGACATACTCGTATGGCTATACGCTGTGACCAAAAACGAACGCTCAACACAAGATGATGCGGCAGCTGGGGGGCCATTGTGACAAGCCATGCGTTCTAGAACTGTCCGTGGCGAGAAGTCGCGGTAGAGCATTGAAATTGCCTTGAGAAACTCGAGCGGACTCGTGGGCCCTGCGGCGTCACCGTTCCTCTCTTCGTATCGTGCATGTGAACTGAGGCAAACGCGAGAGCCAAAACCTCGCCTGCGAAATTTTCATGCTCTCCGACAGCTCAGATAAGGGCCGGTTTCCGCTCTTGCAACGGAGACGAAAGTGAAATTGCCGCCAGCTATGGTGAGAGGTTTTGGCAAGCGGTTTCATCCGACGTCTGTCAATGATGCACGATGCTTCTCTTGTCAGCCGGATTGCTTGCATCCAAGCTCAGGCCAGCATCCTGACTCGGTCCGGTCCGATAGTTCCTCCCAGGGCATATTGTCCAAGGACCGGGGTAGCTCAAGGGATATCAAACCACCTAACCACCTCTGCCGACGATATCCACATACCGCAGCGGGACATTTCATCTCCACGAGCGTGGAGCAACAAGGGAGCCGGACAATGGCTCCGACCACGTCCAGGCCCCTTGCGTCGCTTGTTCCTGTGAAATTGAAAGAGGAAAAAAAATCTGACGTGCGCACAGAATCAAACTTTTTCTCCGAAACGAGGGTCGCCGTTTGCGAACCAAATTGCTCAGCCCGCATTGACAGAAAAACTTCTCTCATGCCGTCGAGGAGCTTAGTATTAGCTGCAGGTTCCCAGCGCGGCGGGTGGGCCAGCCAGACCCGTGGCACCCTGATGGGCTTCTTACTGGCCGAGGAGGCCATCGTGAGTTTGAAGCCCTGCAGGGTCAGCGCCGTCGAGTGAGGACGGCCCTGTGCGAAGCGTGTCACAACGGCAACAGAGCCGGCAACCCGAGCCCGTGTGGGGATGGCATTGTCGCGCGGGCGAAACCTGGGCTTCGAGGCACGGAGCGGCAGCGCAGCAGAGCGTATGCCGAGCGGCAGCCGGTGGCGCCGTGGACGCCAGTCTCAGGCCGAGGCGTCGGTCAATCGCACCCAGGGACGCCGGACGGCATACCGGTCGACGGACCAGGCGCCTCGTTCGCGTTATTAGCGAACCAACTGAGACGCGGGACTGTCGAGGGGGGGTGCTGAAGGGCTTCATGGGCTTCGGTCTGGCCATGATCCATCGCCGTCCAGCCATTCAATTCGGGCACGCGGCCCTCCACCCGAGCGCCGCCTACCCACAGACAGGAGGAGGACCTCGATGCGGCTCCGTATGGGATCCTTGCCGCGCCGTTCACGTCCCCGCAAAGCGGAGTGCTGTGGCCAGCGAGCCCACGCAGTAGGAGTCATGGGCCGCCACGACGGCGAGTCGCTCCAACGCCTCATCACTGCGAAATGCGTGAAGGGCGCATTTGCAGGTACCGCTGGTACGGGTCCAGCATTGAAAGATTCTGCAAAGTGCCTGGTCTTGATATGTGGGGACGCTCAGGGCGGGACGGAGCTTGATGGGCGATCCGGCATCCGAACGCGGGCAAGCCGCAGTCTCAGGCACCGCCAGTCATGAGACTCCTGGTGGCAGGGGAGGTTCGAGCTGACGGTGCTGATGCGATGCTGATGGCACGCAAAGGTGGACACTGGCGCCAACGCAGCACAACGCAGCGCAACGCTACCGAACGGAGCAGCGGGCCTTCTGTCGAGGTTTAATGGGCGGTGTGCGGTAGAGCGCAATGCTGGGAGAGGACGTACGTTTCGACTGGCCACTGGCATCTTGCGTGGGCTCGCCTCGTACGGCGAAAGCTTGATGGCGGGTGCTGCAATACGACGGGACAAATGCGAAGTATCCGTTTGCGTGCCGTTGGGGCGTGGGGGATGACGACACTGGGGCGGGCGGCCGGGCTTTTCTCACGTAACTTGTACCCGTACGATCACGGTTTTAGACGGAGCGCGTGGCTTGCGTTGGGTTCCAGAACCGGGAGGCAGGGGCGTGTGCCTGGATGCGTGTGTGCGGGATTGCGCGTTCGATTCGACGGATGATGAGTGTCGAAGAGGGGCGGATGACGGGCGACACGACGGGGAGCTCGCGGCGAGGGAAACGTGCTCACGCTGGGAGCGCTGGGTCGACCGACTGACGCTCCACGCGGGGGGGCCTAATAACGCTGGAGGGAACCGACTCCGCCTCGGCACCAGAGGTGCTATTGCTTGCACCGTAGGTGATTTTAATACCGTACCTACCTTACCAGAGTTACGACAGACAGTACCTTCTTTGCCGCGCCGCAAGGCGACTCGAGGCGCCCGTCACCGCAACATCAGCGGCACAACCTTATGGAATTGGTGCCAGACGTGGTGGGCCGTTGGGGGTCTCATGGGGGGCATGGACTCCAGGGTTGGCGGCCCATCTTCAGCGCCGTGCGTGCTGCAGCTGGCGACCACGGGGGCGGCGGAGCGCCCTGCACATGGTGCCCGCCCTCTGGGGCCAAGCCCAACGTACTCCGTATGGTGCGATAGGTAGGTACTGTACCCAGGCAAGCCAGGCCTAGTACCGTCCTGCACGAACGACATCCAGAAGGCCTCGAAGGTGAGGTGCCCGGTGATGGACCACCTGCAGCCAGCGCACCTGGCCAGCCTGCCTGCGCCTGCGCCGCGCAGCGCCAATTGATGCGTCCGCCATGCAGGCGCGGAGCCCCCTTGTCGAGGGAGCTCGCTGCAGCGGAGCCAACATGAAGCTTCCAAGCACCTGGAAGCCCCTGGGGGCGTCCAGCCACCCGGACGGACATGCATGGCATTCAGGTCGGAACCTTGAAGGCAAGGCGCCTGCACCGAGCTCAACTCAACCGCGATTGCGCTCCGTTCAGCGCTTCTGATGAAAAGCACTTGGCGTTAGTCCGCGCAAGCCGGCGTGGGCGCAGCAATTCACCGGTGGACGCTCAAACAGGTGGGCTGCAAAGGACGGACTGCGGAGGACTCGTAAACCGCATCTTGTGGCCCGCATCATGGGAACACAACCGCGAGGCCGGAACGCCGCTGCTTCGCACACCCTACCCTCCGCACCTGAGCTTGTTCCCCATCTCGTGCGACTGGGGGTAGTCGCCGGTATCCCGGCGCTGCCGCCCTGCGCCCTGGTACCTGATCGTACGGCCATGACACGTTGACGCCGCAGCCCTGGAGGAGGTGTGTTGCGGCGTGCGCCGAGCAGGCAGGCGCGCAGCGTGATGCTTGCAGGTAGGTACCTTCAAGTTGCCCTGTCTTTGTGCAGAGCAGCTTCCCCTTATTTACCTGGGCTTGCGCTCCTCGATTGCCATGCAATGCATGCTGGGTTGCAGCTCAGCAGCTACAAGTACTCGCCGCAGCCTCCCGAGACCTGACGACGGGTGATCGTGGCTCGAATCTGAGGCCCAATTCCTTTCTGCTTCCCCGGCCCCCTCGCTCTCTCCGCCGCTCCAACAGAGCTTCCATCCAGCATTTGCTCTCCGCCGTCCGCGGACCAACGGGCCTGTTTCACATCCCGTCCGTTTCCCTCCCCGCATCGTGCATCAATCACGCCTCTGGCGCACGCCGCAGTTGGTTGCGCCTCTGACCGGCTGTCTCAGCGGCACCCGCCATCCCGCCGTGCCGCCGTCCGTCTCCAGCCCTTGGCTGGCTGTGTTGCAGTAGGACTGCGCTACTCCGTCTTCCGTGCCGTTGCACAGGGAGGCACCGCACCCACCACCACCAACAGGCAGAAAAGAACCTTGGTGTCTGCTGCGTCTTACCAAACCTGTCGCGGCCAACTCGCACGCCATCCGCCTCGTCGAATACGCCCTCGAATCCCGCGTCAGAGCCTGGCAAACAGCCTTTGCCCCTTGCGCCGGCCAAGTGGGCTTTCTCACCCAGCGGACGGGCATTTTGGATTTTTAGACCTGACGCCGCCAACGCAACCTTTGGCGCAAGGTCCAAGGGGCCACGGCCGGACTCCACACAGTCCCCCTCCCTTTGCCTCTCTGCCTCTGCCTCTGCCGTTGCCGTTGGTGCTGCAACTGCTGCCGCTCCAGCTCCTGCCTCTGCCCCAGTTCGTAACTCCGTTCGCGGCTGTCATCTCACCGGCCGAGAAAAGCACGACAGCGCCCACCACCACCACGGCGTCGTCCACTCCACCGCCGCTCCACCTCCACTACTTGCGCCGCCAGGGGCGAGGAGTCACACGTCAACAGCATCCATCAACCCCGAAGGACCCTGTTTTTTTGCTCGGCTTCCGTCTACTATTATAAGCTCCCTGCCTGCGCCGGATCGAGTCATCCTACGTTTTCCCGCCCTGACGACCTGGATTGGTTTTTTTACTCCTTCTCCCTCCGCCTCCTTTCCTCGCAAAACTCCCGACACCACATGTGGTTTGCGTCTACATTCCTCGCTTTGGAGCGGCTCTTGCTACTGCCCGCAAACGACGTCGCCCCGGCTGCACTAATCCGGTAACCCTGCTGGCTCCCCCAGCCCAGGCCCAGCCCAGGAATCGCCTGGCTCGTCTTGCTCAGCTCATCCACTCGCCGGGTGCTAGTACAAACGGTCGCCCGCAAACCGCGCTACCCAGCAAGGTACCTAGAGCACTCTAGCACTGCACCTCGGACTCGACCCAACCCACCCACCCGCTCGCTCGCTCGCTCGCTCACTTACAAGCGGCCGTCGCCCACCGGTCGGGGTCGCTATCGCTGCTGGCACCTCGTCGTCGCCGCACATCGTATCGTCCATCCGCTGCCTCAGCCCGGCTTATCGCCAGGCGACGCACGCACGAAAACACAGCACACAGTCACACGACTCTCTCGGGCGTGTCCCAGACCACCCCTCACGACGCCAGATAGGCAATCGCGCTGCCGAATCGAATTCCGTGCATCCCTCCTCCTCGTTATCTGCCGGACCTCCGCGTCGATCAAGTCACCAGCGCCCGCACGACCCCTGCACGGGCTGGTCACTGCCCGGGCCTAATTGACCTCGTCGTCTGCACCAAGCCGTGCCTGGCGTTGCTCCTCTCCGGTCCCTTCGTCGGGGCCCATCGTCGGGGCCGTGCCCACAAAAGCCGGCCAACGCCCGCCTCGAGGCTCCCAAGACGCACCTTTCCCTCCTGTCGCTACCAGCCCGCCGTGCTTGCTGCCCTGCGCGCTTGGCTTGGGTTCGAACACTACTAGCCCGTAGCTGAGGCCGTTGCTGCTTGGCCAGGCTACGCCTGTCTGCCTCTTCCGCGACCCACGGCCCGCGACCCACGACGCCCACGACCCACGTCGTGCGTCGTGCGTCCTGCGACCTGCGACCCGCACGCAAGCCCGCTTCCACGCCCGTCTGCATTCGGGGAAGTCGCTTCCACTTCCACCCCGACACGCCCCTTTGTCCTCACTCGTTCCTGCCTGCACAAGCACAACACGTGGTCGTCCAACATTTGCCACCAACAAATATTTCATCGACCCGTTTTCTCGTTTTAAAAAAACCCCTTCCCTCGAGCATCGTGCACGTTGAACCCGATCTCTCTTGCCTTGGACTCGGAGACCCAAGGCGTCGCTCCTGCGGCGACGATCCGCCCGCACCACCTCACTTACACAGCGGGATTTACAGCCACACCCGCAACAGCAGACTGCACAGCCATTTTGCTGCGTCGTTTTCTGGCACCAGCCGCCCGCCCGGCTCGTCTCTATAAGTGCCAGCCATCTCGACGAGCTGTTTTCCTGAAAGGCTGCCACCCCATTCTCGCCAGCAAACATGCATCACCACCGCAGGAAGTCGGGCAACACGTCCATGACGGACGTGCGCAAGTCTGTAGTGGCTACCGATCCTTCGACCAAGCTACGCCGGCCAGGCATGGCACGACGACATACGCCAGTAAACGCCCAGAAACTTGGGCGAAGTCATCGCGAACGAGAACGCGATAGGCACGACTCATGTGACGACGAGCGGGAAAGCTTCCCCCAGTTCTGGTATGTGACGCTCCATGGCCATGAGCCGTTCCTCCACTGACCGTCCTCTTCCACAGCATGACTTGCGAGAAGCAATTCGTCCCGCACGACGAAAAGTTCCTCTACTGTTCCGACGCGTATGTATACTCCACGGCGACGTCGCTCTCTCACTCTTCTTGAGGCTCGGTCAGTCGATTGGCACACGGGCTGACTTGGGAATCACAGGTGTCGACGCATCGACCAGCAGAGCAGCTCGTCTACGTCCCAGTCCGCTGCGGCCCATCTTCGCGGCTACAACAACAGCAGCTACCCTCTCTACTCGTCCGGAAACCCCGAACCCAAAGACATCATCCCTCGCGCTGCGCCTTCACGGCCTACCTCGATGCACTTTAGCAGCTCTCCTCCCGCGTCTCCCCGAACCGCGAATTCCTCATCCTATTACAACCATCATCATCAAACGTCAGCGATCTCAGCCCTGCGATCCCTCACTATCGGACCCCCCAGCCCCCCTTCACCGACAGGGAGCAACGCCAGCAGTCTCTGGCCGTTCGGGCGAAGCGTCGTTCCGAGCCCCGGCAACTCTTACACAAAGCCGTCGGCGCCGTACCTGTCGTCAACCTACGATAGTGGCTACAACTACGGAAGCAGCGGTGCCTACACGTACGATGTGACAGGCGGCGCAGTGGATCGACCGCTGCCATCTCGTCACCCCAGCGTTTATTCTCGCCCGAAGAGCATCGAGCTCGTGACCCCGATGGTCGGCCGTTGATGGGGCAGGCTAGTCCCAGCACGACCTCGGGAACCGAACATCTGCATTTGCTACGAAGACCTGGACCTGAACTGGGCACTACGGCCGAATTGAGGCGTGGTGCCCCAGAGCCCGTTCTCCTCCCCAATGTCTGAGCGCCCGAGCAGGGGCCCATAAAGCACAGCAAGGGGCATTTTGCGGGGTTGCAGGGGTCCATGTCCCCGCGGAAGTGCTCAGGGGCGGGGGAGACACAGCAATCTTGCAGCGCTGCAGGTCTACGTGTCTTCTCCCGAGCACCACGACGGCTAACGCCGTGTCTTTGAGGCAACGCACAGGTTCCCTTGTACAACCACAGGACCCGCGCAGGTGCAAGGCACGATGTACAGGTCATGTTTTCGCATTATGGTTTATTGTCGCCGGCGTTAAAAAGTGGGTTTCTCTGCGCATCTCCCTTTGCTGCAGAGCGGCAACTGCATCTCTCTCCACTCCAAAAAGAGCTCGGTCATTTCGTGGAGCCTCCCCACCGTCGACTTGCGGAGCAAAGAGTCGCTGGACGGGGGCCTGGCGACTGGGGCCGCTCAGCTCGTCCCTCATCGCGAGCCCGCCGCAGACATCAAAGCTCGGACGGCCCGTGGTTGTCGACTCGACAGGAATAGTTTGCTACGGAAAGCCATGACATGACGCATGTGCCTTCAATGAGCACGATGACGCGGGGCTGGACTAGACCACCAAATAGGCTGCATCTGCATGGCGACGGGCAGCGATTGATTTTTCTCTGGTGGCTTGGATCTAATTTGGCGGCTGGCGCGGAGACATGCCACGGCCGAGTGACGGCTTGCAATTTTAGCGGCTTCTCTGTTTTTTTTTTTTCTTCCTTTCCTTGCGACGGCTTGTATTCTGTGGGCGATTTGGTCAACAAGGGCAGCATTTAAGAAAGGCGTTGAATTATGTTTGAGGCTTTGATGGCGGGCAAGCGAGACCGATGTTTGGAAGATGTGCCGGATGAGACATGCATTGCAGGGCATAGCATGACATGGTACTGTATGGCACGGCATAGCATGGCAAGTTGTACGGCATAAACCACCAAGTGTTTGTTGGTGGGAGCCGGGGGGACATGCAAGTCCTGTTATTTTTTCACCTACTCAGTCACCAAGTAATCAGATACTGAGCTACGTCCTGCTACAGTATATACCACCAAGTAATCACCAACTTACACACCGGGTAGTTTGCGGCACCCCCCAAGACGAAGAATGACGTTGTTTCTGGTGCCAGCAGGGTTTGACGGCCGTTGCTCTTGCCTAGTTGTTGGCACCTACATCGTCGTAGGTCGGTCTGCGACGCCAACGAGGAAGGGTCCAGCCCCGGGCCTCGTCCAGTCCGGTGGTCGAGGCTCCGCACTCGGCGCGAGCTGTCACTTTTGTTGATGCCGGCAGGGCGAGGGTGCTGTTGCGAAGGAGGCACTTATGCGGCAGGACATCAGGCAACGCCTCTCGCTGCCTGTTCCTGGACATTCACCATAGACAGCACGACTGCCTCGTCACTCATTGTAGGGGCGCCACCTCGCCTACACTGCCTCCCAGCCGCTCGGGACGCTGGCTGACGCACAGAGGGTTGGAGAGGGGGGCCACATGGACATGAGACCGGGGGGGCAAGGGGGGCGATGAAGAGAGAGAGAGGCGCGCACTGGTCACTTGGCAGCGCGTGGTGTCGTGTGGTTGACCGTTGGCGGAGGAGGGGGGAGGGGGGAGCTTGGGGAGGAAGAGGCGCAGACCAGACGCCCGGCTCATCCTATGTGAGATACGTAGCACGAGAGGGTAGGCAAGTGTTGCCGAAGCTCGTGGTGCTGCATGCTGGCTGCGGGTGACTTTGCTCCGCGCGAGCTTGGCGGCTTATCCGTTGGTCACGTCCTGGACAAGCACCACCCCAGACGCCCGAGGACGCACGCCAGTGGCTTGAGAAGCGACGCAATCGAGGGGGACAGGGAAGGAGAAGGGGGGGAGAGGGCGCTTGGAGGCTTGCGGGGGGGCTTGGAACCTGGACCTGGGGCCTGGACCTAGCGCGTTTGTTGGAAGTGCTGGATCGCGGGGAAATGGGCCTGGAGAAAGGAAGATGAAGAGCGAGGAGGCGGCGCCACCGGGGGGAGCGAGTGAGTGACAGATGGGCCGCTGTTGGCGTGTGGCGTTGGCCCTCTCGCCGTTGGCGTGGGCCGGCTTTGCGCTTGCGCGTGAGATGCAGAAGCAGCAGCAGCAGCAGAAGCAGCAGCGCCAGCAGCCACCTTGGATCGCGGGGGTGGTGAGATGGGCACCTCCAAAAAAAAAAAACCATGCCGGCTCTCGTCGTGGCTGGGCGCCGGTGACGCGACGCGAGCGCCCTACAGCAGGGCAGCCACAGGGGCAGAGGAATTGAGTTTTCCTGCGCGTTGCTTTTTTTTTTTTTTTTTTTTAATCTGCTGCATTCTGCGGAGGTTGGTTTGACACACCTTGAAAAAAAGAACAGAGTTGAACATGTGGCATCGGCATCTGAATCGTCACAAAAACGTGTGGTGATGGTCTGGTCCAGGGGAAGATGGTGGAAAGTATGTACAACTCGTTCTTATATGCAAGGTAGGATGTACAGTACATATACTGTACTACTTTATTCTGCATATACGTGTGTAAAATGAGGAGAGAACCCCTACTACGTATGTTGGTTGGCGCTGCTCCGCTCCAAACAAACATACGGACAAGAATGCATCAGTCATTATTTAATCGGCCGTCCTTTTTGTCCGTCCAGAGAGAGAGAGAGTCGGGATAATACCCCGGCTCACAGCAGGTAATGAAGCCTCCCCCACCCCCCATCCACATGCGATCTGGACTGGGCCAACGACCAGGTTAAGCGAGGAAGCCTCCATAACCATGTCTGGTCTCGTCCCGCGACGCAGAATAAAAAGCCAACAAGGGTGATTAATGGTCATGCCGACAGCCAAGGAGAAGACGGTACGGTACGTAAAATTTGCATGCCCGTGCAATAAATAGGCCGGGGGGGGGTCCATGATGACAACAACATGATTTGTTTCGTCGTCGAGGCTCGCGTGCCTTGCATTGGCGACCGAAGCCACACTCGCGTGCAATGCATGTATGTATGTATGTACGTACATACAAACACAACACACTCGTGATGCTCGTGCCGTGCGCCTCTCGCTTGGCTTGAAGCACGACATCTGAGGCTGATGGCGGGCGATCGGGATGGGCGAGGCAGGCTTGCTCTCGCAGCCCTTCCCCAGTGGTCGGCTTGGGGGGGCGAAGAAGCCAGCCAGTCATCGAACCTTGCCAACCATCATCGTCATCGGCCTCGTGCCGCATTGCATCTCCAGGGGCAAAGTCACACCCGCCATCCTGCCCGCTATTCCCCCGCAGCTCCGTCCCCTCCCCTGACTCGGCGACCTTCGCACCAGTCAGCGCCCCCCTTCATCTGTTGCATCTCGCTTTCTCCGGACCGCGAAGCCGACCTGCCGAGTCCGCGCTCCCCAAGTACCTACCTACCAACCCAACAACCAACCCTTCCCCCCCTTCACGTCCTGTGCTTCTCCGTAAACAAAAGGAGTGAGAATTCTTCTCCTTCGTGCATAACTTGGCACAGGACTTGTACAAGTAAAGTGGCCGGCACAAAAGCTTGATCAGCTCGAATTTGGAATTTTGGAGAAGAGAAGGGGGAAACACCGTACGGGAGGTGGTTTGATGCCCGACGCCCCATCGAGCTTGGTGCGTGCTCGGTGCTGCTAACGGCGTGACGACGGCTGGCGCGCCCTTGTGCCGTTGCGTGGGGGGGATTCTTCAAACGCTTAGGGCGATGTGCCATGTCGTGAGATGCTCACGCACCACCGCCTCGCGTTGTCCCCAAGCCCAGCAAGGCCAAGACCGGCACCGCAAGGCCGCTGACGACATTGTCGCCGAGGTCCGTCACCACGTCGTGAGCAGCGAGGGCCGCAAAATCTTACCACCCGATTAAGCCATGTCGTCATGGACCAAGGCAGCGAGGTCACCGATGTCGGGCAGAGTCAATCGGTCAAACGACAGGAAACGCTTCATGGTCATGTTGCGGATAATATTGGTAGAGATGAGCAGCGTCTGCTCCCGACGCGCACACGCTCGTTCTGCCGTGCCCCGATCCTTTCCCATGCTCCTAAAATACAACATACACATGTGCCCGGCCCCCCATCTAAATAGCTGCCCAGCACTGATTTCCACACACACATATCTCGTCGGCCAGCACGGCAGCTTACCGGTCTGTCGGCCGCGAGCTCGCCATCTCTCCGTACCGTCCCCTGTGCTTGGTCGTGTCGTACGCCTGGAGCACGCGCGTCTGGCTTTCGTCGGCCTGCGAAAAAGCGTACCCGCGCTGCTTGCGCATCCGCTGCACCTGTCGGACCTTGCGGATCGCCTTTTGGAACTGCTCCATTCTGCGCCGCAGTTAGCAACAGCTAAAGGTAATGCCTACGCCGGTGAGGTGTCGAATACGTACCTGGGTCTGTAGTCTTGAATGTTGTACTTTTGAATCTCCTGGATGTGATGGTAAGTCTGCGGCCGGTACATACGCTTGGCGTACTTCCACGCAAAGTCTCGCAGCAGACACATAATCGCCAGGACCAGCGTCTGCAGCCAGAATATCGGGCTCGTGAACAGCCGCGGAACCACGCCGTGGTACTCGGTCGAAAAGTTGACCATGGGCGCCACGGTGCCGTAAGCGGCGATGAACACGTACCAGATGGCCATGCTGCCCGGAATCGCCAGCACGTGGTACTTGGTCCAGTTGTTCGTCACCAAGGCCGCCTTGCCCAACACCGTCAGGAGGACTGCACCGTACAGGGCGGTGCCCCAGACCCAGTGGCCAGCCGTCTTGCCGTCCCCTTGGATCAGGTCGCCGTACCAGATTAGCTCGCCAAAGATGTACAGAATGATGGAGTGGTAGAATGCGTTGGCGATCCACTGCGCAAACACCTTGAGCTTGAAGAAGCTGTTCTGCTGGCCCATCATGTACAGCTGTGGATAGCGGTCCAGGAGGCGCGCCGAGATGAACTGGTCCAGGATGCCTAGCGCCAGCGGCGGCAACACTGTGTAGAAGACGTTGTAAAAGGACAGCGTCCACGATTCGTAAATGACCTGTCCCGAAAAGACGTTTTGGAATGTGTACTGCATCAATCAGTCTCGTCAGCAATTGTTTCAGAGGCTTTTGGGATATTCGTGGGCATACCCAGAATTGCGTCATGTAAAGAGCAATGTTCTTGTAAAACGAAAACAGAATCGTCTTGCTCACGCGCTGGTAACTCCAGGCGCCGTGAACCAACAGCAACTTGCGCAGAAAGCGGAACTGGGCAATGGCCACGTCGGCACTGCGGGCGGCTTGCAGACCCTCCATGCCGCTGATACCGACGCCGATGTGGGCAGCTTGGATCATGGAGACATCGTTTGCTCCGTCACCGATGGCGAGCAGAATCGATTGCTTCTTGTGTTTCTTGACCAGCTTTACCACCAGGGCCTTCTGCAGCGGCGACACGCGGCAGCAGATGACTGCCTTGCACATGACGGCGAGGTCGAGGAACAGCTTCTCGAGGTCCTTCTCCAGCGCATACGTCAGTGATTTGCCGTCAATGACCAGGGCCAACGTCTCCATCTCGATTGTGCCGTCGCCCTGAGTCCTGATGGCGTCAAGCTTCTTCTGGAGATTGTCGCGCGTGGCCGCAGCCGACTCCTCGTTGACAATCAACAGCATCATGTCCTCGCTGAGGAGCTTGCAGCTCATTCCGATGTTAATGGCAGTCTCCTGACGGTCACCCGTCAGCACCCAGACCTTGATGTTGGCCTGCTGCAAGGTGTGAATCGTCTCGGGGACGCCATCCTGCAGCCGATCCTCGATGGCCGTGGCGCCCAGGAGGAAGAAGTCGTGCTCGATGATCTCAGCCGCCTTGTCCAGCTCATCTGCGCGAGTGCCGCCAACCGTCGTCGCCGCCGTGTCGAAGATCTGGTACCATTCTTGGAACTCTTGCTCGGGAATCTCGCGCATCGCCAGGCAAAGCGTCCGCAGACCCTCAGATGCATATTCTTCGAGGTGACGCAGGGTGGCCTCGACGTGCGGGTTCTGATCGCTCAGCCGCTCGAGAATCACCGTGTCGGCGCCCTTGCAGTAGCAGCGGATCTTGCCATCGGGGCATCGATAAATAGCGGACATCCTCTTTCGGGTCGAGTTGAACTCGCACACAGCCAAGAGCTCATACTCCAACTCCTGCCCGCCCGTTTCAATAATCACAGATTTTGGCTTGCGGGCGGTGAACTTGTATCCTAGTTCGACGGCGCCCTGTACCAGCGCACCTTCGTCCGGAGACGCAGCTTGATATTTGATGTGGCCCTTCTCCGTCATCTCAGGAATGACTGTGTGGCAAATCGCCAGCAGGGAGAGAAAGTGGTCGATGGCTGGAGCTGATTCGTGCCCCTCTCTGAGGTTGGATCTGAGCCTGTTGAAATCGTGGATGTTCTCGAGGTCGTCGGGAGATGTGGCGCGGCGGTCTTCGGACACCGCATCGGCGTACTGGATCCCCGCGATCGAGCATTGCTTGAACTCCATCTGGTTGCACGTCAAGGTGCCTGTCTTGTCGGAAAACACATACTCAACCATGCCAAGCTCTTCAACCAAGCTCGACGTTCTGCACGTGGCCGGAGTGTCGGTCTTGTCGTGATACATGTCGAGGTCATCGTTGATAAGGATTCCGTGCCAGTACTTGACGAGTTCGACCGTGACAAACAATGAAATGGGGACCAGAGAAGAGAACAGGACCCAGTACGTGACCATGTCCTTGGCGAACGTCTGTGCCACCTTGCCCGCGTTGTTGATCCTGTCCAGGTAGAGATACGAGAGCGAGTCAAACTGCACACTGCGCATGACGAGGTCGCCGACTGTACAGATGACGCTCAGCGCGATCAGCATGCCCACGAGCACAAGCACAAGCCAGTTGAGCTGCCTCTCCACCTTGGTCCGCTTGATGGGAGCTGCCGTAGCGTTTCGCATCAACTTGGTTTCGTGGCCTGTGAAGACAACCACACCATGGATCCACGGCGTGTTGCGCAAGGTAGCACCTCGAAGGAGCAGCTGCTCAGGGTTCAGGGGCAGCTCCTTTTCGCCTCCTCCGGACTGCATGGTGAGCGTCGCCTCGTACGTATACAGGCTGCTGTTCGGCTGTTCCGACTTGATGCGGCCGCCAAGCCGACTCAGTTCGCTAGGCGACACCATTGACGACGTCTCGGGCAACCCCTGCTTGATCTTCAGGTTCGTTTCGCCGTCCAGGTTTGCTGTTTCGATATAACAGAGACCCTCGGGCTCCGAACTCGCGAGGAGGACCAAATCCGCGGGGAACGGCTCCTCCGATTCAACTCTGACCACGTCTCCCACGGCCACATTGATCCACTTCGTTTCCGTAAAACTCGTTCCTCGTAATACTCGCGCTCTGGACGTGTTCAGCGCGTTATCCGCTTGTCTTCTCCGGTAGTCTTCGACCAGCTCCTTTCCGGCTGAGATTGCAAGCACAATAAGCAAGGGAGCAATCGTGGTATACCGGTTCGTCGGCGAGAGGCCCGGAATCTGCTGAAGGGCAGCCGTGAAAAGGAAGAAAATGTTGGCGACTTTTGAAAACTGCTCGAAGAGGAATTTGGGTAAGAATGTCGCGACGTTGTACTTGGCGGTAGAGATGTGATTGTTGACGTATTTGTTGGCAGCATTTGCCGGCGGGTTGTTGAGATGAATGATTCGGGGGCCAAGGGTTGAGGGATCGGGTTTGCTTCGGCCAAATCCGAACTTGAAGTTACCCATGTCGAACTTCTTGCTCTTGTGATCTTGCTGAGCGGCGTCCCCGGCGGGCCCTCCGCGTTCTTGTCCCGGCTCCGTCAGGGGCAGGTCCATCTCCGAGTATCCCTCGCCCATGCCGAGCCTGTTCTTCACCTTGCCCAGGAATCCACCGCCGAGACTCAGCACGCTGTTTCTGTTCCTTGCGTTATTCCGGGCGGATGCGGATGCGGCTCCGCCGCTCATGGTGCCACCATGTTGGTAGTACGAGTCGCCGTCCGTGGGATAGTCGTCAAAGTCGTCAGCATAACGCTGGTAGTTGCCCAAGTCTGATGTCTGGCTGTACTGCCTGTGAGTGTACGGCCCGGTGGCACCCTGGCCGCCCGGCGTCAGCCCAGCACCTCCGCTCGGGCGTCCAGCGGCCGCGGGCCCTGAGGCGCCGACAAAATCATCGTAGGAAACCGAGGGGCGGCTTTGGGGGTCATGATCGAGCGTGTACGAGCGCATTAGGTCGTCATCGTTGAGGGCGGACCGCTGGCCGTCATTGTATATGGGCTGGTCGCTGTCGAGATCCAGCAGAAGGTCGTCGCGGTTCCCGGCGGGACCGCCAGGGCGACCTCCTGTTGGCCTTCCAGCCATGCCGGAAGACGAGCGATGGTCAGGATGTCAAGGCGGCGGTTCGACGTCGACGCATACAGAATCGACGGGTGGCGGCGTGTCTTGCTCTGATTTCGCGGACGGGGTCGAGACGCGGGTCGCGGGATGCGGGATGCGGGACGTCCAGGGAATAGGCGAGGGTCGATTGAACCACCTCACTGCGCGATACGACCCGGCGGGTAAAGTGTCTCAAGAGCGTGGTTTCGCGATTGCTCGTCGCAAGCAACCGGCGCAGTCGGTGCCGGGCTGGATTTCTTTGTGCGCCTGGTTGGCCTGCCTGCACTGCACTGCCTCCTTATTCGCCGCGCAACACAATGTCGAGCAGCCGGGTCCAGCAGGGTTCAGCGGCGGACGCGAATGACGATAGACGGGGGGGCTGAACTCGTCCGTCCGGTCGAAACGGAAGCAGCCGGCGAAACGCTGGGGGCGCAGGAGGTCCGTCGGGGGTGCTCGGGGCGTCTCGAGACGGCGTTGTTTGAGATGTCCAAGCAAGCTGGGAGGCAAGCAGTTGAGTGGTCGTCAGCAGAGAATTGATGGACGAGGCCACCTCGACTCGAGAGCTGCCGCGCTGGGCTGGCTGGAGCAGGCACCCACACACTCAAGCAGCAGACCCAACCTCCACTACGACCGCTGCTTGCGCCAGCGGACATGGGACAGGGTGCTGCCGGGGGCTCAACTGGAATACGGGCCCGAAGCCCCCCGCCAACGCAGGGGCCAGGACCACCCGCGTCCACTGAAAATTGATTGCTATTCGTGGCAGCCGCCCCAGCCACATCACTCGCCACGTTCCAAGCTCCTGACAGGTCACTGGGCCGGTGAAAAGCTGTGCCTCGAGGTATCCTTGCCCGCGACCCGCGCCGCCAGAGTACATTGTTTCACGACGGACTGCTAGCGCAGGGACCTGCTGTTCGAGCGCGCCAGAGACGCAGCTTGTTCAGTGTTTCGTCACCTCTTGCGCGGGTCCCCCACCTTCGCCTGACCTTAGCCACGGCACAGCCCAGCGCGACCCAACCCACCAGAGGCAACACACACGAGGCCTTCATCGTAACCACAACCCAGGCATCCAGGCTGCTATCGCCCGCCGTCTCACGCGACCAGCCATCGACATCCAAGACTCGTATTCGCGTGCGTGCGTTGGTCGCCCGCCCCAGCGTAGCGATCATGGTCTGCGCCAAGTGCCAGAAGCTCAGCAAGGGCACCACGCTCGCCACGCCCGAGGTCAAGAAGAAGAGTGAGATGTACTACGGTTCGCCGGCGAGCTCCTCCAAAGCGGCAGGTGCCAACAAGTCCACTACCTTGGCACAAAGCGGTATCGGAAAGGCAGGTGACCGTGATCAACGACAAACGTGTCTCTTTGCTAACACCTCTCCAGAGCAAGCTCTTGTCCAAGTCGGCCAAAAATCCATACGCCCAGTACTCGAGGTACGTTGTGACTCCTCACCTCCGCATGCATGCACGGCAACTGACCGTGGTATCACAGCTCGTGTTCGAAATGCAAAACCAAAATCACTCAGGGACACACTTTCTGCCATACTTGCGCATACAAAAACGATGGTATGGCGGCTCTTGCATCTTTGTCGCCAGCTCACTCCGCTGACTACAAAACCAGCTTGTGCCATGTGCGGCAAACCCAACAAGAAGAGCTCATCAAAGGCACCAACAGTATCTGGCCAAAAGTTTACGCTGAAATGATGTGCGGTGCAGTCCGTCTCAACATCGGCCCCGAAGATCTGGGGCCGGCGGCGGATTCGGTCGATGCTTGCACAGCCTCCCAATCACGACATTCTTCCTCACGCCTGTACGCGCACGATGGCCACCTAAAGCGCTGATTTGATATCGCCTTCAAACAAGGCCTTCAGCCACTTCCCGATGTGCGCATTGACTTCGTCGCTGGCGCCCGTCAATGCCCAGTGAGAGCCGCCGACCTCAGCCCTGGTCAGCTTGGGCATGTATCGTTCCATACCAGCTGACATGGAAGGCGGCAGGGCGGAGTCGTTGGTCGCGGCAATGAACATCGTGGGCATCTCTAGCTTTACCTCCTTGTCGGCCAGCGGGAGCTCCTCCTCCCAGTTGATTTTGCGCGTGCGATACCAGTTGAGCGGTCCACGGAGTTGCGGCGCGCCTTGGAGCATGTACTTTTCGACATAGTGGTTCAGCTCCTCCTCAGAAAGTAAGACCGTCCTGTCGAGCTTGGGTAGATTGTCCAGCAGGACACCTTTCTCGGCGACGAAGGCGTGCTCGCGGTTGGGGCCGAATCCCCCCCACATGCCGTTGAGAAACTGGCGGACTTTCTCCTCGCCCTGAATCGCCTTCTCCACGTCTGGCCCTGCGAGTTGGAGCTGGTATGTGAAGTTCTTGAGCTTCCCCATAGCAATGAGATCCTGCAGAGGGAGCCAGGGCTTCATGGGCGCGTTGAACGGCGTGCAGACGCTGAAGACGCCCTTGAGAAGCTCAGGGTGCCACAGGGCGATCCTCCAGACGAGGGCACCGCCCCAGTCGTGTCCGCCAAGGACGATCTGGCCGTCGCCGACAAACTTGCGTGCCAGCTCCTTGATATCGGCGGACATGCTCTTGAGCGAGAATTGGGCCAGATCCTCGGGGGTGTCAGACCCGGCGTAGCCCAGGAGGTCGGGGACAACAACGCGGAAGCCGAGCTTCATGAGGTACGGGATCTGGTTGCGCCAACCGAAGCTGCAGTCCGGAAATCCATGGATGAGGAAGATGGTGGCGATGGGAAGGGTGATCTTGGGTTCGCCGAGAATGTACTTGTACCTCTTGCCGCGGACCACGGCTGATTCGTACTTGACCCGGACGTCGTGGGGGGTGAGCTTGCTGGCGTCCATAGTGGGCAGCGCCTTGCAGGTCGCAAGTCAGTGCCTGCGCGGTTATTATGTACTGGACGCGTGTCAGCAAACGGACAAGACTGCGAGTTCATGGAAGCGCGGCGTTGAGATGATGTCCGTTTGTGCAATCGATGACGTCCAATGCCACAGACCTGAACCGATGACAAGGAACGCGGGGATCGGGTTTGCTCCCCGCCCGTGACTTACTGGAGCAAAAGGATCTGCCGTGAATTCCTGCGCCACAGCGTCCGTGACTGTACTCTCTCCTTGCCGCTCGTTATAATCCGCGCTGCGCACTGGTCGTGCCCCGTCTCGTGCTCGGTCGTCAATTCCGTCCCGGAGCGCTCAAAGGAGGCTCTAGCGCAGCAGGTAGGCGACAAATGAATCCAGCGCTGAACGCTCTGCCGCTTTACAATCACCTTTGGAACAAGACGGATGGATGGCCACCGTTGCGCGACAGGTTCTTCAAAAGGATGCAAGAGGGCAAGCGAACACGTCGATTTGCGTCTCAAGTATGTGAAGGGCAAGTGATTATTATAACAATGCCGGCGGGGTGTGTGCGGTGCAAGCTCGGCAGACGCCCGGCCGACTTGCGGTTTGGGGATGGTGGGCGTTCCACCACGCGAGTTTGGAGGCGGGTGGCTCCCACGGCGGGGCAGCGGGCGTCACCCGTTCCTGGAAGGGGGGTGGCGCTCCGCGATGCCGAGGCATAGCACTCACTCAACATACGGAGGTGGATGAATGGCGGGCGGGTTTGCGGGAGCGGTCAGCGTCGTGGCCTGACTTGACTTGTCCTCGCACAAAGGAGCTTTAAACTCTCGGGCTCCGGGTTCGTGCAGGTTCCCGTTACTGGGGTGGAACTCATGCAGCTGTGTACTGACGATCGAGTGTACTCGTACAGCGCGCTTGGATCCAAGTCGCCGATCGTGGTGGTGGCGGCTTCCTTGCCTGGATCTGCGTCGCGGGGTGAATGCAACGCCGACGGACTTTTGAGTATCTCCACGCCAGACACCACCACTCCCGGGATTCGCGGGAGCAAACGAGGTAAATGTCACTCCTGACAGCAGCGAGAGCACCGACTCGACAAGCACCACAATGAGGCCCGAAAATAACGTACTCGTACTTCGTATTGGAGACGAATGGCTGTCTACCTCGCAGCATCTTTGCCACAGCCAGTGAAGGTGGTTCTGCTGCGCTATGAGCAGCCTCGTTAAACGTCGACCTGTCCGTAACGACAGCGGTCTGCCGGCTGCCTCGCGCGCCCTCGACGCTGAAACCTCAGCGCATGGTTGCTAGCCGCCTCCCGCAGTTCGCGAATGATGCCGTGAGTACTGCATTTTCCGACATGCTCCAACTCCAAGGGTATCCCGACATTGAATCAACGAACCTAAAGTGACCCGGTCGCCTCGCTTATCCCACGTCAGCCTGCCTATCGGCTGGCTCTCGAGAGGTGACACTATGCTTCTCCCCGTACGCCATGCGTGTAGTAGTACAGAATCAGATGCGTAGAGGGCACGTTAGTAGATAACCATATCCTCTTCTCCCTCTACCAGAACGTCACCTGAATCGTCGTGCGGGTCGTGATGATGGGACTGCGGTCCTGGCTGCTGCTCGATGGGCTCGGCGTCTCGAACCTCTCGATCCTCCGTTTCGGGGTGCTGATCCGCATCCTCGGCGTTAGCAGAGGGCCGCGGGGACGGTGGCGGCCCAATGTCGGGTACCCGCATGGGCGCTGGGCTGGGCTCCCGGGGACGGCTGTCTATGTCGTTCTTGAGCCCGTACCGTCGGAGGTGGCGCTCCTTTCGATACTTGAAGTCTTCTAGGTCGCGGGCAATATCGACCTTGACGTCACTAATCTGATCATCGATGATGTCCTCTTCTCTCTCTGTCAGGCGATAGGGCCTGTAATACTACCGGGTAATGTTAGCGAGGCCAATGGGCGGTAATGGACTGCGGATAACTCACAATTACGGGCCGGGCTCTGGTGCGGAGGAATTGGGCTAGGCGAAGCTCCTTTGCGTGTCTGTTGCGCATCTGCCAAAAGAATGTCAGCGCCACAATTGCCAGCCAAGTTGGAACGCAGACGCGTCTTACCACTTGCTCCTCGAAGTGAATCTGCTGCTCCATGCGGATCTTGTGTAGCTCTGCCTTCTTTTCAGCCCGCCGCTTATCATCTTCGGCTGTCTGTTCCTTCATCTTGATTTGCTGGCGCCTCTCAATCTCCTGTCGACGCTTCTGCTGCGAGCTGCTTCCCGTTTGGCTGAGGGTGTTGAGGAGGCCACCAAAAAGGCGCTTGCCGCGCTTCTTGTCCTCTTGAGTCACTGATGGCCTGCGCTCTTGGCCGCTACCATAAGAATCTCGTCGGTGTGCGGGCGAGGGGGATCGTCTGCGGGGTGGAGGCGAGGCTCTGTCCTCACTGCCTTGCCTGGGCCGTTTGGCCCGGCCATCATCGCTGCGCGCTTCGGGGCTCGAAGCCTTGCGCTTCCGGCGGTCCTCATTGGTAGGGCTGTGGTGTTCGGATGCGCGCGGCGGCGACGCCGGCGCGTCGACGTCAAGTGCTCTGCGGGCGCTGCTTGTCAGTCTGGAGCTCTTGAGGGTAGCGGGGAGGGGCTGAGGACGTACGACTGTTCCGTCGCCATGACTGCTTGCTCTCCGCTTGGTGCTCAGTCGTGGTTCATGCTGAGGAATGTCTCTCGTGAATTCTTTTGTGGAGCTAGGATGTCAGCTTTGTACTCGCAAACGTCAAGAGGGCGCTCGGAGCGTGATGGCGGAGTGCAGTGAAGCTGGGTGACGATGTTGGAAAGATGGAAAATCGGGTCCCGCTGGTGGTGGTTGCTGTTGGTCACTGCTGGAAAGGGTCCCTGGACACCTTGGCTAGAGCTGAGCCGTTGGTGCACGGCTCCCATTGGATTGACCGTTTGCCCGAGAGCCGCAGTGGGACCCACCGAACCGCAGCTGTCGCGCATCCCGGTGCTGGAACCACAGTGGAGAGCAGCTGGCACAGGCGCTTTCGCCTTTGGAGTGTGCAAGATGGCACTTGTTTGGTGACTGTTGAGTACTTCGTACATCTTACCAGCTTTCATCAGATGAACTGTGGGAGATGACCTGATGGCACTGGAAGAGAGTATCCGTCGCAACATCCTTCGTTAGGCGGGACAACACCAGACGGGAGCTCTTGCGGTCGGTACGTCGTCCTAACTCCTGAGTCCAGACAAAACAGGTCCCCACGATCTTGAGGAGCATCTGTGTCGCGAGTCGGCTGGGTTCGCCCTGCGACAATTGCTTGGCATCAGATTTGCCAAAGCTCGGAGCATGAAATGGCGGACCAGATGCTTGTGGAAGATATGCCGGTTTGGCAAGCGGCGCAAACACAAAAAAAGCAAGGGTGGCTCTGACAACCAGGTGCCGGGGCACTCGAGTATCGAGATCAAGGCTCCTGTCCCTTTTCCGTCTCCTGCCGATGCAATTCCAGCGGCTCCCCCGAGCATTGTCCTTTTGTAGGGGTCCCGGCTAGGGCTGAAGAGGGCTCGCGCTCTCGCTCTCATTGGCCTCCAGAACGGCCGGACGACTTGAGCGGGCTCGGCGGTTTCCTCTTGTCAACTGGCGGGACGCACCTTCCCGCAACCGCTCCTCGCCGCTGCGGGGCCTCGACCTCAAAAGACAAGATACGGCTCTCAATTTCTCCAGCACCGTCTTGTCCTCTAGACTGCTCTCGCACCTCGCGCCGGCCAACTGCCCGGCATGGCTTAACGCTGACGGGCCCAGCGCGGCGAAACCGACACCCGCCTGCGACAGGTTTTGCTGCCAATGGGCCCGAACCAAGGGGTCTTGAATGGTATTCCTTGCGCCGCGGCCGAGCGATGTAACACACGCGCAGTGAAGCGTTGCCAGCTGGTCCAGTCGACGCAGGGATGTTTGGTATGGCCTCGGATCTGCGCTTGAGATCAATTCTTGTCGCAGTATATAAGTATATGCTGTTTCGCTTGACGATGCCCGTCGCAATTCCTGGCCGTCTGCCTGTGTCACCTTCTCGCAGCCTTCTGTCCTCTTGCAGGCTCAACCGCGCCAGTCACACGGATTGGCTCGACTCGCGACCCCTGTGCTGTGCTGCCATTCAGTATGGCTCTTCAAAAGCTTTTTGGGGATGGGTCGGCGGCCGACACCGCCCCTAAGAGCTCTGGAGCCCAAGCCCACGTCGACGAGTTCACATCCAAACACGATCATCTCGACCGCGACCAGCTTGCTCGACTCGGCAAGAAGCAGGTTCTGAGACGCACTTTTGGCTTCTTTTCCATTGTCGGCCTCAGCTGCACCGTCCTGATCACGTGGGAGGGATCTCTCATCCTGTTCCAACAAGGCTTGATGAATGGCGGCCCGGCCGGCGTCATCTACAGCTACCTCTTCGTCTGGCTCGGCAACCTCAGCGTCTTCTCCACCCTCTCCGAGCTCGCCTCAATGGCCCCGACGTCCGGCGGACAATACCATTGGGTTGCCATGCTGGCGCCCCGGTCCTGCTCCAAGGTCCTCAGCTACGTGACGGGCTGGCTGGCGGTGGGCGGATGGCAGGGCACTGTGGCCACTGCCAGCTACCTGTCCGGAAGCATGATCCAGGCCCTAATCATCATGACTGTATCGTCTTATGAGCCGCAGCCATACCAAGGAACTCTCCTTTCCTGGGCCGTTGCCGCGTTCTGCGTCTTCATCAACGTCTTGGCCAGCGTCTGGCTGCCTCGCTTCGAGAGCCTCATCCTAGTCCTCCACATTGCCGGCTTCTTTGCCATCCTCATCCCCGTTGTCGTCCTTGGACCGCATAGTGATGCTAGTACTGTCTTTACCACATTCCAGAACGGCGGCGGTTGGCCAACGCAAGGATTGTCCTTCTTCGTTGGCATGATTGGACAAGTATTTGCCTTTGTCGGTAAGCTGCCACCGCGTCAGGCTCTCGTGTCTCTGACCGCTAATTACCTCTTTCACTTATAGGCGTCGACGCTGCATTTCACGTAATACCCCCTCTCTTCCTCATCAAGTGGGTGATGGCTTACAAAACTCTCGCGTAGCTGTCCGAAGAGGTCCACAACGCCGCCGTCGTTGTGCCCCAATCAATCATAATGAGCATGTTGATCAACGGCACGCTGGGATTCGCCATGAACATTGCAGTACTGTTCTGCATGGGAAACCTGGATGATGCGCTGAACTCCAAACTGCCCTTTGCCTTTATGGAAATATTCCTGCAGGCCACTCGATCAGTTGCTGGAGCGGCCACAATGTCGTCGCTGGTGTTGGTTCTTGCCATATCGGCCACCGTCGGCATTTACGCGTCGACATCTCGAGTATTCTGGTCGTTTGCCCGCGACCGAGGTCTTCCATTCTGGAAGGCACTTTCCAAGGTAACAGCAATATCCTCGCTCTCATTGTGCCATGTCACCGCTGATACAGATGTATTACTGCAGATCGACTCTCGGACCGCCGTTCCGCGCCGTGCAGTCCTCCTCACTGCCACCATATCTTGTTTACTGGGACTCATCAACATTGGATCCTCCACAGCGTTCAATGACGTGGTATCATTGTCAGTCTCGGGTCTCTACGCATCGTACCTCATAGCGACGGGTTTGCTCCTCTACCGCCGCTGCACCAGCGGGTTCGCATTGCCTGATACTTCGGCCCCGCTACCTGCCCTCGCCAATACGGCTGGTGCAGAGCTGGTTTGGGGAAACTGGCACGTCCCTGGTGCATTGGGCATCATCAACAACGGAGTGGCGTGCGTCTACCTGGTCATTGTGCTGTTCTTTAGCCTCTGGCCTCCGGTCACCCCGGTTAACGCGGAGACCATGAACTACAGCGTCCTGGTCACAGGCGCAGTCGCCATCTTCAGTGCCATCTATTACTTTGTCTGGGCGAGGAAGGTGTACAAGGGTCCAGTCGTCGAGACCTGACTTGACAGGAGCGGGGCATGTATGGGTAGTAGTATCCTGTAGGCCGTCATAGCGAAGAAGCTCTGCACTTTCCAAACTCTCTGCTTCGGGCACTTTGGGCATTCCGGGCATTTTGATGAGACTGGGTGGACGAGATTGAGCGCGGCATGAATGTTGAATTCGCGAGAGTCAAGTGGCACTGTTGCGACGGTCGTGGAGATTTGTTGAGGCATGCGATTTGGTCAGTGCGACGCGGCGAGCATATCACTCGAAGTCGGAGCTGATCAAAGCCTTCATGCGACAGCTTGCATCGATTAACTATTTACAGCTCACAACCAATTCCGCATCGTTTTGATCAACGGTCTCGCTCATTCAGTCCCTCAAAAACGAGGCGATGATCGGCTAGTAATCACCGTCTCGACCTGGATCTCCGGGTTAAGCTTCGTCGGGACCCCAGTGGCGCTCAGTTCTCCCAGGTCACTAGACGATGAGTCCTCAGAGGCAGCGTTTGACCTGTTGATGGACTGCATTGTGTACTTGTGGGCCCACTGGCCAGTGCTTCGCCCTTGTCCAGTAGTCACCCGGTTGTTCGACGATGATGGAAGGTGAGTATCGGCATTCTCGCTTCGCGCAAGGCGTGTGATAAGGTCTGCCATGGACATTTCGATGTTGAGCTTGACCATGTACGCCACGGGGTGGAACTGTATGTAGACGACCTGGTTAGGCAGTGACATGAGTCCAATAAGCAGGCCCTAGCCACGTCCGATGTCAGTAAAGAACTTCGGGTTCCCGGAGTGAGTACGTACATCCATGCAGATCGAGAGAACCATGAGCTTTGCATTAAAGCTAACCAGGGGCGCATATTTGGTCAAGGCGTGCTGCACAATAAGCCTTCTTTTTACAGTGCGCAGAAAATAGTAGTTGAGTCCAGCGTCGACGAGCAGGATGAGAATCTTGGAGATGCGGTCCCACACTGTGTTTATGTCTACGAATCTGTATTCGCAGATTAGAGATGCGTCATCTTTGGCCTCGGGCGCGTTTCGCAGTGACTTACACTTGGCTAACTGGTGGGACGGTGTGTGCCGGAATCCAGATGCAGAAGACTGCGATGTTGATGCAAGTAATCGCGAAAGCGGTGCCCCATTTGAGCTTGAAAATTGTACTCCTGTGTTCTGCGATGATGGCAATTCGGTTGATGATTATTTGCATAAGCAATTGGATTTCGAGAACCCAGAGGCATAGAATGCAAAATAAGACTGGTACTCTAAATGCGGTCAGGACATTGATCTGCGCCTGGAATGAGCCGTACACTTACGTAGGTGATATGATCCCGTCAAGGAGAACATATCCCATGATACCAATGGCGAGATTCGCGAAAATCTCTCCCCAAACCATGTAGATATAGGCGCTTCTCCATGGGTAGTTATTCCTGCGGGTCTGCTTGATGGCTTCCCACACAGTCAAGAAGCCGAATCCCAGGGTAAAGCCAGCAGCCAGGGTGGCGATCTGAATATCTCCTTTGGATGCCATGCTTAGGGCGTCGCCAAAATAGCAGAGGATCGAAATATCGGACAGTGGATGGATCTGTATGAAAGAAAACGAGACTTCCAGAGCTCTGGATTATATTTATGGATTGATGACTGATCTCTGCGATGTAAATGGGAATTTCTTGGTCCGCCAGCTTCTAAGATCGCCTGCTTTAGCCGCCCAGCACCAGGGCACTAGGTTTCCGAGCCATCAAGCAGCCGTGTCGGTCCTGGGCCACGGACCTCTTCTCCGAGTGCTAGGCGAGCATCCATGCCGATCAAGCTGTGTCACGGACTGACTGGTCGGCGGAACGAGCAAAGTGAAACGCCATGTCAATGACCGTGTGTAGTGGGTATGCCCCTGGCGCTCCACGTGGTCAAGTAATGTACCCTTAAGCCAGAACAGACACCTAGCATGCAAGCAGCTTGATTCAAGGTCCGCGATATTGACAAGAACGATTCGAAACACACAACACGATATGGAGCCCGGCGGTGACCGACCGTTCGTATCTCACTAATCCCGAGGAATGAGCCTTGATCCTAGGCAGCTTGGCTATCTGGATGGGCAGGAACTGATCGGGTGGGTGCCGGCCGACACCGCAACGCCCGGACGCGACCCTCTCCGCCGGAGGAGGTCCGTGTCTATATATGTAGCCGAAGTGTTTACAGCTCTCTGACACCGTCGGCATACCTCAAAGCACGTGACGGATCATTGCCAGGGGATAAACCCGATGAAGACAAGGGCCGCGGATCGCTAATGGCGCTCTAGGGGCCATCCCAACCAACGTCATTGCATACACATGCGGTGAGCAGCACTGCACTAGCGGTTTCGGATGGCCCGATCCTGATCGTTTACTACCGATCACGCAAGGTCCCGCAAGAAGGATCAGTGCCTGCAGATAGACCAGACTGGAATTGGTTCGTACCGTTTGGCGAACCGAGAAGGTCAGAGCGTTCAGTGGGTCGTTTATTGAAGCTGCGGGAACGTCGCAGCGCGCGATTGGAGGCCAACCCGCACAGGACGGTGCAACTCATCAAGGCGGGGGATACTCGACCAAGCCGCTTTGACACTTTCTGGGGTTGACGCCACCTCTACCATCCAGACTTGACATCAGTAACATCGGACCATAGTTCAGACAATCGGCCAACGAATAAATGGACTGCGGCATTTCCGGACGAAAGTCCGTGAGCCAAAGCTTACAGCTGGGCACTTTCTGCGTATGGCGGCCGTATTGGTCCTACGACACGAGTTTGGTTGAGGCTAGGCGGATCATCAAGCTGAGGTCCGTGAGCCATTGATGCCCTTGGTGATGGCCGCGGCAGGCAGCGAGACATTATAATTCCACTCGCACATTCGGCTCCTCATGCATCAAGCCCTTCCCATTTGTCCAATGTACATCGTCACACAGCATCCTACTTGCGCATTATGGCTTCGTCGGAGTTGACCAGAACTGACAAAGTCCACTCGCTTGCTCACGATCTCGACTTGCGAAACACCTGCGCGAACGATGAGACAGCCGGCATCAGGATTGAAAATTGCATCGGCTTCAGCAAGGTGCCAATCGGACTCGCGGGGCCTTTGCGCGTCTCCGGCCTGGACTTTGAAGACAACGCCTACGCACCACTCGCGACATATGAGCCAACACTCGTCGCCAGCTGCTCTCGTGGCTGCAAAGCCTTTAACCTTTCCGGGGGTGTGAAGTTTGAGGTTCTGGGAAACAGCATGTCCCGCGCTCCCGTGTTTGTCTTCAAGCATCCCGGTCATGCTGTGGCGTTCTCCCGGGCTCTTCCCACCTTTCGCGTCAGCTTTTCGAAGTGGGCAGAGTCTACGAGCAGGCATATACGTCTGCAGGAAATGCGATCTACTGTCATAGGGTCACAGGTTCACGTCTTCTGCGCCTATCACACTGGGAGCGCCGCGGGACAGAACATGGTCACGAACGCCACGCAATATGCCTGCGACATGCTTCGCAATTCCTGCGGAGACCGATTCTCTATTCAGGACTTCGTCATCGAAGGCCAGTTGTCATCGGACAAGAAGCCGTCATGGGGGAATGTGAAAACACCGAGAGGTGTGGAAGTACTCGCTTGGGGGACAATCACGCCTTCTGCTTGCCAGACTGTCCTCGGATGCAGTACGCAGCGGCTCTACTGGGCGCAACAGACTCTCAAAGAGGGCGGCATTCGGAACGGTCAATTCGGTTCAAACATCAATACGGCGAACATTTTTGCAGCAATGTTCATATCAACGGGCCAGGATCCGGGCAGTACGGCTGAAGCCGCTTGGAGCCATCTGACTTCAGAGCTCGATCCAAGTACAGGGGTACTGACTATGAGCCTTTATGTCCCTTCCTTGCCTGTTGGGACTGTAGGTGGCGGAACCGGATACTCGACGCAAAAAGAGGCCCTCAACTTACTCAAATGTGATGCGCCCGGCATGAAAACCCGACTTGCTGGCATGATAGCCTCTTTCGCATTGGCTCTTGATGCTAGCACAAGTGCTGCTATTGCCAATGATACCTTTACAGATAGCCATATGCGGTTGGCTCGTGGGAGGACACGTGAAAAGCTATGACGGATGTTTGGTCACTACTGCGTTGAGGATCGAGGGTTAGTAGAGACTATGTTTAAGTAAATGAATAGGAGTATTGGTATGATATGCTCGCTCACTCATTGATTGCGCCTGATAGCCGTGACCGAACTGAGACTCTTGGCCGGGCTTTGAGGCACGAGGGAAACGGTGGGAACGGTGGGAACGACAGACACGGCGGGAATGGCAGACACGGCAGGAACGAAGGACACGGCGGGAACGAAGGACACTGCCGGAACGAGGGGAACGAAGGACACGGCGGCAATGGGGGAAACGGAGGGAACGAGGGAAACGTCGGTCGCAAGGGGACATCGGGAGACGTCGTGAGAAGCTTCATATTACGCCCGGCTGAGGGGGCAACGACGGGAGCCACTCGATATACGGGGGGCTGTACATCTTATATTAACCCGGGCCTGAGCTCAGCAATGTTACAGGGAGTCTACAGCATACCTGTCGTTGAACTACCCACTATATTTTCTGCCCATCAATTTCCAGGTTGCCCGGTTGCCAAACTGACTGCCAAATATATCAGTCAGTCCAGGTCAATTCAGCAGCTAGCAGTACAGCGGGCAGTCAGTACCTTATAGCGGGGCAGCCAGTGCAGCGGGTGGCCAGGACAGGGAGCACGTCCCGACTGGGCAATTAGGCAGCTTTTGCCTCTCTAGTCACTTGGTAAGCTAAAAAACCGCCACAGCTCCCTCCACTGCACCGCGAACCTGCCCTTCGACACATCACTGACTGGCCTCTGCAAACAGCACCATGTCGCGCCATCACCCGTAAGTTCGCCCCGGTGCCTCGCGAGCGCTTTGCGCCTCTTTGTCTCGCTGGATCAAAGTCAGGGAGGAGGTTGACCACTGCCCGCAGCGACCTCGTCATGTGCCGCAAGCAGCCCGGCATCGCCATCGGCCGGCTCTGCGACAAGTGCGACGGCAAGTGCCCCGTCTGCGACTCCTACGTGCGACCGACGACGCTGGTGCGCATCTGCGACGAGTGCAGCTTCGGCAACTACCAAAACAAGTGCGTCGTCTGCGGCGGCGAGGGCATCTCCGACGCCTTCTACTGCTTCGAGTGCACGCGCCTCGAGAAGGACCGCGACGGCTGTCCCAAGATTATCAACCTCGGCAGCTCAAGAACAGACGTACGTGGCGCCCCTTTTTCCCTCCCGCGACCCCCCTTGCATTTGCAATTCGTTTGTCTTTGGACGGGCCGGTGCTGACTTTTGGCTTCCCCTTGGTGCAGCTCTTCTACCAAAAGAAAACGAATCGGACGACAAATTACTAGCCTTTGTGCTGGCCTGGGTTGGCCACGGCGTTTCGACGGCGCACTACCTATCACCTCGGCTTCTTTTCTGCAAAAATACAAGAGGTGCTTCCTTGGGACCTACAGGCGTGGTCCTGCACAAAGATTCTAGAGGCGTTTTGGGGCAAGAGGACAACATGGATGACTCGGCGTTCTGGTGGCGATATCTGGGCGATGGCGTTCCTTGCATGGCCTGGAGGGTAACCCGGACAGGGGCCTACAGCGCGCGGGTTTCGCTATCAGGAGCTCATTGCATCACTTCGGGGCGTACGACATGTAGATAACTTTTTAAATGTATGTTGCGCAAAGCCATTTGTCTCGTCATTCACGACCTTGTCTCTATCTGCAGATGACTGTGATCCACCGCGACAGCGCTCAGTGGTGATACATTGCCTCTGCCGGACAGAGTCTCGTCTAGATGAGTAAAGTACGTCGGCGCGTCAAGCTGTCGCCCGCGCCGCTGCGTGCTAATATCGTGGAAAGCGTACAAAAGAAAAGAATCTCCCGCCGTGGTACTTATGCAGTAGAATGTTGGTACAATACGGCTGAGTGATGGTGATGTCTTGCATGAGGTATATGAGGTATGTATTGGCGCAGGCGGTGTATGTTGCGGGCGCACCGGGGCAGCATGCGCCAGCCATTAGATGTAGCTGACCTTTGTGCCCATGCCGGCCGTGGCCTTGACCTTGCTCCATGACGCGCCGAGAATGCGCTGTATCCGCTGGCGGATGCCCTTGTGGCCTAGCATGATGAGGAGGCCGATGACAAAGGCCAGCAGTCGCGTCAGCAGCACGGGGTTGCCGTTGAGGGACGTGGCCAGCTCGATGATGGCGGCGCGCAGGCGGGACAAGATCATGCCGGCCTGGGCGGTAAAGGTCTGCGGGGGCGCCGCAACGGCCTTGCCGCCCGTCCGGCCGGGCCGTGGCTGCTGGGGTCGGCTGCCGGTGCCAGTATTGCCGTTGCCGTTGCTGTTGCTGCCGGTATTTCGGCGCGGCCTGCTTCCGTTGGCGGCGGCATAGCTGGGCGTCTGTTCGATGCCGTAGTCGACCTCGCTGCCCTCCCGGCCCTCCCTGCGGGCGCGCTCCTCCTCGAGGCGTTTCCGCTCCCGTTCCTCGTTCTCGGCGCGCTGACGCCGGGCTTCCTCGACCTCCCTGCGCAGCTGATCCTCCTGGCGCTGGCGCTCCTCGCGCTCAAGGCGCTCCTGCTCCTGCTGCTCCTCCTGAAGGCTCTGGAGGGCCTGGAGGAAGGCCTCGCGGCGCTCGTCATCGAGAACAGAGCTGACGCTGATGAACTCGCGGGCATAGTCCCACTCGTTGTTGCGCAGCAGCACGTGCAGCGTGTAGAGCTCGAGGATCTTGACGCGCGCGTTGAGGTCGCGCGGCGTGTTGGCGCCGCTTGTGCCTGGGGCCGGCGACCGGTACCGCTGACCCGCGCGGGAACCGGGCCCAGGCGAGGACGAGGCTGTGGCAGAGGCGCCGAGCTTGCCGGCGAGGTCGAAATTGGGCGCGTTAGACGAGGCGAGGTACGTCTCGAGTCGGCGCTGGTTCAGCGTCTGATCACGAGCGTGTGCCAGCAGCAGCGTGGCCCTGAAGTCGCGTGTTAGTAGGTAGAAACAACGATGTAGAGTTTGACCGGGGCGGGTGGCCTTACAGGTTGATGACGACGTCCGAGTCGACGTCGCCTTCGACGCCGTGGTATCCGTTACGGACGACCTCCTCCCATACATCGCCATCGCGGACCTTGGCACACAAGGCGCGCCACTCCTGGTTGCCGAATGCATCCTTGCCCTCGTCGGGCTCCATCTCAAGAACGGCATTGAGGATGGTCAGGTAGAGGCTCCAGACCTTGATGCGGGTGGTGCGGGAGGCGGCGGCGACGGGGGCAGGCTCGCCGTCATCTGCGGCGCCGCCGGGGGGCACGATGAGGGGCGTGAGTGTGGTGAGGGCTTCGGGCAGGCGGCGGGTCAGGAAGAGCGTTGAGGCCTGGCGGTACGTCTTGGAGATGTGCGATGTATGGCGAGCGGCGGTGGTAGAGGAGGAGAGCGACGAGATGGACGAGGAGAGGAGGTTGCGGGCGAAAGGGTCCGCAGTCGAGGACGTCGTCATGGTGGGACTCGAGCCGTTGAAGGCCGAGCCGTTGCGCGACGACGGCATCGTTGGCTGTTGGCTATTGTTGTTGTGCTGGTGCTGCTGCCACGGCGCAGTAGACGATGATGGCCTGGCTGGCTGAGCCGAGCTTGCGTGAGCTGCTCCGTCCGGCGAGTCTCTGCCGCACGTCGCTCGCTCGGTCAACCTCTTTCGCGGGCGCCGTCGCCGTGGACGTGGATTTGGTCGGTTGTTGCGGGAGAGCCACCGGCCGCGGAGGGGACCGGGTCGAGGATCGTGGGGGGCGCCGGAATGCGAGCGACGCGGGCGTTGGCGAGGAATGGGGCGAGCACGCGAGGGCAGGGAAACCCCCCAGCGCAGGATCCGAGAGAGATTGAAAACTTTAAAGGGAAATCCAAAGAAAAGCCGTCAATGTCGTCGAGATTCGATAGATGTGGGAAAGGGGGGAAAAGGGACGGACACAGAGGAAAGCAGCCCGTCACGCGTGCGTGCCCACGGCCGGGATGGAGGATGCAGAGGTGGTCGCGGTTCGGTCGACTCGGGCCATGACATGTGGTTCCGTCCGCCGAATGCCGTCCGCCAACAGAAAGCCAGCGCCCAGGCCAATGCCTACCTCACTCAGCCAGGCATTCCTCCGCGCCGGGGCAGGATGGGGCGACGGGCGGGCAGCTTTCTTTAGCCTCGGCTTGGGGGGCTGGCTGGCTGGCCGTGGGTGTGGGTGGGTGGATGTGGATGTGGATGTGGATGCCAGCAGCAGCAGCAACGGGCAGGGGGGTTGGCCCAGCTCCTGGGGCGACGAAGTGGTGGGCTGGGTCGACCGAGGCAAACTGAGGTTTGGGCGGCCGCGTTAGGCGGTACCGCCGCTGCGCCTGGGAAATGCCGTGGCCGGAGTGTACTCCTCAACCTCCGCTATCTGGACACAGATTTCCCATCTGATGAAGGAACTCGTTCCTGCAGGGGGGGTGTGGTGGCCTCTAGCGACCGCCCGGAGATGAAGAGACAATGCGGCAAGCTGTAGTGGCGGTCGACTGAATCATCAGTTCAGGTCCCTCCATCCGCAAGTCCGTACTCTGCGCCGGTGACCCAATCGCCGGGCCCAATTCCTGTTGGGTTGGGTGCCGTTGAGACGATGCGGGGTTGGCCGTTGCATGGCTCACCATAACGACAAGCAGACGCCGATGCCTTCACATGGAGACCCGCACGTCGATGCCCGTATATGTGTGTAGCATTGCCTGCTCTGTGCTGTACTGTTACATATATAGATAGCCCCGTAGCGGCTGGAGTTGATGTACGTATATCCCATGGTATCGTCGTAAACGCCGCCTTCTCCAATGACCAAATGCGTCTAATCCAAAGTGATCCTGCTCATGCGCCCGCTTCCCTATCCCCAGCCCATGTCCAAACGCCCCTCAAGCCACGCACGTGCAAATAGAAGCGCGGCTCCGCTGCTCCTCGTCATCTTCATGCATCCCACGTCTCCCTTCTCCGCCGGGGCGACCGCCGGAGCGACGCGTCGGCGTCGCCGGCGTCATCCCTCGACACGATGATGCTGTCCTCCCTGTCAAGCATCGACGCCGAGGCCCCATGCAGCTGCTCGGCGCTGATCCAGCCCGACTCCACGGCGAAGCACACAATGTCGGCCGCCGACCCGAAGCAAGGCACACTATCGTCCGCCTCAGGGTTGAGGTGCTTCCACATCTCCGCCGTCTCCTTCTGGAACTCGCTCGGGGCTTTGTTCTTCTTCTTGCCCCTGAAGCTGTCCACCAGGTACTCGTACAGGTACGCCAGCCACAAGACGTTGGTGTATGGCGCGTACACTTCCCACGACAGCGGCCCGTCGATGCCCCGGGCGTAAGGCGTCTTGTGTCCTTCTGCGGGGATGCATTTCCGGTCTCCACGCAGAAGAAATGACCGCATCTGCCGGTATACGGCACACTGTGACGCGTGCGTGCTGGTGAAGAGGCTCAGTTCCCTCTCAAGGTCGAAAGCTACAGGCTTGGCGTAGTCGACCGATAGGTCCTCTGCACGGGACAGGCCGTAGTCTAGAATCGTAATGTCGAGCCCCGAGAAGCCAAAGAACCCCGTAGATGCGGCGGTTCGCTCACTCGCGGGTCTGACTCGCTTTACGCACAGGTTACCCTCGTGCAGGTCTCGATGCTGGTCTTTGTTAGCCAAAGGAAGCTCCGTCTTGCTTGGGACAATGGGAATGTACCTCGAACATGGCCGTCTCCTCTGCCCGAGCTAGCGCGATGGCTTCGAGAAAGAAAACATCCCAGAGCTCCCTCTCGTCAGCCAGCTCCCAGTCCTCCAGTGCCGTGCCTGCGTCGCCCAGTTCCACCACCAGGAACTTGGTGTCGTCGAGGTAGCGGCTCGGCGACGGATAAAACTGCGCTCGGCCGGGGTCCTGCCGCTTCATCCTCCTCTGGAAGAGCTGATGTGTCTCAAGCAGCTCCTTCGTCGCCTTGCCTTGGACGACGTACTTTTCCTTGTACACGACAAAGCCAGGGATGTCGGCCAGCCACTCTGAGATCTGCAGCTCTCCATTGACATCGTCTTCGGAGCGAGGCTCCTCGTCGACGAGGCCGGCCTTGACCTGTTGCTTGGTCTGGGCCTTGATGGGCGAGTCCAGACGGATGACCTTGATGATGCTGGTTCCGCGCTCGTTGGTGACGCGGTAGACCTCTGCGTAAGAGGCCTCTGCGATCTTGACGATGCGGTCGCCAGGCGGGCACACGTCGTCCCAGGTGAGTATCCGCAACGAGGTGTCCTCGGCGACGCTGGAAGCGCTGTCGGGTGCAGACGAGCCCTCGGTAGTCTTGTTTTCGTCGGTTTCGACTGAGCTGTCGGGGCTCACATCCTCTGTTCGGTTGCAAAGGGCTCCGTTCTCAGACTCGACGAGTTTCTCGGCGTCCTTTGCGTCTGCGCTGCGGCCCTCGTCGTTGCTGTCGCCAACCACGACGGGGGTTGCCTTGATGCTCTTCCTGGGCGACCTTCGCGGTTGTGGTGCGACAGGTTCTTCATCCATCCGGATAGCAGACAGCAGCTCGGTGACGTCCTTGACCGGGTCTTGGCTGTTGGCACTGGCGGGCGGCTTCCTAACGGGGCTCTGCGGCAGTTCGGCAAACATGCGCTCGGCCCGGGACCGCTTTGAGGGCTTGCCGTATCTGCGCGCTGTCGTCGTGCGCGGCATCCTGGCTCGTTTGGCGAAGGCGTCGCGTCCGTGGTCCAGTCATGAATTGCAGGTTTGTGGTCACTGAGACGAGGCTCGGGAGCTTGTGGTGGTGATGTGGGGTTGGCCAGGCAACCTCATTCACTACAGAGCTGCTGGCTGGTGCAGCCGCCTCAGGGTCCTGGTTAGGGGTTGCATCGGCCCCCGGGACGCGGCCCGTCCAAGCATCCGCAACGCACCGCAGCCACGCTTCCATCCGATGTGCAAACTTGTAGTGTTCTGGACCCAAGTCTGTTCTCTTTCATCCGTTGTTCCACCTCCAGGTATACCCTGTGCCAAACCACTTCAATTGCGGCGATAATGCTCGCACGTCTTCACCAACATTAACTTAGTGTCCAGGGTGAGCGGGCCGACTTCCCCCACCAATGCTCGCCTGGCTGGAGGATCATGTCGAAGAGCCCTGAAAGCGGCCACCAACGGACGGACGATGCGGGTCCCAGTGGTTCGCTGATGATGGCAGGTCACCCAACTCGCGCCCCCCAGAGTCTCCAGCTCCAGCTCCAGAACGCTCGCTGAGCCCTGCATGGGGACGCTAACGAGGGCAGCTCAGACCCACTCCGTCGTCTGTCGTGGAATCTCCGCAGCAGCCCTCCCTCCCCCGTGCGGTCAGATCAGCGAGCTCCAAAATTCCACGTCGCTACTGGACCTGCGACCAACTCCATCCCGTCCATCCTCTCCTTCTCCTCCCCGTCCGTCCGCCCCCCGCCAATTGCCAATCCGCAGCAGCCATGGCCGACCTTCTGAAGAACGTCTTTGGAGGCGGTAAGCCGGCGCAGCCCGCGGTCAAGAAGGCCGCCGACTCGGGTGAGTTCCCCAGCGTTGCGCGTGCGCGCGCGCAAGGCGAAATCCCACATCTCCCCTCTTTGATGGCATCGCCACCTCGCCTCATCGCATCGCAAGAAAGCTGACACAGATTTGCTAGACTTCGCCGACTTCGCCGGAGCCCCCGATCCCGCGCCCGAGTCCGTCCCGCACGCCACGCTCGCGGGCACCGCCGCCGGCCCCGCGGCGACGGGCGTCCCCTGGACCAAGTGGTACAACGTGCACGAGCGCCACTCCCTGTCCGAGTTCAAGGCCGAGGGTATCATCCTCGTCGTCGCCGGCCTCATCTTCCTCTTCCACATCTTTGGCGCCCGCGCCAACCGCTCCAAGGCCAGGGCCTGGATCAGGGCCAATGCCCGCGTCCTCAAGAGCGAGTTCGCCCTCGTGGGCTTCAGCGGCGTCCCCACCATCGATGCCCCTGAGCTCGACTCGGACGCCGACGCCCTGCTCAAGGAGAAGTCGCTCTTCGAGTTTGCGACGTACGCCACGGGCCGACAGAACGTGGCCTTCATGGACGTCAAGCTCACCCTGAAGAAGCGCTTCAACCCCATCCTGAGCACCGTCGAGACGGTTGGCTCCTTCTTCACCGACATGTTCGCCGCGCCCGCCGACACCATGGAGGCTTCCCTCTACCCCTTTGACGGCAAGGAGGGTCTCACCGTCCCGTCCGCTCCCGGCGCCGCCGAGGTGCGCGCCAAGGACTCCAAGAGCACCTACGAGGGTTTCGTCTTCGCCATCGTCCACAAGGAGCGCATGCAGCAGCTGCGCGACGAGCGCTACGACGTCTCCCTCACCGTCACCAAGGATCACCCCAAGCTGCCCAACTACCTGAGCGTCATGACGGAGAGCGCCGAGATCACCGACACCCTCATGACCACGGAGCTCGTCGCTGCCGTCGCCGCGGCCGGCGACCTGTTCGAGCACCTCATCGTCAGCGACCAGCCTACCGAGAAGCCTAAGACGCTCGACGAGGCGGTCCCCCGCAAGCGCCTGTTCCTCAAGTACCGCCTGCCATCGGACGGCAGCTACGGCGACCTGCTGCCCCTGTTCTCGTACTTCCTCCGCCTCCCCGACATGCTGGTGCAGTCGGCGCAGTTCCGCCCCGAGGTCATGAAGAAGGTGCGCGCCACGCGCGAAGCCATGACGGCGCAGATCAAGAAGGCGGTCGAGGAGGAGCGCAGCGAGGAGCGCCTGTACGAGAAGGAGAAGGCGCGCAAGGCCAAGCGCGACGCCGAGCTCAAGGGCCTGGATGCCAAGGCGCAGAAGAAGTACCTGGAGAAGGAGAAGGAGAAGGAGCAGCGCCGGAACCAGAAGAAGATGACGATGCGCGGCTAAGTGCACCGAGGCCCAAAAAAGCACGGGGGTGGCTGTGTCTTGCTCGGATCGGAGACTCCGCGAGAGCTAGGCTGTATGACTATTGTAGTACATGCGAGTGTAATGCAGTGTCGCCGTTGGCGCATTCAACTTTTACTCATCCATCCCATCCTGACTGTCTGCGAGTCCCTGACTGTAGACCTTTTGAGTACATTTTAGATGGAGGGCGTTGCCCTTCAGACGCCATAGTGTCCCCCCCTAATCGAAGCCACGCCGCAAACCCGTACCGGCGTTCAGCTCTTCCCCTGCGCGAGAAGGTCCTCCACCCTCTTTACCTTGTCCTCTGCCGTCTGCTTCTTATCCGTCCTGCGCCCGCCGTCGTCAGCAACACAGCGCGACGGGCAAGGGAAGTAAGGTAAACTCGAAAAGCAAAGAAAGAAAAGGAGGAGGGGAAGAAAACGTACCGCGAGCCGACACGCATCGACGACTGCACCCTCACGACGCCGCGCCTGTGCACCACCGTGTGCGCCTTGCCCACCACAGCGAGCACCTCGTCCCAGTTGCCCTCTGCCAAACAAAGCGCCGTCAGCACCTCCGTATCAGCATCATCATCGAAGCATGGCCCTGGGCAGCAGGAGAAGCCGCCAGACAGACACGGACACAAAACGCGGAGCGAGTCACTTGTACAAAGGAGGGGAAAAGTGAGAATGTGTGTCCCCATGCCCACCATGAAGAATCAGACAGGGCAAGAATGTAGGATATGGCAAAGATTAGAGATTCATGGTGTGGGCAAAACGTACCGACGGTCGTGCCGGCCGAGTGCATCGTGTACTTGAGCCCACTGGCCTGCAACACGCGCTGCACCTCAGCCACCTCCTCCGCGACAGAAATCTTGCCCGTGCCGACCTAATACACAGATTTCACACACACAGTCAGTCAACGCGACCACGAATCCCAGCGTACACACAATACACACACACCACGCTCCTCTGCGGTGCGCAAGGGGAACGGGGTAAGGGGAAACGGGGGGCCGGGAATTCACAAAAACGCACGGGAATGAGGCAAAAGTCGACGTAGCACGCCTCCGGGGTGGGTATGCTGGCGTAGTCCATTGTTGTTGCTGCTGCTGCCACGGCGGTCGTCGTCGCGATGCTGCTGCTGCTTCTCCTCTGGGGTCTGGTGAGCGATGATGGTATTATTGCTGGATGGGAGTGCAGGTGCAGGTGCTGCTGCTGCTGGTGCTTGGCGGGACGGGGTCGTGTTATAGTTATGGCACGCAGCTTGGCGAGAGCCCGTGGAGCGAGCATGGGGGGATGGGATGGGATGCGCTGATGATGACGGAGGTGGTGGTGTGGGCGGGCATCGGATGGTGGTGGAGGGCGGCGGCATGGCGGCATGGCGGCATGGCGAGACCTGGCTCCACCCCCGTTCAACGGCTACGAGACACTGTCTGCGACATGACGAACAAGTCATGAACCACAACCCGTGGTGGTACAAAATCGTGATAATCAAGTCTGGCTTCATTTAGAGCCGATTCTTGTTGAGCTATCTGCTATGTCCTTCTATGACGGGCGTCCCATCTATGTCCGTGCCGGTCCTTGTCCGTGGCGGGCAGTTATCCGCTGCCGCCGATATACCCAGAAATCTGTTGCATTCCGTAAACGCCTCGCTAAAGAGCCACCAAAGGCAAACCATGGATAGAAATGGCGGCAATCTAAATCCGCAGGTATCGAATCCCCAATCTACAGCAGCAGAAGAGCGGCCGTCAAAAAGGTCCACAGCGCGCCGTACTCAAGGCTGCGACCGTTGGTGGCGCTGCCCGTCGACGTCTCGCTGTTGGAGTTCTTGCGGCCTGTCGCGCTGCTGATGCCGTTGAGGCTGTCGGCGGCGGCCATGGGGTCGCCCTTGTCCCAGAAGTCGACCAGGACAAAGTTGGGCACCTTGGTCCATTCCGACTTGCACTGCTGGACGTGCTTGCCGAGGTTGCCGTCGGCCGTGGTGGCGGCGCTGTTGACCACGTCGATGCGGTCCACGTCCGGCACCATGATGTTGGAGGCCAGGCTCTGGTACTTGAAATGGTTGACTAGGCCCATCCAGCCATTGGAGATGGCCGTCGTCGCCGGCCTGGCCCGCGACGGACGGTCGACGGTGCAGTTGAAACCCGTCAGCTGCGTCACCTCGAATGGCGTCTCGAAGACAAAGTCGAACTCGGGCAGCAGGTACGGCGTCGAGGCCGAGTAGTTCATGTTGGTGATGAAGGACACGACGCGGGTGCCCTGGCTAATCATGCTGTCGAGGGTGGGCCAATTGGTCGTCGCACTCGTCGTCTGCGGCTTGTAGCCGAGCTTGGAGATGCCCGAGCTCTCAAAGACGGCGCCAAAGTCGGAGGCGGGGGCGCTGTCCGAGTTGACGAGCAGCAGGGTGACGACTTCGTTGGGGTTCGCCGTCATCCAGTCGTTGACGGCCGAGAGCCACGTCTCGAGGGGCCCGGCGTCGAGGAGGCTGCAGGACGTGTGGCACATCTCAAGCGTGGTGTTCGGTTTGTGAATCTGGGCCTGGAGCAGGCGGATGCCGGCGTTGAGGGCGGCCGTGGCGTTCTTGAATTGGTTCCCTGCTATCGAGTTGCCGGTGCTGGCGTCCCTCAGGAAGGAGCTGTCGTGCGCGCCCATGTGCGTGATGTTGTTGTACTGCCGGCTGCAGAGCTCGGGCGAGTTGTTGCACGCCTTGGATCCCGAGTCGGAGGTGGTTTTGTTGCCAGGGCTGCTCTGGGGCGCGGCCTGGACTTGGGCGACGACTGCCAGAGCCGCCACCACGGCGGAACGTAGCGAGGTGAACATGGCGAACGCAGTGCTGCGTTTTGTTGCGTCGAGCGAGCGAGCTTGATGCGGGATACTGGCGCGCCTCTGGTGAAGGACTCGGGGTCGAGCGGCGACGTCGTCTTCGTCGTTCGTCGTCGCCTCGTTCAAGTTCGAGTTCGATGCCGAAGAGGGCACAGGAAGACGCTGGGTAAGATATATGCTAGTGTAACGCTGTACCAGCAGCCACGTCTTCAACGGAAAAGAAAAAGCAACAACGACGTAGTTTACGGTCAAAGCAACAGTCGGTGAGCGAGCAGAACAAACAGGCGCCCGGGGGGGGTGAGAGGGCAGACACGAGTATTTAAAAGGGATAGACAAGCACGAAACAAGGAGCACAGATGCTCCAGAAAAGCCTCCAGGGCGGTGGAGCAGACTACGGTCACTGCGGATGAGGGAGGAGACCGGAGTGACAGAGATGAGGCTGAAAGGCTGGCCGCTGCGGGAGCTCGGATAGGCAGATGCGCAGTGCAGGTGCTTGCCGCATCGGGAAGTGGCAGCGCCTGGAAGCCGCTTTGCCCAGGCGTCGTGGGGGGGAGCTGCGGGCTTGGCTGGGCTTCCATGGCTGGGCTGGGTTGGGTTGGGCCCTGCTGCGCCTCGCGTCGACAACGTCAGCGCCTGGGCGGGTGGAGAACGGAGGTCCGCTGCTGAAACGACCTCTGAAAGAGACCTGTGGTCTGCTCTGCGCGAAGTACCAAAACTCGTATCTGTCAGGGGCGGGCGAGGCGAGGCTCTCAGAACCCAAAAAGCTCACTCATATTGCGTTCCCCGGGCCGCAATTACGCTTCTCGGAGGGGAGGACCTGTCAATCTCTCTAATCTAATTCTTCGCCTCCGCCTCCCTCTTTTCACCCGCGCCTCCATCTCCGCTTCCACCAGGGCCTTCCGTGGGGGGTGAAAGGTTATTGCCCTCCCTCCGCGCTGCACACAAGACCGGGAGGATGTTATGCGTGAATAGGGTCGTCGTCGTCAGCTTCGACTGCTAGTGGCCCAAGACCCTCCCGCCCGGCCGCTGGGGTTCGTGTTCCATGGCGTCCCGGCACTGGGGCGGCTGGTGAGACACTGCCGCCGCCATTCGTCGTCCACTGACACACACGCACTCGCACACACACATATGACACGCACGTCGCCGCCGCCTCACATGCACCCACATGGCTGCTGTCTGGCCTCTCTGAGGTGCTCGCTATTTTTATCCCTGCCAACCTGCCTCCACTGAGGTGCAGGCGTAACGCCCCGCTGGGGCTCCGGGGACCCCTTTCAGCCTGTGCTGTAACTTAGGTGCGCTGCTGCGTGTGCATCGCCAGCCAGGCTCACCTCATCAGCCACATCCGGTCCGCCGGGCACCAGTGCCGGGTGCCACGCGCCGCCATCACGGATGGCAGTGCAGGCTCCGACGACGACTTCGTGTATGCTCCGTCATGTACTCACAGTACCCGCAACGATGCTCACCAGATCAAATCGACACGCATATTACGAGCGATGCATCGTGCAACGGTCTGACCGGCCGCCCGCAGTGCCGATCAGCGCGCAGTCCCGCCCCGTGGCGGAACGTCGCCCAGGCAATCCGCGTCGCTGACATCACTCTCCGGCCGTCGAACTGCCAACCTCCCAACCTCCGACCTCCAACCACCGACATACGGTGCCTGCTTGCATGGCTCTTCAGCCAACCTGCAACGTCCGGGTCTTCAACTCCCGTCTCGTTGTCTCCTGGCTCGGGACTTGGCCAAGCGTCCAGACCCCGCGCCGCTGCTCTCACAGCCGGAGCCCAGCTACTCACACTTACACTGGCCCACATCAAGCTGCTCTCGACATGCAATACTGCTCTGAATTTTTGCCCCAAGTAAAGACATACCGCCGTGCCCATGTCCCAGCCTCTTGACACGCCTCCCCACGCATGCAGATACGCCCCGTATCGACCCGCCCCAGGGCACTTTGTACTTCGCCACGAACGCATCAACGCCTCCAGGCCTACTCAGGGTCCTCGGCGAGCTCATTCTTGCTCTCGGCCGCCACCGCAGCCTCCATCTCCTTCAGCTGCTTCTGTCCCTCCTCCGTCGTAGCGTCGATGATTTGCTCCTCAAGACTGAGGATGTTGGCCTGTGTGCGCCAGTCAGTCTCAAGACACGTCCGTAGATGCCAACGCCGCTGGCGCATAACGTACCTCTCCAAATAGGTTTACCAGCTCCTCCGCCTCCTCCACCCCGAGCCTGCCCAGAACCTTGTTCACCTCGTCAAGCTCCCCCGTCTCCAGCGCCTTCTTCATCTCGGGCTTGAACCCGTCAAAGATGGCCCGAGCCTTCTGCTCCTCCGGGTCCTCGCTGTTCGTCGGCGGTACGCGCACGTTGATGACGGTGCCCGGCTCCACAGCGTGCAGCTGGATCTGCTCCACGCCCTCTGCCGGCTCCTTTGCCCGCTCCGCCAAGATCTCGCGCGATCGGTTCTTGATTCGCATGTACGTCTCCTGAACGTCCTTGTAGAAGACCTCCTGCGCCTGGTGGCCCTTGGTCATGATGCGCTTGAAGAAGAGCTGCACCCCATCCTTGCCCAGCGCCCGGCAGTACTGGAGCAGCAGCGCCTGGTGCACGCACTGCCGCGAGTAGTCGTCCTTGCGCTCCAGCGCAGCGTCGAACGCCAGCACCAGGAGACCGTCTGTCTCGCGCTCCGTCAGGATTTGCGGGTGCTGGAGCAGGAACTGCAGGCTGCGCGGATACTCGTTGGCCGGGATCTGCGCAAATGTCTTGGCATCGGGTGACGCTTCAATCTCCTCGTCGTCATCGGCGGCTGCGGCGCTCGTTTGCGATGGCCCGGAGTCTGTCGTCGTCGAAAAGCTGGGGTTCAGGAGCTCCACCTGCGTAGAGTCCTTCTTGTCTGCCGCCGTCGCCTTGGCCACGTGTGAGCTGTCGAAACCCGTGTGAATGTCCGCGCTGGTAATCTTCTTCTTGTCCTCCTTCTCCAGCTCCTCCAGCTTCTGCAGCAGCTCTTTCTGCAGGTTCTCGACCTTGTCATGGTGACCTTGGATTTCCTCAATCATGCCGCTGTACCGGTCGTCGGGCTTCTTCTCGTCGAGAGCCTTGTTCACCTGGTCTAGGAGGGCCGCCATCATCTTGGAGTACGTGGGCTGCTCCTGTTCACCGCTGTGTACGCCCTCGGGCGGTGGCGGCGGCCGGTCGTCCTTTGGGTTTCCCGCGGTCTCCATGACTGCCTGGAACGCAATCTCGCCGGGGTTCCGGGTCGCCGCCTCGGAGGCGTGGGCTCTCAGTGACGCGAGCAGCGCCGAGATGCGGGACAGCAGCCCGTCGTTGATGACGCGCTCATACTTGTACGTCTCGATCTGCAGCTTCCGGTGCTGCCGTTCCTGATGGATCTGGTTCTGCTTCGCCCGAATAAAGGACCGCTTGTCGACGTTAGGGTGCACCTCGATGTCGGAGTCGTCGCTGAGCTCCAGCGCGTCCTGCGAGACGGTTAGCCACGCTCCCTCACGATCGAGCTGCCTTTTCGTCAGTCAGGGCGGACGCACCCATTTGCTGTAGTCGACAGGCATCGTGGGTGGTGTCTCAAGCTGTGCAATCTCTGATTGAAACCAAGCGAGCCTTTTTCCGGTCACTGGGGCCTCGTGTCGAGGCAGGAAGAGCTGCAACAGCTGTGGTAAGACTGACGATGATGATAGGCGAGCGTTGGAAGATTCTGGACTGGACGTTTGGCGGGGTTACCAAACATGAGAGCTACAGTGGCGCACTGACTGGAAGCACGGGTTTCTGGCCCCTCACCGTTTGTACCCCTCAGCCCCACTCCCGACCTTGAACTGCACTGAGCTACCAAGCACAACCAACAAATCTGGAAGCTCTCCCTCACCACCTGGGCACCTCATGACAGCACGCGTTCCAGAAGGTGCAGTGCTTCCTCAGAAGCGAGTCAGGCATCGCGCCGCATTCGCAGCCTTTCCTCCGTCTATTCTTTGTCGCATATAGCATCGTGATAAAGTACAGGCTTGTTCTCGATCGCTCATGAGCCGCCCATCGTACAATTGTTCCACTGTGGTGATGCAATGCATCATCAATGCTCCCAGTCCCCACGCCTGCCTATTGGAAAGGTCATGTCCGCAACTCCAGGCCCCAAAGCAAAATCTCCGCGCTCGCCGCTGGCTTGTCTCAAGACATGTTCTTCATGAAGTCGTCCAAGTCAAAGCTCTCCTCGTACTGCTTGCTGTCCCACAGCTCGCCGAGGTCCTCCAGCCACGGCTTCTTAGTCGGTTGCCGCAAGACGTCGCCTGTCTCTAGATCCACCATGTCTTCCTCCCGTCCGTCTACCTCATTTTGCGGCTTGTCCGATATGAGGTTTGGCCCAGAGTCGCCCAGGTTGAACAGGTCCAGGATCTGGTCCGTATCCATCGTCGCCAGACCTGCATTCTGCTGATTGACGACGGTCGAGGCAACGTCAATCTTGAAGCGCTGGAGACTTAGGATCTTCTCCTCCAGCGTGCCACGAGTGATAAGGCGGTACACATTGACCACCTTCTTTTGCCCGATTCGATGGGCGCGGTCCATGGCCTGCAAGTCCTTTTGCGGGTTCCAGTCGTGTTCCACGAAGATGACGGTGTCGGCGCCCGTCAAGTTAAGGCCGAGTCCGCCAACGCTGGTGGTCAGGAGCAAGACGTCGTACGATGGATCGCCGTTGAACTTGTTGACAATGTCCTGTCTCTTGTTCGCCTCCACGGAGCCATCGAGACGGAGGTGCGACACGGACGGCAGCATCTCCTTCAGCACTTTGTGCTGCACCATATCCAGCATTTCTTTCATCTGACAGAAGATGAGCGCCCGGTGGGGCTTGATGGGCTGGTACAGTGGGTCATTCGAATCTCCCTCTTGACCGCCGATGCCGCAATCCACCAAGAGGTCGCGCAAGGCCGTCAGTTTCGGTGCATGTGCCACATCCTCGATAGACGTGCCCTGTTTCTGAAGGATCCTCTGCGTCTCGTCATATACCGGCATGTCGGGCTTCATGACGAGCGCTGGCGAGTTGCACAACTTGCGCATGTACTGAAGCGCTTGGAAGATGTGCTGTTTGGCCTCCTTGTCGTCACGGCCCGCCTCCGCCTGCAGCTTCTTGCCCTGCTTCTTGCTAAAGTCTTCGAAGAGCTTCTTCTGTAGGTCGCTCAGGTCGCAGTAGTAGTTCTGCAGGATTTTGGGCGGCAGGTCGTTGAGGACCTCTTCCTTGAGACGCCGAAGCAAGAACGGCAGGACCTGCTTGTGCAGGGCCTCAATCGCCAAGGCGCCTGCTTCCTGTTCCTTGGACGACGCCTTGCTGTTGCGACTATTGGCAATCGGCTTGGCAAAGCGATCCATAAAGACTTTCTCGGCGCCGAGGAAGCCAGGCATGAGAAAGTCGAAGAGTGACCAGAGCTCCAATACATTGTTCTGAATTGGCGTACCCGTGAGGATCAGCCGATGGTTGCTGACAAGCTTCTTGACGGCTTGGGAGATCTTGGCCTTGGGGTTCTTGATGAGGTGGCCCTCGTCCAAGACCATGTAGTTCCAATTATGCTGCTCGAGGATATCCGTGTCGTTTCTGCAAACATCGTACGAGGTGATCACAATGTCCGTCTCCCCAAGCCTCGCCTTCATCGCTTTTCTCTCCGCCGGCGGGCCAACGTACGCTGTGACGCTGAGGAATGGGGCGTATGCCTTGATCTCCTGCTGCCAATGGCCAGAGAGAGTTGGAGGGCAGACGATGAGCGACGGCAGCCGTCGTACATCCGGCGCTTTGGTTTTCGCAAACTCCTCTGCGCGCTGGTGATGATCGCTTGCAACGATACACAGGGTCTGTAGAGTCTTGCCGAGACCCATGTCATCGCAAAGGATTCCGTGCAGGTGGTACTTGTTGAGGAAATGCAGCCAATTGACGCCTTCTTGCTGGTATGATCGGAGCTCGGCCTTGATGGCGACGGGAATCTGGAAAGGCTCCACCTTCTTCGGATCGAGCAGCTGAGCAATAAAGTTTCGCTCACGATCTCGTCCTCTGAGCAGCTCCTCGGAAAGGCCGGGCGGGTCGGGAATGCCAGCCTCTAAGGGTACCAGTTTGACCAACGTTGCAAAGGACGTGGTCGCGATGAGTCGGACCTCATTGTCCGAGTCGCTCATCCGGCCGAGAACGGGGACGATAAGGAAGATGACGTATGGCAAGATGGCGTCGCCCATTACGGCAATCAAGTGGTAGATGGCTTCGATCACGCCCTGCCTGTAGTTCAAGTCAAGGGGATTGGTGATGGACGGGAGGACTTTCTCGACCAAGGCCGTCATTCCTTCGACAGTGATGACGCTGCAGATGGTGGCCAAGCATTTCGCAGCCATGTAGCGGAAGACGGAGAGCTCCGAGTGGAGGGCCTTGATGACGAGCGGCATCATCTGCATGACGAAGGGATGCAAGGCCGGGTCGAGCGTGGGTGTCATGGTTCTAATGACAGACATGGCGTCGACGATCTCCTGGCCAAAGGTGTCTCCCGGGTCCTTTGCCTCAGCAGGCAAATCCCCTGTGAATGCCTTGATCAACGGCTGCTCCATAAACGTCCTCAGGCTTGGGACCGTCTCGAGCACAGCCGCGCCATATGTCTTGGAGAGGATCTCAAGGGCGTCTTTCGCTCCCCGTCGCGTGATCCGGGCAGCCTTGGCCTCCTTGGCCCATTTCACAGCGTCTGCGTGGTCAACACGATCTTCCTCCTTCTGCATCGACAAGATGCAGTTCGTCTTGGCGGCGTGCACTGGGAATTCGGGAGTTTCGGCCACTTCGACGCATGAGAACTTGACCAGGTTGGCGACAACTTTGTCGGCGGGACCCCGTCTCCCCTTGTCCGTGAAGAGCTGAACCAATCTTGCGATTGTCTCCGACGAGCGGCCTTGCAGCTGCTGGCTCTCCTCCGTCTTGACAGAGTCCATGATTCCCTTGATCAACGGGCTGGGCTTTTTAGGAAGCAGCTTCATGGCAACCATTGCGCACGCGGCCCCAGCCTTGATTCTAGTGTCGCGTGCCTCTTTGGCTGCCTTGGCATCTTCAATGACAGCCAAGGCGACATCGCGGGCCTCCGCGAGTTGCTGGCTTGCAATGAGGCGCTGGCCAGGGGGCATGATCTTCTTGAGCCGGTCGTAGTCGTCGCTGACACACTTCTCGGCGGTCGCAATGGAGAAAGCGCCGGGTCCAGCTTCGGGTTCACCTTGTACCACCACCGGGAGCACCGGCAATCGGCCCTGGGAGACCTTGCCGTGGTCGCGGAACAAGTTGATGAGTTGTTGGCACTGCGTTCTAGTTCGCTGCACAAAATTGACAAGGTCCCTGTATGAAGAGGGACGGTCCGCCTCGACCATGCGCTGTACGTGATCCGCGTACCTTGAGCTGCTATCAGTGTTGGCGCAATCCTTTGCGAACTCGTCAATGACGAGACATGCTGAAAGCTGAGTTGACGCGAAAGGAGATGTCAGTCCAGGCAGCAAAAGCACGTCGTAGTCGTCCAGATTCTTTGTCGGTACCAAAGACATGACCTGGCCCATTGCCTTGGCGGCAGACACGCGAGACCGGATTAGCACTTCCATACCGACGAGATCGATGTCGCCCTGCATCATGTGGCCATCCACATCGTGCGTCAAGCCAGCAGGAACTGCTTCCTCGACAGCCTTGTTGGACTTGCGGCGCCGCTTCGGTGCTCTATCCGATCCGTCGGGCGACGACAGCCTCCGAGCAGACGGTTGAGGGAGCGTGTTCGAATACGTTCCGCCGGATGGTTTCTGGAAGAGCCCTGCATTCATGGGGATCGGATTCCTTGAGATGCCAATCGGGTGCAACGTGAGTTGCATAAGCGCTTCGATATGGGGAGCAAACTCATCCGCAAGGACGGCGGGGTCCTTGGCCAAACAGCGGACCAGTGCGTCCCAAAGTTTCAGAGACGTGTTCAGCGTCTCTTGATCCCTCTCGACCAGGATGTTCTGGAACACAAGGCGCAGGATCCTTCCGTTCAGCCAGCCTTGAGATGTGTCGGCACCTAGGTTCGCAAAGGTCAATAGCGCTTTGAGGACGGCCAAGCGCACGGAGGTGATGGTGTGTCGCAAGAACGGATAAAGCCGAGGAACAAGTAGGGTGAAGGACCGTTCCTCGTCCTGAGCTGCCGACGCCTTCATCGCCTCCAAAACTTCGGGGAAACCACAGAGCGTGGCGAGAAGATCCATAATACGTCCTGTGCTCGCGCTCAGGTCGTCTCCGAGGTTCGACAGTGACTCCCAAACAATGTTTGTGAGATCATCCAGCGCTGCTGGCCTCATGGTGACGAACTCCTTGGCCATGGGGATGATGGTGGCGGCGCTGACAGAACGAACGTCATCATCCAGGTCGCCCAAGCCCTTCATTACTGCTCTGATGATACCATCAATCATGTCGCCGTCCTGGAGGAGCAAATCTTTCCTAACTGCCACGACGTATCGCAAGCCGACCATGCCTCCATGGCACACTGCCCATTGCGATCGTTCAAGTTGTATATCTTCCTGTATCACCATCCGGTAGAGAATCCGATAAATGTCATGTACCGAATCGGCGGTAACGTGCTTCAGGACTGAACCAAGGGTCTGGCCGATCGTCTCTCGAATCGGCGCCACGGACGTGTCGGAACTGTAATCGGTGAAGCGGTCCAGCATCAAAACGCAGCATAGCCGACAGGCCATGTCGTTCAGCCACTTGCGATTCAGGGTCTCATTGTCGCCTCTTGTCTTACCGCGTAAGCGACCGGCGCCTCCGCCGTGCACCCTCATTACTTCTCGGAGACCCATCGCCGCTCCGTGTCGAGTCTCCCAGGACGGGTCAAATAAGTCCACCTTTAGGAAGTCGCAAAGACGCTCATACGGCCATTCGAAGCCCTCCAGGGAGTCGTCCGCTTCAATCTCGGATTTTATGGGAATGGTCGGCCCCTTGAACTCACTGACGACCTTGGTCTCCTCGTCAACATCAGTGGGGCGGTCTAGATTGAAGTAATCGTTGACTTGTCCGTTCTTCTTGGAGTCGGGGTCAGCAGCCGGCGTTTCGTCCGCAAAAGCTTCAGACCCAGCTGTCGTCGATCGCCGCAGAGACAAGTCTCCAAAGCCGCCCTTACCTTGCGACGCCTTCATCGCCTCTCTCTTTCGTTTGCGCTTGAGCACGTTAAGCTGTCTCGTGCTCAGCTGAGAGTCCTCGGGCCCCTGACCCGTGGCTGAAATGCTGTCGCTGCGAGCCAGGCCGTTGCCGTTGCTCGCCTCAAGGGGAGTCATGGGCGCGGCTTGTGAGTCGACCATGATAGGCATCTCCTCATCTTCGAACTTTCGCCCAAGGAGTCCGAGCCGACCTAGAAGGGTTTTCTTTTGGTGTGCCAGGCGGTCTTGTGGGTCCAGGGCGGCCAAGTTGTATTCGATGCCGCCGCCTCGAAGTAGCTCGCGTCCAAATCTGAGAATAGAGTCAATGTTGAGGGAATCGAAAGTGAATAGGTCCTCGTCGTGCAGGCGGGGCTCAGTTTCGTGCTCTTCCTTCTTGACGTGGCCGTTCTCAGCGGCAGGTTCTTCATTCTTGAGCTGGCTGAGTGGGTCGCCGGAGTTTGGGTCATATAGGGGGGCGTTCTCAACAATCTTGCCTATGGCTTTTGCTGCGGTGCTTCGAGTCTCCCATTCTTTGTGTCGAAGATATGGGACGACTCGAGATAGCAGGTTAAAGAGCTCGTCTGGATGTTGCTTTTGCCAGTCGGCAAGCTGGTTGACGGCTGTCTCCCGAATGAGGCGGGTGCTACCCGTCTCAAGAATGGTTACCAACCGATCGAGTCTTGAGGCCATCTTGAAAAAATTGCGCCTCCGAGGGACGGAGGTCTTTTCTGTAGCTCAAAAATGTTTCGTCGAGGTGCAGTAACCGGACTTGGTGCCCACGCACTGCACCTCCGGATCGCGATCTCCTCGCCGCGGAACGCCGCGCAGTGCTGGCGAGACCGCGAGGGAGAGGATGATATATAGGGTGAGGGGCGGGTCCTTTCAGCTATGGCAGGCTGCGGTGCGCCGTCGCTGTAGCATTGGAGGGAAGTGGTTTCGAGAGACAGTCCAAGAGTGACTGAAGAAGCGGGAGGGAGCAGGCAAGCAATAAAAATGCTCAACCCGCGCAGGAAGTGAAGATGAGTGAATCACCGGCCGTGGTGAAGGGTCCTGGTGAAAGAGCCGTGATGCATGCAAGTGCCGAAGGGCCGCAGGGTGGGGACTTGTGTGCAATGTACTGTGTTGACAGAAGGCGGGCGAGGGGTGCGCGGCAAGTGTTAGGCAGCTGCCAGCTAGTGACTCCGGCGACAGGTGATGGTCCCAGGGGTCGCTGAAGAGGGCCCGTGCGGCTGGTGCGGCTGATGAAACTGGATGCCAGGATATGGTGTGGCTGGTGTGTGTGGCAGTGCTGGGCGGGAGGGCGGCCGGACGTGCTGGCGCGGGCACCGGGTCAGCTGGGGACGGGACGGGGACCTGCTCGGAAAATCGAGTGGAGGGCAGGAGCGGCCATTTGTATCATGTGTGTGTGCATGCATTTTTATACACGCCAGCGCGCCTGCCCCCAGGCGTCGACCAACGGTTTGTCGCGCTGCTCTCGCTTAATTTCCTCTGGCCATGTTAGCGCCGCTTCAGGTGGGCCCGCCCCGGGTGCTAGCCGGACCGCCGGGAAGGAAGCATGGGAAGGGGAGCACCTAGCACCTGCCCGTGGCGCATGCGCCTGGGAGAGCACTTGCTCGACCTGGCGCTGGGTTTTTTTCCCGTTCGTGCCTGCCCGGGATGTTGTTGTTCGCAGAGGCGCCTGCGGCTGCCGCGTGCGGTCGTCACCACTAGGGCACGCGCATCTTGGGCATCGACCTGCTAGGCAGCGCCTTGTGCCGTTGGTTTTGGGGTTGTTTTTTTTTTTTTTTTGGGTTTGGTCCTTCTCTTGGAAGATCGCCCTTACACGTGTTATACTCGACAGCCTCGCCTGAAAATCACGGTCCATCAGTCTGCAATGCGCGCCAGGCACCTCTCGTCGCTGATCTGTCTCGTGCTTCGTCGCAAAGAGGCGTGAGGTGTTTGGCACATTTGCGATCAAAAAAAGTCTATCTCGGTAGCCTAGGGCCTGTCGGGCGCAATCGCCGCCTCTCCGACCTCGATGCTGCGACTCGCTCGCCAATGCGGTGTTTGATATTGCTGCTCCTTCGCGGAGCGTCCCGAGCCCCGGGCACGGGAAACCATACTCTCGACCGTCTAGGCGATCCGTTAAGTAAGGCATTACGCGACCGTTTGCGTGGTTGAACGAGTTTGCGGCAGGGAGGCAGGCTGAGCTACATCAGACTTTCTGAGCTCAGACAAGCGCAGGGTCATCCGCCCTTCGCTCCATTCCACCCTTGCCCCCGTATCAACGCCATTCCGTGTCTTGGTTTGGCCGGCTTGGGGTCCACGGGCGTATATGCCCCTGTGTCTGCGAGCACACCATCGGGACACCTGGCAATGGCCTCGAGCTCCAACATGTCAGGGCCAGCGTTCGGGCTTACATGGCGTCAGCGCCACGGCTCACGACATCGGGATGCTGATTCCTCATTCACCGTGGTTCTTCACTGGGAGACGTGGCTCCGTCTGTGTGCATCTGCGCGCATGGAGATGGGCCTTTCCTTCGGCCGCCCGGCGGCCTGTGGCTCGTTGGCTTTTTTCCATGTACTCGTACTTGTCGTGCTTGAAGGTGGGCCACTTCAACTTCCGGGGACAGGGATCTTGCGCTAAGGCGGGGCGATCACTAAAGCACGATCTGTCGCGTTGTTGCACTGACGTAGCATTCAAGTCGTGCCTGGGCGAATTCGACCGACGTTAGGCCCTGCAGTCATCGTGTGCCAGATGACGGGCGACAACAATGCACTGTCAGTATTGGCGTATCAGCCATGTAGACGGTTCAATCCTGGTGATGGGCCATGCTGGGCCGCGTGGCGCAGGCAGACATTCATGGTATTTCTGGCCCAGGCAGCAAGCTCGGAGGTGGTGCCATGGTCATCATGCTAGATGGATCAATCGTGGAGCCATAGCGCGTGCAAACTTACATGGACAAATAGAGACAGAATGAATGTGCTATGGCAGGGGAAAAGCGAAGTGGGAAGCGACGTACGAAGTACCCTTGCCTACCTGGGAAATAATCGAGAGCATCGTCAGCATTGAACATACAGATCCGTGATGTGCAGGGTAAGCCGAAGCTGCCTGCTCGCGGTGGTGAGTGTGACGCGCACAGACCCACAGTCTACTGCACCACCACTGTGGGCTGAACAGTTGATGCCTCAGGCAGCAAGCCTGGGTCCCGCAACGCGACCCTCGACACATTAATCGCGGTGCTTCAGCAGACGCGTCGCATCGCATCACGGGCGCAACAAGCAGAACCCGAGCCCATATAAGCTCGAGACTGAAGTTTCCCCGTGCCTCGGATGACGCGCTACAGCGCCAGCGCCATCGACCATGTATATCAAGCAAATCATCATCCAGGGCTTCAAAAGGTGAGCCCCAGATTGATTGCCCAGCGCTGCCGGGTCGGCACTGACTGACTCTGGCGCAGCTACAAGGACCAGACTGTCATTGAGCCCTTTTCCGCCAAGACAAATGTCATCGTCGGGCGCAATGGATCCGGCAAGAGCAACTTCTTCGCCGCCATGCGCTTCGTCCTCAGCGATGCGTACACGCAAATGAGCCGTGAAGAGCGTCAGGGCCTCCTCCACGAAGGCTCGGGCTCTGCCGTCATGTCGGCGTACGTCGAGATCATCTTCGACAACAGCGACGATCGCTTTCCGACGGGTAACAAGGAAGTTGTGCTGCGACGCACCATTGGCCTGAAGAAGGACGAGTACTCGGTAGACCGCAAGGTCGTCACCAAGACCGACGTCATGAATCTGCTGGAAGCGGCTGGCTTCTCTCGGTCGAACCCTTACTATATCGTCCCACAAGGCCGCGTCACAGCCCTGACCAACATGAAGGAGTCGGACCGCCTCAACCTGTTGAAGGAAGTCGCAGGTACGCAGGTATACGAAGCTCGCCGGGCCGAGTCGCTCAAGATCATGAATGAGACCAACAACAAGCGAGAGAAAATCGACGAGTTGCTCGAATACATCAAAGAGCGTCTGACGGAACTGGAAGAGGAAAAGGAGGAGCTGCGTGGTTTCCAGGACAAGGACAGGGAACGGAGGTGTCTGGAATACGCCTACCACCACCGCGAGCAAATGACCATTCAGTCCACGCTCGAGGACATTGACAGTGCCAGGCAGGACGGACTCGACACGACGGACTCGAGCCGCTCGGAGTTTCTGGAAGGCGAGAAAGCCATCTCCAAGATAGATAACGAGATCCACAAGCTGCAACGAGAGATCGAGCTCTTACAAATCGACCGCCGACAGCACGAGGAAGACCGGCGCGACTCCGCCAAGGCACTCGCAAAGATAGAGCTCAAGGTCAAGAATCTGAAGGAGGGTCAGTCGGCCCACGAGCAGGCCCGAGAGCAGCACGCCGCCGAGCTGGAGTCCGTCAAGGAGGACATTGCAGCAAAGGAGGCCGAGTTGACCAAGATACTGCCTCAGTACAACAAGAAGAAGCAAGAGGAAGTTGATGCTAGGAGACAGCTGGACACGGCGGAGGCGGCGAGGTCGCGCCTCTTTGCCAAGCAGAGCCGCGGGTCCCGCTTCAAGAACAAGTCTGAGCGTGACGCATGGCTGAGGCAAGAGATCAACGAGCTTGACCTGACAATCAGCGCCCAGAAAGCCAACAAGTTGGAGGCAGACGAGGAGGTTGAGAAGGTCGAGGCGTCCATACGGCTAGGCGAGCAGGAGGTCGCCGACTTGCGATCACGCCTCGCCAACTGGAGCGGCGACAGGACGCAGCTAGCGGAGCAAGTGTCGCAGGCCAGGCACACGCTGGACAAGTTGAACGACGAGCGCAAGCTCATCCGCCGTGAAGACGACAAGCTCAACTCCGTCATCACGAATGCCCGTCAAGAGAAAGAACAGGCCGAGAGAGAGATGGCACAGGCTGTGGACGGCGCGACTGCCCGCGGCTTGGCGACCATCCGACGCCTCAAACAGGATCAGGATATTCCTGGCGCGTACGGCACTCTGGCTGATCTGCTGGAAGTCAATGAGGCGTATAGGTTACCTGTCGAGCAGACGGCCGGCGCGAGCCTGTTCCACTACGTTGTCGACAATGCGGACACGGCCACATACCTCGCCGACACTCTTTACAGACAGCACGGCGGGAGAGTCACGTTCATGCCGCTTGCCCAGCTGCGCCCGCGCCAAATCAACCTGCCCCGCTCCAACGACGCGGTGCCCCTGATCAGCAAAATCAAGTACGAATCCAAATTCGATCGTGCGTTCCAGCAAGTCTTCGGGAAGACGGTGGTCTGCCCCAACCTCGCCGTGGCTGCGCAGTATGCGAGGAGCCATGGCGTTGACGGCATCACCGCGGAAGGCGACACCACCAACAAGCGCGGCGCGATGACGGGTGGCTACATCGACCCACGGAAATCGCGCCTCGAAGCCGTGCAGGCGGCCAACAGATGGCGAGAGGAGTTCGAGGGCTTGATTGCGCAGTCACGCGACATTCGAGGCCAGATCGAACGCAAGGACCAGGAGATCACCAGCGCCATGTCGGACGTGCAGAAGCTGGAGCAGAGGTTGCGACAGGCAGAGGACGGGTTCGAGCCACTGAAGCACGAATTGCGGACCAAATCTGCCCACATAGAGAACGAGCGGGCTCATCTCGATGCCGCCATCAAGCGACGGGATGCCGTCGAGAAGAACATGATTGGGTTCATGGAGGAGGTGTCTGCCCATGAAAGCGAAATCGGCACGGACTTTAAGAAGAGTCTGACCTCGACAGAGGAGCGGCAGCTTGAGGAGCTGAGTGTCCAGGCGCAGCAGCTCCAGAAGCAATGGAATGAGTCGAGCAACGCTCGGAGGCAACTGGAAAGGACGAAGCAGCTGCTTGAAGTGGACCTGCGCCAGAATCTCCAGATGAAGCTGGACCAGCTGAACAGCCAAGCGTTCGAGAACTCAACATCAGGATCGTCGGCGGGCTCCATGAAGGAGTCTCAACGAGAGCTCAAGAAGGCTCAGAAAGCCTTGCAGGCTGTCGAGACAAGCCTGGACGAGGTCGAGGGCAAGATGGAGCAGCTTGTTGGACGCATGGAGCAAATATCGTCAGAGAAGGCGCAGCGCGAGCAGGTCCAGAACGACATCTCGACACGGATAGAGAGGCAGCAGAAACGGATGGAGAAGACGTTACAGCGAAAGGCGCTGCTGACAGCGCAGGCGGCCGAGTGCGCCAAAAACATCCGAGATCTGGGTGTGCTCCCTGAGGAGGCCTTCGACAAGTACGAGAACATGGACGCCAAGGTGGTAAGTTGCGGCACGCTTGTCCATTAATCAAACCGGGAACGGGCTGACCATTTGCAGATTACGTCCAAGCTCAAGAGGGTCAACGAGGCGTTGAAAAAATACAAGCACGTCAACAAAAAGGCCTTTGAGCAATACAACAACTTTACGACGCAGCAAGATCACCTGATGAAGCGTAGAAAGGAGCTGGACGCGTCACAGGAGTCGATTGAGGAACTAGTGGAACACTTGGATCGTCGGAAGGACGAGGCCATTGAGCGAACGTTCAAGCAGGTGTCCAAGGAGTTCGCGACCATTTTCGGAAAGCTCGTGCCGGCAGGCCACGGCCGCCTCGTGATCCAGCGCAGGACGGACCGCCGCCAGGACCTTGACGAGTCGGACGAGGAAGCACGGGGCAGCGTCGAGAACTACATTGGCGTTGGTATCAGCGTGTCGTTCAACTCGAAGCATCTTGATGAGCAGCAGAGGATCCAGCAGCTCAGTGGTGGGCAGAAGAGTAAGTCTCATCCAGAGGCTCTTGACTGGTTTGGCATTCGCTGACGCAGAAATAGGTTTGTGCGCTCTGTGCCTCATTTTCGCCCTGCAGGCGACCGAGAGCAGCCCCATGGTCATCTTTGATGAGGTCGACGCCAACCTTGACGCGCAGTACCGCACGGCCGTCGCGGGGTTGCTGGAATCCATCTCCAATGAGATCGGGACGCAGTTTATCTGCACGACTTTCCGCCCCGAGATTGTCCATGTGGCAGACAAGTGCTACGGCGTGACGTTCCGGAACAAGACGAGTTCCATCAACTGCGTCAGCACCGAGGACGCCCTCAACTTTGTCGAGGGACAGGCCAAGCCGGCTTGAGTGCGGCGACGAAAGATCGTGTATAACGAACGGTTGGGTGGTAATGGCTGGCTTCTTGTGAGTCGACTCGGGAGTTTGGGCGTTTGGGCCAAGGGGGGACCCTCTATGTGAGCCGGAGGCGGATATTGTGTGCAATAGCTTTTGATGAGAGAGATAAACATACAGACAGACAATGCATGGCCTTGTTGACGATTCAATCACTTGCGCCCTCGAAACCAAGTCGACGAGGACTGATCGCGACCCACGGAGATAGGAATAGCGGTCAGTGGTCGACCTACGCTGCGCGTGGCTGTGCAGCCCAGGACAGCAGCCGTGGGGGTTCAGGACAATAGGTAGGTTACGCTGGAGTCCGCGCACGCTGCTGGCCCTAGAGCTTCTGGCTCACTGGGCGCTGAGGCAAGTAACTGAACCTCGAAGTGACTGTTGGCTCACAGCTGGCAAGTCGGAGCAGCCGGCGCACGCTTCCCGGCCCGGCAACCAGCTGACCGACGGTTCAGTGCGACGCAAGTGAATATTCGTCGCCACCCGCGCAGCTGCGAGGGCACCGAACATTTTCTCCCTTCAATGTTCACTTCTTCCGTGGCCCTACCTCGTCGAGTCTCTCGCGCTTCCGCCTCCAGTCACCCTCCTGCCCTCCTACCAACAACCTGCGGCTTGCCGTTCCCAAGTCGATACATTATCCCATCTTCTGTGCCAAACGCCTAACGTTGTTCGAGATTCGATCACGCACTTCGTTTGCACCAGAATGGACGTCACCGCTGAAAACTTCTGGCAGCTCCTGCCGAACATGCTTGAGGCCATCGCCGCGGCCGACTACGTGGCTGTGGACCTCGAGATGTCGGGCGTCATGGTCCGCGACTCGCTGACGACGGGCGAGGTGTCGTTCGAGCAGGCCTACGCTCGCCTCAGAAGCGCGGCCAACACATTTTCAGCCATCGAGCTGGGCATCACGACGATGCGATTCGTCGAGTGTATGTCTCGCCCCTTCCCCTTTCTTTTCCTGTCCCTGGCTTTCGTTTGGCTGACGGATCCCGCAAACAGCGTCGTACCAGACCCAGACCTTCACCATTCCCATCTCGGCCATAATCCCCAGACATACAAGGGAGGACGCGCAGCTGGCGAAGCTTCTCGACCGTAGGCTCACCCTGTCGTCCAACTCGCTCCGTTTCCTGGAGGAGCACGGCTTCGACATGGACCGCACCCTCGGAGGCGGGGTGCCGTACCTCAGCCGCGAGGAAATGGAGCTACTATCTGAGCACTCCTTTTCCGGGGGCCGGGCGGAGGTTGAACCCGTGGATGTATCTTCTCTGGTGTCATTCGACCGATGCTTTTATGAACGTCTTGTGGAGACTCTCAAGGCGTGGCTCGCCTCCAAGCCTAAGCCGGTATGTGTTCGGGCTGCTGCAGTATGCCTGCCTGCCTGCAGCTTTCCGTTTGCTAATGATGATTTGCTAGGGGACTGCCTTGGAGATTCCAGAGCCTCGCGGAGGCAACCTTCGACGCTCAACGATTTCGCTCGTCAACCACGTTGTGGCGAGCGAGTTTCCGCAGTGCCGCTGCTGGCGACAGCGCACTGGCGATGCCATGAGCGTATCGCTCCGCGATGCAAAGAAACAAGATGAGGTAGGCTGCCAGCCCTGCAACGTGATGGGTTAGGAACTAATGCTGATGTGTCTTCTCTGGTAGATTGAACGGCGAGAGAGCGAAGCCAAAATAACATCGCTGGCCAAGAACTTTGGTGAGTAACGTCGATCAGCGAACCCTGCTTGTGCTGACATGCGTAGGAATGTCCTGGATTGTCGAAGCACTGATCGGCTTCGAAGGAGAATCCGGCTACGAGAACATGGCCAACATTGTGCGAACTCAGATAGTAGCATCCCCCGAGGACGGACAGCCATCAGGCAGACGTGACAAGGCAGACCAGCGGAAGTGGCAGACGCTCATCGAGAAACTCGCGTTCAAATCGAACAACAGAGTGCTCATCGGCCATAACCTCGTCTGGGACCTGGCATTCCTTTACGGTACCTTCAGGGGCCCTCTGCCGCCTACCGTGGGCGAGTTCAGCACACTTATCTGCGAAACGTTCCCACGCCTCGTCGACACGAAGCTGCTGCTGCGAGAGACCGTCGACCCCAACGTGGTCGACGAAACCCTCGAGGAGGTGTATTTGGGGCTGCAACGCCAGGCGTACCCTTACATCGAAACCGCGGTCGACGGTTGGGGCTTCGCGCAAGTGGGCGACAAGAAAGGAGCTGCCCACCACGCCGGCTATGACAGTGAGTCCCAAATCCCACACATGAAGGATATTTCTTGTAGTTTCTGACATGCTCGAAACTAGGCTACATGACCGCAGTGGTGTTCCTGAAGCTGTGCTGCAAGAGATGCCGCGTCGTCAAGCGCGCCTTGGCCGCCAGAGACGCCGGCGTGCAGCACGCAAAGGACCCAGGCGACATCCTCGCGAGCACTTCGTGGCTCGGCATCGTCGACGACCAGCTCTCCGCCATGGACAGGTACCTCTACGGCGACGAGATACGCATCCCCGCATTCGACGGAGAATTCTTCCGATCCGTGAGAAACAGGCTGCGCATGAGCACCGCTGGCGTTCTCGTCCTCCGGGGCACCATTTCCTCGCCCTGGAATCGCAGCATCGCCTCGGCGGCGGACGCGGAGGAATCGGCGGCGCGCAGTTCCGGGGGAGGAGGACCCGAGGACGACGACGTCTTCGCTGCGAAGATGCAGAGACGTGCGGATAAACCCACCACTGACTTGACGGCGCACCAGATGTGGGGTGTGCTCAAGGCCGACTTGAGCCGCTTCATGTCGAGCATCTACGACTTTGACAGGGAGTTTGAGTGTCCAGGCGGGCTGGAGAAGTTCCACGCCATGGTCGATGCGCTCGACGAGGACATGGAGAAGACTCGAGGCAAGATTGCTAGCTACCTCGCTGGGGCGAGAGGCATGGGACACAAGTGATGCGCTCTCCATGGTTGTTGCTCGACGCGACAGACAACAGAGCCGAGCTTGCCAGAGGAGAAACGAGGCAAGATACCACTGTGATATGGCTTTTGTACATGTGCGTATACAAGATTGGTAGCTTAATAGTCTTACAGTAAACCCTGCTTCCCCCTTTCTCAGGACAAGTCTTGGTCTTCTATCGCTCCGCCATCATGTTCCTCACGCCACGGAAGTACTCGGGCGCCAGCTCCTTCTGCAGCTCCTCCCGCGTCAGCCACTTGAAGTCGGTGTAGCCAAGGGGGTTGCCCTTGAGGTCGGCCTGGCCGGCCATGATGCGGCCCTTGAGGAAGAAGGTCTTGTGGCCCTTGCTCTGCACGGACCCATCGGCACCGAGTGTCGGCTCCGTCACCAGGTGGGCGACGGGCACGCGGCCGACGATCCAGGTATTCATGTTGACGCCCGCGGCTTGGTCCAAGACGCGCTGCGCGGCCTGCATGGAAAGTCAGCTATGAGCCCGTGACGATCTGCCGGGGTTCACCCAGTGGGAATCAGCGGTAAGGGGTTCACGTACCTCGTGCAGGTTCTCGTCCTTGGGCACCACGTCAGCCGGGAACCCCCAGGCGCCGTCCTTGCCCTTAACGACCAGGTACAGCGTCCGGTCGAGCTTCCTGTCCAGCCTCCGCACGTCGCCCTTGCGGTCCGCCTCCGTCTCGCGCTCCACGGGCCGCTCCACGGGCACCACATCCTCCGGGGCAATGACCTCCGCGTCGTCGCTGACGCGCGCCTCAGCGTCCCTGAGTAGGCTGTCGAGCATGCTCTCCTGGCTGCTCAGCCCGTCGCCGACCTTGAGCTCGTCGTCCCAGGCGCGGGCGCTCTTGCCGTTGTACACGCCCAGCTCCTTGGCGACGGTGCCCTGGCGCTCCTGCACCTTGAGGTTCCAGTCGAGCCGCCGCGCCGTGTCGGGCTTGAAGTAGATGCTCGTGATGAAGGGCGTGTTGAGCCGCTCCTCGAGCCGCTTCTGATAGAAGAAGAAGGCGTTCTCGAACGGGTGCAGCCGCCGCGTCAGGAGCGGCGCCCGCGTGAGGATCAGCCCGGACCGCACGTCGTAGGGGGGAGGCGCGTGGCGCGTCGCTGGGGTCGCTGCCGGCGGCGGCGGGACGGCGTCAGTCGTGGACGATGCCTCGGCGGCGGCGGGTGAGGAGTAGAATCGGCTCCATGTCCTGGCTTGCCCGGTTGCGCATCGGGAGCAGACGGACGACGATGGTGCTGTTGCAGCGTGGAGGAAAGCGTGAGCGGCCATTCTTCTTCCTCTCGACTCAATTGGGCAAGACTTACTCGACAGCACGCCCTGAAGGGCTCGCCTCCCTCTGCTGGAGGCTGTCATGATGGGCGCTGTGCTGGCGTCCAGGTATGTTGAAGTCGTCGGCCGCCTTCCTTCGCGTGCCTCGAACTTTTTTGACCCAGTCGCACGACAGCCCCAGCTCCAGAGCCCCCGGCACGCTCAGGCTTCAATGGGCGGACACCAGGTACGTACCCCTTCACGCTCTCAAAGCGGGCCCCCAGGCACGGCTTACCTAACACAATTTTCCCTTGGCCAGCGACAGCCAGCAGGTGAGGGCAGGGTCCTGTCAGTCGCCTTGTCCGTGCCTGAGGCACCAGACAAGACCCATCGCACAGCAGGAACCACAGGTCCCCCCCAGCCAAATCTCCCGCCGCCCGTCCGCCCTCTCCCTCTTCTCTTCTCTTTTCTCTCCCAAGGCACCATTTCCTTATCGTCAAGACCTGTTTCCACCTCCAGAACGTCCTGATCATTTACGCGTGCCGAGAGAGAATTCCACAGTGCGGTCTTTTCGCTAGCGGCACCTGCAAAGGGGACTTTACCGTCCTTCTTTTACTATTCCACCGGGCTTCGTTAGATAGATACCGCTGACACTGCAAAATCCAATCTACCTTGGTCCTCCTGACTGGGGCTGTTCGTTGCCCACGTTCACCAAGCGCTCGCTTGCACGCTTATTCTTTTCCCGCACGCGAAGATCAAATTTCCACGATACTCGTCGACCTGTCATTTTGGCACAGCTTTTCACGCCGGGCGATTGATAGCGGCTTCACAGTTTTCCTCGGAAACTCTGCCGGTATCTCCCCGTACAGTCGTTTAGGCCCGTGGCTAAATCACGCACCAGGTGTCTGGCTGTTGCACAACTCCTGCCCGAACACTCGTCTACGCGCTTCCCGATCGTCTCGTGACATTCGTGCACATTGCTGTCTTACGCTTAGCCCCATCATGGTGCTATGCTCGCCAAAAAATATTCGACAAAGCTCATACAATGTCCAACGCCCTGGATCATAACCCTGTACCCTGGAGTTGAGCCAATCCATATCAAAACCAACATGACCACATACGCCTGAAGTACACGGATTCTCTTTGCGCCGCGGTTCCCTCCCGAAAGGACGCGTTGCCCTTGGGGCCAAGTCAAGAAGTGGGGTATCAAGATACACGCGTTGCCGAAATGCCCTCAACGCCTGAGCGAAACAAACCGATATAACAGAACTCCGATGCTTCTTTCGAGATCAGGCTTGAAGCTCTGCAACCGCTCGCGCCACCTCCTGCGTGGCTCTCTTCTCCCACACTCGTCTCGACTCGTCGTCGAGCGCCGCTGCGTCCTTCACCTCGTCGTAAAGTTTGCGGGAGACGGCCCGGTTGATCGTCTCGTACTGCTCCGTCGTCAACTTCTGAGAGCGCCAGTGCGGTCTCAGAGCAACCTTGACAATGTCGTTTATGCTCTTCTTTTCCTCGTGCGTCATGGCTAACCTTGTTGGCGAGGAATCTTCGGCTCGCCGCCTAATCTGCTGCGGCCGACGAGGTCGAGGCTGGCGCAACTCGATTGGCCGAACTTCTGGCCGACTTGGACGGGACTCTGAGTCGCTGTTGTCGCTAGTTGGCCTGCTAGGAGAGTAGTTTGCAGGTGGGTACCTGGGCTCGATGTGTGTGCTGAGTGAAGTTGGGGACGACTCCCGACCGTTTGTGCGAGGGAGCGGCGGGGGAGTCAGGGACAGCGCTCGGGGGCTGCTGTGATTCGATGGCGACGGCGAGAGGGCCGGAGACGACGCCTCGGGCGGGACTCGCCACGTCGGCGTCAGCACCGCCGTCTCATCCTCAGACGGGGCGTTCGGCTCCAACTCCTTCAACAGCGACGAAACCAGAGGAGTCTCTGTCTCGACGCGGACAAGGCCATTTCGCAAGGTCGAGCCATTCGTTGGCCGCGATGTCGAGGGGCCGGCTGTTGTGGTGGGCGACGAAGCCGACGTTGATGCTTCGGGCTGGGTGGGGAGTCGCCGGGTACGGGGCCTCTTCAACTTCCTTTCTGGCTCCTGGGCAGGCTCCGCCGGCGACGCCGTGACAGAACGGGTCTTCCGCTTCCGCGACGACCCGTTGGTGGCAGGCGTCTCAGCCTCGCGGGCCCGGTCGAGGGCGCCCCAGGCTCGGCGCTCATCTCGCGTTTCCTCGACTGGTTGAGGAACAGGCTGCAAGCGCTCGCTGATCTGTGGAGGAATGCTCGGAGCGAACTCCTCTTGGGCACCGAGACGCTGTGCAATATTGAGTCGTTGCTGCCAGCGCTGCAGCTCTCGTTGATCGTGTTGTTGGAACAGGCGATACTGCTCGAGGTCCTCGTCATCGTCGTGGTTATCGAGATCAAGCTCGCTCATCTCGAAGAATCTTCCGGCAAACTGGCCCCAGGCGCCTTGCCACTCGACGTTGCGTGCTTGTCGGCGGGCCCTCCTCAGGCGCTCCCTGGTTCTGACGTGGTAACCGCGAACGTCCCGTGCATTGGGCCTGCGAACGCCCACAGGGGGCGGCCGAGCACTGAGCCGCGGTCGTTCGGGCTCATCGTCCAGCTCGAACAGATGGGCACACTCCATGCAGTACCAGTCGCCCTCGGGGATGTAATCTAGTCCGATGCAGTGGGTATGGTAGGCGGCATCGCAACTATCGCAGAGAAGCAGTATGTCCTCTCGTTCGGCCGAGTTGCATATGGGGCAGGGGTTGCTGGCCTCGTCTTCGTCCGGCTCGGGGTTCTGAGCTTGCCACTGCTGGACATCGAACTCGGCCACCTGCTTCTTGTCTTGGACATCATAGGTAGAGATTGCGGTGCCTTTACGTGGACAAGAGTGTCAGCCTGATCCGAAGAAGGAGCAGAAGGGGAAGTGGCGAGAAGGGATGGGATGCTTACCATCGGCACCATTGTAGACGCGGACCGAGTGGAAGGGCTCGCGGCAGATGGGGCAAGTATTTGTTTTCTGAGCCCAGGAGCGGATGCAGGAGTCGTGGATGATGTGCTCGCAGCCGTCGAGGGCGGCGACGATGTCGAGATAGTTGTTGTCCTCGGAGACGGCATCAGCGACGGCAGCCGTCAGGGTTGCGTCGTCCGGGGCGGCGGAGCCGTCGACGACGGGCGAGGGGCGCGGTAGAGGGTCCAGACATATGATGCACTGTTCGGGCTCAGACATGACGCCAGCTTGAACAAAACAGGAGGTGAAATGATGAAAACATGTAAGTGGACCGCGGAGGAAGAAAGCCCAGAGGCGCGGCGATTTTGTCGAGTGAAGCCTGGGGGGCGTGTTTTTCTGGCAAGACGCGGTCTGCGAGAGCGGTGATGTATTAGTGGAACTGGTCGGTGGCAGTAGTGTGTGGTGGTAAGGCAGAGGCGCTGAAGGTCTGGGAAGAGAAGAGGGACCAGGGAATTGGAAAAGAGGGAGAACAAGTGGATGCAGCGGCCAACAAGCAGCAGCTGCCAGAGGGGCCCGCTGGTCGCGATTAGCGCACCCTTGTAGGGAGGCCCGGGCGAGGCCAATCAGCGCCGCAGGGCGTAGAAGCCGCCACGTCTGTTAGTGCAAGGTTAATGTTGGGCCGCCTGGACACCGCCCGACCGTGGCAGCGAGTGCCTAGCAGGACCCTAGCAGCGACCTAGCAGACGGCCACCACCTACAAACTTTGAAGGTAGGTGAGGCATGAGGTGGTAGCGTGGCAGTGGCAGGCAGTGTCAGGTGCCAGGACGGATTGGGGGAGAGAAGGCGAAAAAGACGTCAGGGCAAGGGGGGCAAAGGGCAGGAAGAGACAGGACGAGGTCAGGGGATGTGTTTGTTCGTCGTGGTACGGAACAAGTGCTTGCCGAGTCGACGAAGCCTCGGGGCACAGGAGGTTGCTGCATGGGGAGAGGGAGAAGGACGGCGTGCAAGGATGGGTTGGTTACTGTACCTGTTATTTGGTAGTGTTCCGGAGCTCTGAGTGCGACGGCTCGTCCAATAAGTGAGGGGACCACAGGGGACCTTGGCCGGGCGTAGATGTTCCGGAGGCGAGGTTAAGAAAACAGCGTGCCTGTCGATGCGGACGGACGATGAGCAGCTGCCTTGCAGGTCCCAGGTTACCCGTGCCTGGATGCACTGCGCTGGGCTGGGCTGGGCTGCACTCGAGCGAGGGGGGCTGCAGGCAGGCAGGCGGTTCGATGACAGAAGCGGACGTGGGTTCGGAGGAGTGCCGTGGCGGCGGCGGCGGCGGCGCGCGCGGGGGGGTCCTGTCCTGGGCCCTGCTGGAGGAGAAAGTCGGGGTGGGCTGGCGGCGGCGGAG